ATATGTGTGTGTGTGTGTGTGTGTGTGTGTGTGTGTATATATATGTATATGTATGTATGTATAATATAACGTGAGTTTTGATAAATGTGTGTGTAAAACATAGATACAAAACCGACAAAAAAATAATGATGAGGCAAATCGTAACTTCGCAAAGGTTTTCGCATGCAAAGCATCAAGGTTCCATTCTAAAACACGGTTTATAAGTACCCTAATTGAGATGGCTAACGATTTTAGCCAAGCAATAATATAATAATGTTTATCCCAATTCCACATAGCTAGTAACCGACATAGTAACATAGTAGTTTATATGCTATCATGTTTAATATTATTTAAAGAGCCAGTAAATTCAACAATTACATTTGACTTAATACCATAAATTACTCGATACGAGCATAATTCAGGAGGTTTTAAATGCCAAAAAGGGTCTTGACTTCAGCAAAGTAGTATATAAGGCACTGATTTTCAAGTGTATATAGGAGTCGTATATATGCATATTATGTTATAAATATATTTGTATATTGATATAAAAATAATGAAATACTGTCTGTATTTTACGCGAGTAGTACACATTTAAATAAAACACTTTAACGGTGTAAAACGCGATATATAAAAACTTATTTGAAAATTATTTTTAACTTTAGCCCGATATTTAAAATTTATTTTAATTAGTTATTTAGACAATGTTATTTAGGAAGTTAAAGGTAACTAGGACGAATTGCTAATATTATTTTTCACTATATAATCTAACTAGTTAGTGATGGTGGTGTCCGAAAGGGCGAAATTTCCCGATATTTAGAATGTTTGTAATTTCAAGTGTCAAGTAATTAAAATCCCAGTTCACGTTAAGCCGGGATCGAACCCCGAAACGAAATAAATTGAAACAATGTTTTGTTTTCAAGATCCCATCTATTGACTAATGGAACCGCTGCAACCTTGGCGCTGTAAGTAGTTTGATATTTTGACTCTAAGTAGTAAATGTCATTCGCTGTCATTAAAACTAGATTAACACGTAGTTCTTCGTATATCTGGGTAATTGATATTCTTAATGGTGAACTGTCTATATAAATATATATAAAATACAGACATATAGACATAGTTTATATTATAACATATGTAGCAGAGGATCTTGATTTTATATGCGCATGAATAAAGGTAATTTATTAAGATGTAATTGCAATTTACGCGAGTGGTAAATGATTTATTAACAGGGTTGAAACTGGTTAAAACGCAGTGTAATAGGGTATTATTTTAATTAACTAATACTCAACGTTTTAGTTAAACAAAAGAGTGCCTGACAGAGGGGATTTTTATCTGTGAATCGTTCACAGTTCGTGACCAGGACAGAATTTTAATATGTCATAATTTTTTACCACCCCTTAAATGTCCAGATTGACAAAATAAACTATGGGATGTTTTAGAATAGCATTATATGTGTTGGAAATTAAACACACGACCCCTTAATTTTCAATTATCACGATCCTTTAGTACCATTAAACCTTTTAAACGGTTGAAAACGCGAAATATATTGGTTAAACTTATTTAAAAACTTTTTTTTCGTTTTAAACCGTCACACATTTAAATAAAACACCTTAATTTTATTTAAATATGCACTATTGCGTAAACTACAGACAGTATTTACCATTAAACCATCGACCATCTTAAAATTAAGTTTATTGTTGTCATTTGAGCTAATAGCATCTCCCTGCATTAGAGTAATAATAAATAGGCTGTTAGTCAAACCGGCGTCACATTGACGTAGACGAAGCACCCAAACGGGGCGCTGATCAAATAATGAGGCACACAAAATCCCTTATCTAATCAGAATTCGGGGCACACTCCATTCGGATTCGGATCACGCCAATGTCAACGCATTTTGCATTCACCACTCACTTGTCTAAACACGTGACGTCAGGGGCTTCAATGATGCTCCACTTCCATGCTCTATTCACGTCATGCAGGCTGAAGAAGGGCTTAGGGTCCATTCGCGCTAAGCGGTTTCAACGTCCAGCTAATAACCTCCTTTTTCACATACTCTTTCACTAGGTGGTCCGGCAAATGTTGTTTTGTTATATATGCAAGAATAGTGATACAACTCTAACAAATAATTAGTAATGCATTAATCATGATCAAATTTGATTACGACAAAAATGGTTCTTGCAGTAATTTTAAAAGATAGACATATAATATCGCTGACATATATGATAACTTATACTGATTACTTATAGAGAAAACATTATTTCTGACATAATTTTTGGTCTTTCTTTTTTTGCAACGCACGCAACAGAAGCCCGCAAAGATAAATACCATTTTTTTCTCTGTACTTCCTTTCTATTGGTCGCAGCGTATTCTATAGTAATACAATTGAAACCAATAATTTCTGAGAACTGTGCATTTAAACAAACAAACTTTTCAGCTTCATAATATTAGTATAGCTAAAGACTGACCGTATCTGACCGCATTCCGTTAAATCGCTTAGTGCGTAAGGGCCCTTAAAATCAGCACGAAACATATTTCCATTCGCTGAACACGAGCTCTTAGACTAAAAAGACTGATTTGAACTTAGAATCAAAGCACGAACATTCACCAAACCACATTTGCCCAGAATTAATCCTTAGAACGTCTTAGTCTATCAATGCATTACATTAGTCCATTTGGTTCTAAGATACCGATTTTCTCATCGCATTTTCCTTAAATGTATTTTCTAGAGATAAGCCTCATAAAATGAACCTTAAAGATTTTCTTATCTAATTTAATATATGTACCTACGGACAGCAATTTTTTAGTGTAGTTTCCCTTAGTATTTAAAAACGCATTGCCTTATCCGTGTCACTGAGCGATTTTAAATAAAACATTTTTAACTGTTTTAAATGCGCATTATATCAGTTAACTTATTATTAATTTAACTGCGTCCCAGCTAGTCAAACTTGTCCAATCAAGAGTGTCGGGACATAGTTTAATCAAATTAAAATGTGTACTACTCGCGTAAACTACAGGCAGTGTTTGATTTATTTTTATTCCCAAGAAAGTAATTGATCACACTGATACTCTACCCCACGAAAATAAATTTGTCTCGGCTTTTGAACTTAGGACCTGTAGCGCTTAACACAATGCGTGTATCATGTACGTGTTTAATGAGAGTAGATTTCCGAATAGACAAAGCCAAAATAAATGTGTTTAAATGTTATCGGGTGCCATGCTTGTCTATCTTCCTCTATCATAAAAAACAATCTTTAAATACCTTCCTATTTTTCCTGTGATATATCATATAACATAATATTTTTATCAACGACAGCGAAATGAGTGTGTGAAAGTAATTATGGCGAAACATAATATATCATTCGTGGAAAATTAATAGTTTTTCAACATACAATAGATAAACGCATCTTTTGTTCAACTTAATAGCGCCGATGTTTCCTGTTCGTTTTATTGCTATATAGTTTCATAATTTAAAAGTTACATCGTTTAATTGAGAATATTCTGTAAAATAAAGCTAAAATTACAGTACATACTTGCTCAAACTACTGTGTTTTATAAAAACGCTCTTCCCTACTAATACGATTATTGGATCCATAATGCTACATTCACAGTAGCAAGTATAGGTGTTGTTAGGTATACTTTACATATAACACTTTTAACGGTTTAAAAAACGAAATTTATTAGATATCTATTTGTTAGCTACATCGAACGAATATTCATTATTTAATATACATATTAAAATGTAATTTACGCCACTACACTTAATATATAACACTTTTAACAGTTTAAAACACGAAATATATTAATAAATTATTGTTTAACTACGACCCGATATTTTGATTCTTTGTACTGCGCCGCGTCTTGCTGCAACCATTAAGTTACGTTATATTACGGGGTGGCTATGGTCACGCGGAGCCAGAAGATGGGTGTCACGTCCTTCAGTCCACGACTACTACAAGGCATCCGAAACGCAAAGTTGTACATTACAAATTAGTTTACTAATATATCCCGCGTTTTAGACCCTTAAAACTGTTATTTAAATAGGTACTTCTGACGTAAGGTACAGACAATATCGAGCAACTTCGACATCGACATCCAAATCGTCGAACGACAACAAAATGACATATAAGTTTAGTAAACAAACTCGAAAAATACACGGAATATAAATGAGGCTTTCTCGTAATATTTTCCGGGACATTAGCCGTATAATGTGAACGAGACCTAACTCAGCGAGAGCTGTAAAGCAAAGTTGACCTATAATCAGCTAAAAGCGCTTTGTTGAAGCGTAACACTAACTACATAGTACAAAGTTGACCCAAACTTTGCGCCGACGTTTGCCCGCACTGGCAAATCCCGGAATACGAAATAGTTTAACTAAATGAAGATTATTCATGGATTGATTATTGTTTTGGTGGTTTTTACTCACGAAATGAGGGGGAATGAATTGTGGTGAGCCATGTCAATGTCCCCCGTGGGGCATGTTTCATCCAGTCCAAGGCACAAGGCCCATTACCATCTTAAGTAAGGTGCGTGAGTTAACAGTTTCACACAATTGGGAATCGAAACGAGAGTTATACATTATTAGATACTTACATAGATTTTTATTTTTCACATTGTTTTCGTTACTATCTATACATATATAATACATATTTAAATATTATGCGCAATATATGTACTTCCCCCTCCAATGTTTGATCCCCTATCTGTTCCCACTCTGTCCTATCCTGTTTTTCTCCACCAAGTCTTTGTAAGTTGCAGAATGTCATCCGTCCATTTAAGCCTGCCGATCTTTTGTAATCGTTTGGCCACCACTCTGACGCCATTTTTTCCCTTTGACATCCTGGCAGCTTGTTCTGGCCAGTTCCATTTAAGTCTCGTTGCCATTTTTGTAGGGGTTTAACTTTACTTAAGGATCTTAGGTCTTTGTTTCTTATTTTATCCCTTCTCTTGACATCCACTATTGACCTTTCCATAGCTCGTTGATTGATCCTTTTTGTAGATAAATTATTTGCTTGTTGTTTCAGTGTTGGATGCAACAGCGAAGCCTCCATCTGGCTTACTTAGTGGTAACGGGAACCAATATGGCGATTTCGACGAATGCCTCAGCATCGACGCCTCGGTCCGCGGCAAATACTGCCTCGCCTCATTACAACTGAACATAGCGAATATGGGATACGAGAAATTGGATTATCTAATACACAGTGGACATTATATCAGAAGTAATATTACAGATGTAAGTATTATTACGGTGTTGTATATGCGTAACGTTTGATGCAAGTTATATTAAAAAGTTGAACTTATCGATATATATTAATATGTTCAAATAATAAATAATGTCAAAGAAAATTACTTAATATAAATATAGACTAAAATAATGCAGAAAACGATTAAAAATTAATATTTTTAACACGTTATTGCACTTACACATTTGGCACATACACGGATAGCATTATATCATCCATAGCGTTCCGTATCGCTGCTCTTAACGATTGAACAGAAGGACAGAACGATGTGAATGCCGCTTCAAGTCCTTCCCGTGACATATTTCCTTTCAATCTAAATAGATTTTTAATGAAATCGTAACACGTCCATTTTCACACGCCCAATAAAAAACAAAGTGAAAAATTATACTCTGACTCCGAATATTATATACCTTCGACGAATTCATTTTTCACACAAACACGGTTAAGTTACACAAAGTTCAGTCACAAAAGTTTGAACTATTCTTTATTTCAGTCCTCACACCGTTCGTTGATAATCGCCCTTAAAAATTCCCAAGAACGGATTCCATATCCAGCGTATAATTCAATAACTACATCCAAAATGCAACGAAATTAAATTTACAAGCACGTATGTTATGAAATCGCATTCATTACAAAGCCGTAAAGACAATCGACTACAATAAAATCCGGGGCATACGACCCAAGGGTGTAGGTTCACGGCTACATGGTGTAATAAAATATGGTATGATTCCATTCGTTATTGTCCTATATTCGTATAGTAGACGTTTAAGTATTCACCTGTAAAATAACAAAATTCCCCTTACACAGCAATTAGAAAAAGTCTATTAAAAGATGCAGCTTTTTTCAGCGAGCACCCCGATAACCATAGCTAATGATGTACAGCAGATTTTTCTTGAAATCAAATCCTTTGAATATTTATCCCTGTGAAACTATGAATCGCAATTAAACCAACTACACAATTATCGTTTGAAACCGTTTTATTCTTCAATCTCTTTTATATACTTCCAATATACAATCTTGGTGAAGAAACCAAGAGTCCTCGATTTAAAATAATAAACAAAATAGTTATCATATTGGTTACTTAAATTAATAAGCAATTTAATTTATACTGTCTATAGTTTACGCGAGTAGTACACATTTAAATGAAACACTTTAACGGTTTAAAACGCGATATATTAGTTAAACTTATTTAAAAATGATTTCTAACTTCGACCCGACGTTTCGGATGCTTTGCAGCAGCAGTCTCCCTGTGTCATCCGAAACGTTTTTTTCCGAAAATTTAATTTTACTTAATTTGCTCATTTAAGGTCACTTATTTCTCTCATATGTTATTGATTAATTGTGTTGTAATTCATTCAAGCAGAATTTCTGTAATTTTCAATACAAAATATGAAAGTCTACCATTACATTAATTACTTATTAGTTCTTAATTTTTCTGATAATTATCGGGCGTAATCAAAGAATGAAAAATGTCAAATATTATTAGCAAGAATTATTGCCAAGTATTACTCAATGGAATACAGAAAGACAAGATGAATTCAGTGGTTCTTTTACATCAGACGTACCATTTTTTATTATATCATACACAATCGAGCCTCTTAACAAATTGCATTTGCATTGCAAAACGTGTGTCGACACTATCTTGCACTCAAATTAAGATCCATGCTTCATTTTATAATGGCTTATCTCTGTGATGATTAAATTTCTTTAGAGATAGCATAGACAAGCGTATGGGTCACCTATTGGCTTGTAGATAAATAAGTGAGACACAGAAATGTCTGCTTTTTTAATGATAGAAGAAGACAGACCCACATGAGGTTGTCTTGATGCGTAAAATACCCCAGCCACATAGATATTCAAAAATCCACAGATTGAACCCTAAACGCGATTAAGATTCACGGCTGTTTCATCTTTGGACGGTGGTTCATGAATCAGACGGAATTTCAATATTCCTACCACCCGTTTTATATCCAGATTTCCAGACAAAATCCAATGTTTCAGATAAATTGAAAAATTAGGATCATGTTGGACCCGTTGGGGATCGAATCCCCGACTCATTGATTATTAGCAGTTACTTAGTAGCCGGAACTTTAGTAGCCAAACCATACAACTAACAAGATACCATGACAACGGTTGTCATGGTAACATTTTAGCTGTATACCATTTTATAATGATCATCAGGGCAAGGTCAAGTTTGAAAGGCAAGCCTAATGACTTGTGATGCCTTTTCACATCACTTAAAGCAACAAGAACATAACCCTCAACAGCTTGTTCTAAGAGGTTAAGGCCGCAGCAAATAATTAAAGAGTACATCCACGCAAAAAAATAGGAAATGACAAATTCAAGACCTTCGTAACTACGACACCTTTTTATTAGCTGTACATTTCGGGAGATCGTATGAATATGTAAAGTTTTAAGAAAAAGCAGAATAATTTAAAGACATCTCTTTATGGCGCACAAAATATAAATTTACTGAATGCAGTTATGAATAATGTTTTCATTAATTGTGCAATATTTAATTACAATTATCGCCTTTTTAATTCAAGAATTTCGATTGCTGGCATTATTTTTTTATTATTACGACAAACTTATATCATATATGTAATTCACTTCGTAATATTTTAAAAATAGGACGGAAATAGTAAATGTTTGTAACTGTTTTCACACTTGAACACTTGGCTGATTTTGATAACGATTGGTGGTTGCCTTATACAGTGATTATAAGAATTTATTTGTTTGATTTACCTTTCAAATATTTCCACATAGTGACACATATATTTTATTTCCTCTTCCTTAAGTAAGTTACCTTTATAATCGATGCGCAATAGCATATTAATTAATATATTTATAAGGTAACCAATTTAATGGTCAACTTAAAAATTAGTATAAACAAAACAATTTAGTTAGCATATCATCATGGATGTAAATAAATTAATAATTAAAACATTTTGATCAAAATATATTGTGTCGCTTTAGCGATTACATTGTATAAAAGAGAAAAAGGTTCTTTCATCGTGATTTCATTTAGCTAATTAATGTTTTATATTCATTAACAAGAACAGACGGACAAAGAATTAAAACACTCATACAACACTAATTAATATTACAAGAGAGCATGACACAAATTCTTAGCGTGTTTTTGTATTTAAATGCTCAAAACAAATAAAGTGGTCTTAAATAAGAGATAATAAGATAACTTCATTTGCGCAATAAAGCCTTTAAAAGCCTTCACTGAGGATACTGAATCTTCAAAAGTATTGCAGTTTGCTGATTAACCTTGACACGGCGTACAGACAATAAAAATTGTTATACACAAGTGTGGGAGTTCTTAAAAGTAATAATCGTTTATGTTAATTAATCTCTTATACATTAAAACTACTTTATACTGATATAACATAAATATTATGGCTATATTTGTTTTTCTTGTTTTGACAACTTTTTGCTTATGTATTGTCTGTGTTTTTCACCAGTAGTCACTACATTTGAATAAAAAAAATAACTGTTTAAAAACGCAAAATGTTTTTTTTTAATTTAGCAACGAACCGACGTTTTTGTACGAATGTTAAACAGAAATTACTTAACATTCGTACCATCCACGATGCTACAAGGGATTGATTGAAGAGATTTTACGATAAACACGTTAAATAACGGAGGTTGACAACCTCTGCGTAACCAAGAGGAAATCATTACTATCTTTAATCATACGACATAAAACACACATCATAATATTATATAAGGATAGCACATTACAGATCCTCATACAATTTGGTATTGACACACATTAATCATTTAAAATGTTCTCCTTCTTGTGTCTATCAGGTGACATAATAGTTCGTAGCGGACGTCAAACAATATTAGAATACTAAGTATGGATCGCATTATCAGCTTAGACGTCGTTCCAAGGTTAATTGGCCCGCCGGTACTTTATTTATTTAGCAGATAGTACATTTCTTAAATCTGTTTACATTAGTATTTTATTTACATGTAATAATTCCCTATTTTATTATATTTTATTTGATACACTACTAGGTACAGACAATACATAAAGATTTCTTTAAAAATAAATTAGTTCTTTGTTCCTTATAAAAAATTGAAAGCAATTTATACAGTTTTGTTAAAATACCTACTCATTTTATTTCGATATAGTTTGAAAAGGTTTTCAAAAGATTAAATTTTTCATATTTACATTATTACAATATTTTTTTAGTTAAAAATAAATTCGCAACTCAATTCATAGAGTACATTGTTGTTTATTTATCAATAATTCAAAATATATTTTAAAACCCTTTTTAGTTTAAAAGTCTGCGAAAAATTTTTATTTCACAGACTTTTAAGCTAAAAAGTTTTTGTCTTTCAGCATTAGAATAGTGTTTAAGCTCGAGAGGGTTCCACCATATCGTTTCGTAGATTTAGCTTATTTTCACGTGTTATTAGCAGAACCGTTGACAATTCAAAAACTCGAAACAACTCCCCAGCGATGTAATCGCTTTCGCTACGTGAGTGGGTTCCGAATAGTTCCAAATGGCTCCAAATTGGCAGGACACTGACATTTGACGTGCTTCGGCGAATTGAGGGTTATGCCTCCCTAGACTGGAGTTCCACTTCATCTCTACCATATTATTGACAACAGACTAAAATACTATCTGTAGTGTACGCGAGTAGTACACATTTAAATAATACAGTTTTAAGGTTTACGTCACAGCCGTGGTCATGGGGAGACAGTCTCCCCTTGACCACGGGTGATACAAAGCATCCGAAACTTCAGGCTGTAGTTAAAATTCCGATAAGGAACTCGGTAGCTCAATTGGCCAAACCAGTTCAAGTTCTGCCCGAGTGGATTTTTTTTTTCAATTTATTTTCGATTTTATCTTATATAGTGCCATCATGTGCACATGTGAAAAATATTAAAGTTTTAAAAGTTAAAATAACTTTCAAATAAGTTTAACTAATATTTATCGTTTTAAACCGTTAAAGTGTTTTCTACAGACTAAAACCTTCAATGTGTTCTTAAACTAACACAGTTGCAAGGGATGGCTTATTAAATCATCAATTTTAAAATCAGAAGACGAGTTCCTATTTATAACAAAGTGCTTTTTTAATTTTTACGCATGTGCGATATGACTCCCACGTCCATATTATGTGAACGCAATCTATCAAACTTTAGAAAAAAAATGACTATTAAAAAAAAACTAGTCATGTATTAAGTATTTAACCTGATTATAAAACTCTCGATTGATAACTAGCTAAATAAATTTAATGCAAATGCGATCTCATTAATTATAATAAATGCATCTAGTGATAAGCACGGGTTTTTCAAAGGAAGTCTTGGAACAATGAGCTAACCTTGACTGCATATCTAATATGCAAGAAGATTTGTTTCCGTGCTATGGTTTGCCATACCGGCATATGACTTGCTCGTATACTAATATATAAAGCTGAAGAGCTTGTTTGTTCGAACGCGCTAATCCCAGGAACTACTGGTTCGAATTGATAATTCCGAGTCGGACAGGACTTGAACCGGCATCCTGTCATGATTCCATAATTCCTGTCAAAAAAATTTTAAATTTATTTTCGATTTTAAAATTATTGTATATAGTGCAATGTGCAATAATATGTAAAAAGTATTAATATTTTCAAATATTTTATTCCTTTTACATTGATATTGGATAAAATTACGATGATTATTATATTTTAACAGACAAGAATGTCTAATCAATCTAGATTTGTATTATACTTTATGACTGTCTTATACAATAAGTATATGGCAACGAAGACTAAAAAATATTTAGTTCACGATTAAAAGTGCTTAAATCGCCGAAACACTTAAAACTATTGCATTTATAAAGTGTGTCAAATTACTAGCACACACGCACTTTTGGTGTCTAGTGAGCCACTATAATATTAGTTAATACTTAAGATTTAAATAAAACGAATTAACGGTTTAAAACGCTATATATATTAGTTAAATTTTCTTCAAAATTATCTTAACTACAGCCCGACGTGTTGGATGCTTTGCAGAGGAGGCTAAAGTGGAGGTGTCTTTGGTCACCCCGTAAAATAAAATTCAAATAAGTTTAACTAATATATGTCGCATTTTAAACCGTTAAAGAGGTTTTTTATTTAAATGTGTACTACTCGCGTAAACTACTTACGTATTTGATACTTAAGATACATATTATTTAAACAAACTAAGCTTACTGAAACCAGAAATAAATAAAATCGCAAATAATCTCTGTAACTAGGACGTTTATGCACAGAGACAAAAATAAACTGTTTACAACATTCATGCACACGATTAAGATAATTATCTTGCAGTATTGTAATATTATTATAGCTAGGGGCGCCCTGCGATGTTACCCGCATTACAAAAAATACTATTAAAATGTATTTAAGCGGCTAATAAAAATTTGCATATTTAGGATATAATCGTTATAACGGTTTAAAAAAAAATGTTTTTAAATTGTAGTGCATTGTTAGGAGAAAAAAAGGATCCCGCAGGGAGGTGACATTAACATATATTTTCATTTATGATATGTATTCGGGTTTTTTATATATTTCTTAATTTCAAGTAGATTAGAGAAAAGTATCACGTATTCACTCTGCCCCCTTGATGACCCCGTACGATGAGTCGTAGTAGGGGAAGATCTACTTGTTCCCAGATCTTCCTTAAATTCTAACCGAAGAAGGGGAGCCAGCCAGCCGTCCTTAACTGGTAAACCATCAGTGTCAAGAAACGTGTCGACCTTTTTGCATTGGATGTTCGGAAATCCACAGACTGAAATCGAAACGTTAAACTTCACGTTTTTTTATCTGTGGAGGCAGTTCGTGACCTGGACGGAATTTCAGTATTCCTACTACCCATTTAAATATCCAGATATCCAGTCGAAGTCCAACATGTTTGAGAAAAATTATAAATTGATTACAAAAATGATGGACCCGGTGGGGATCGAACCACGACCCATTGATTATTAAGCGTACATTGCTACCATCACACCACCTCAAACACAAATTGCGGTGCAGTACTATCTATAAAAGGAAGAACTTCGCAAATCTTATCTAAAACATAGCCAAGTTTTTCAAGAATAACACTGGCCCTAATATCTATATGTATATACTATTAATGTTTTTTATAAACCTTTAAACTCATATCGTATGTGAATCGCGCTCACGCAAATGCCAAGGTCCGTCTTTTTAATATTCTATCAGAATAGCGCCGTCCACTTTGTCACTTCATTTGGACTCGTGTGTTCTGCATCATTGTCTTGCGCAAGACAATAGCCCTTGACTCCATCGATACGAATTCGAGAAACAGCTTAAAGAACAATTAAACAATGCGTTAACTAATTTGGCTGCTATGCGCATTGTCACATTGTTACGATTACATTGAAGGGCTGATTAACTAAACAATTATGTAGTATATTTTTTCTTACTTGGCATTTTCGGTAAACAACATACAATAATAAAATATTATTTGTCACAGATGGGTCACCGGGTGCCAAGATACTCAAGCCTCCTTTGGGGTGTCTGTATACCAAGTTCCTGCAGCAGCTTCGACCTGGAGGAGGAGTTGTCCCACAAGCTGTCTGATCTCGGTGTAACCGTGAGCGTCCAAAATACTATGTGTACAGTGAAGAACTTCCAACGACCTTTCTCTTTCGGAAAATCTTTGGCTATGTTAGTATGTTTATCTCAATTGTTGGTCACCTCGAATAAATTAAGTAACGAAAGTTTAGATCAAACTTGAAGACATAAATACTAATTATAATGGAAACTGGATTAGTCTACAACAATATAAGGTAGAAATCATATTTAATTAAAAACTTTTATCGGTTACATATACGAAAGGTAAAATTAATTGAATTAACCTTAATTGCAATTTATTTTAACAAGGCCCGACGTCTCGGTTCCTTTGGTGACCACGGCTGCTGCAAAGCATTCGAAACGTCGGGCCGTAGTTAAAATAAAGACATTTTGCGATTTAAACAGTTAAAAGAGTTTTATTTAAATGTGTATCTTAGTACTAACGTAAACTACAGAAATGATAGTTTGATTACATCGGACGATCGGTAAACTATCTATCTTGCATTGATCTTTTTTAAGGTTTTAAAATTCCGATATATTAATATAATTCGTATATGACTGCCCAAAATGAATAACAGAAAACTATTATTAACATTATTTCTGTTAGAAGAATTTACATTATTACGAAAGTACAGAGTTGCCCATGTATGCTTACAAAAGCATGTTCTGTTATATCATTGTGCAGAGGTTATAAGACCCGCCCATAACAACACTAGCCTACATGAGAGTATGAAAATTAACAATACAATGAAGTACCACATAATGGCGTGAACGGTAGACAATTCTATTCAATCAAAATTTAACAGTTTGTAATTACTTTATTTTTAAACATTTAACATGCAAGATAAATTCAAGGGGTATAATTAAAAAGGTAAGTTTTCGTTAAGCAATTCTTAATTTAAAATTGGAAAAAGGGTAAATAGCAATTATCTTTTGTAAACACTTTTTAATTTAAAAAAGAGGTTATATTTTTATTGTACACGTAAAATCCTGTTTCCCACGCTTCTTTTCCCGGTTTTTCCCGGAATAATTCAAGACTCTTCAAGCTAATTGGGCCTTATAACAATATCTAATACTTATAAAAGTGAATAAAAACTCGTTAACCTTTAGAAATAAAATATAATTACTCTTCTATACGTGCACTTGCACGGTACAATTAAAATACGTGGAGTACTGAAAAGTTTTCTTTTAATTTTGTATTTTAGAGCGTATTTTTAGAAATATTAAAGCGCTTTTTATCCTTGTAAATATCTTTATTAAATAAAACAGAAAACGCCTTTAAAAATAAAATATCTGATATGATGATTTTAAATTCAAAAGCCTCTTTTATCTTTGTCGTAACTATACAACTAATGTTCTTGAATATTAGAATTAGTTCTTTATCTAAATCTACCTTCACTAGGGTAGCATAAATAAAAAAAATATATCGGTCTATTTTTTTACATAGACAACGAAACCTCTCTACTCTCTACTCTAACAAGTCTTCAGTGTCCCGTAATTTATTATCAAGTTTTCTTAGTATTTCTGTATATACGTGCAATTCTCGCGCAATGTTTGTACCTTAACACTTAACGTAGGTAGTTTATCAATTTCCTTTACACGTATTACAATGACGTTTATTTGAACAGATTTTTGTTACACTAAATACTATTTTACATAACTGCGCCTCGGTTATATGTTAATAAATACTTCGTTCGCGTCGAATAGATATTTTAGGCACCCAAATTTGTTTTTGCAAAGCTCCTTTTCAACTTTATAAAATTAAGCTGTTACCCACGGCGTCTTCCGGGTCCGTCATTTTTACAAGATAATCTTAAAAGATATATAGTGTCGCAGACATTCTTTTAGATCATTTAAAAAGAAATCATTCTTTTATACATATTTTTTTGGAATCTTCAACCGTTTTCACAGCTAACGCACCGGAATGCCACAAAGATGTATAATTATCCCCTTTTTTTCATATTTTCCGCTGTTTCTTTGCTCCTATCACTCACAGCACTCATATCTTAGAACCTCCTTCAGCAAATTCTCTAACTTACACAAAATATATTTTTCAGTTCGAACCAGTAGTTCCTGAGATTAGCGCAGTCAAACAAACAAACGAACTATTCAGCTTTATATATTAGTATAGATTTTAAATATGAAATATATTTTTAATATTTTCAGATCATTTTTCCTCGGGATAATTCTTCTTTTGACCGTTGGAACTGTCTTCGACGACGGCAAGGAGGTCACCACTAGCTTCGAGAAGTTGCTTAACGCGTTTTCCTTAAAACGTAATTTAAGAAAAATGTTTGATCTATCAGATTCCGCGACGCGGATCAAGGGCGTCGACGCTTTTAGAGGGGTGAATGCTTTTGCCCTTCTTGTTGCCCATAAGTCCATGGCGATGGCTCACAGCCCTTATATCAACAAGACGATTTATTCTGAGGTTGGTTTCATTAAATTTAAGAAAGCTTTTAAAATACATATTTTAATATAGGCAAAAAAAGACAGACAAGGTCTAATTAAAAAACATTATTTATTATTATTATTATCATAAATATATAGTATTGATGATGGCATTTATACATTAAATTTAAATAAAACACATTTATTGGTTTAAAATGCAAAATATATTAGTTAACTTATTAATATAGTAACTCCGGACCGACGTTTCCGATACTTAGCAGTAGTAGTGGTTACCTGTTGTGGACCCTTGTTAAAAGTGTTTTATTTAAACATCTTAATTCCTAATGCACTGTCAACCTATATTCAGTGTGAATATTTGGAAATCTATAGACTGAAATCGAAATGTAGATTATACAGCGGCTGTTTATTTTTCTTTCGAAATAAAAATAAACTAGGACATTTTATTCGAAATTTATACCTCCTTCAAATTTACCCCTCCACAGACTAAAACTATTAAGAACCAATTAAATCGATAACAGATTCAGTGGATTACGTAAACTGTAGCAATGGTATTGCGTGACCTAAGGACCTGTTAACACAGAATGTTACTTAAGTCCCTTGCGATTTCCTCCAGTACAATTAGTGTTCTCTACAAGGCCTCTGTACATAGCCTTAACATTAACAAGAGACAGAAATATTGGAAAGAAAACAATTTTATATGCCATCTTAAATTTTAAAATTATTTACAAAGCCGTAAACTTCAAAACATACATTATTCATAGATATCGCTATGACGCCGTAGGTTTCAGGTGGCAAAAAACTTCAGCAAACTCATTTTCAGTTGACGTTTGAACACTGATAAGTGTAATAATAGCACAGGTATATATGCATAATATGTTATAGTTATTATATTATATTAAAAATGACTATGTTATGCTGTACATTAATTAAAACATATTCAACAAGTTAGTTATTAAGACGATATATTATTGAAGAAATGATAGGTAACAAGGGCGAACTCTTGCTGCAAGTGGCTTGGTGATTTTTTTAAAGTATCTAAATTATCTAATTCTTATATCTATAAAATAATAAAAAAACTATATTACACGCGGGGATAATCGTATTTGGAAGACATAATGTTAAACATTTATAGCTCTTCAAATAAGAAGTCATCTTAGAGCTATCATGTTATTTAATCAATATGAACAATTTTTTGCATTTCACTATTCTGCATGTTTGCCTTATAATTCTCGTCTTGAGTTACCTAGGTATTGGCTTAATTGCTCTACAATTTTTCTAACTTCAACCTTCTACGTATCAGAATGATCTAGCAAGTTATAAACATAACGAAGTAGCTAAACATTAATGAGGCCACTAGAGGCAGAGGAGCGTAACTGCAATATTATGACTTGACTTATTTATATGTTCATAATCTAAAAATGTTAATCTCCTGGAGAGTGACCGAATTGTGTACATAATTTTTACACATAATAATACAAATTCATTTGCCTAAGTTATCGCGCATTTTTATTTTTCTCCTAATGGAAAATCTTTTTTTTGTTATTAGGCCACTCTGCCTCTAGTAGCCTCAGATTACTGTATAATTGCCGAAGACTTTATTCGGCTGCAGTTAAACGCTGTTTACTCATTCAGTTTTTAACAAAGGAAATTAAAAACTAAATATTGACTTCTTTTAAGTCCTTAATCATTCATCAATGTCACTAATCGGTAAAACTAAGTCTATGCGTCACAGAAAACACAATCCTTATAATTGTAAATAGGAAACCTTGAGAGATTATTTTTAAAGTTTCGAGTCAATGTACCGTATAACTTACTAGGAACAAAGTTAACTTTTTTTGGTATAGGACTATAAATTGTCGTAAACTCGGAAGGTTATATTTTTACGTATTAATGTGTTACGATATAACTAACGAATCGTGGCTTCAGTTACAACCTCGAACGACTTTTCTCTAGGTTGGTAATTATCAATATTCGTCCCAGTCACTAAATATCGTACCACATATAGAAATGTCGTGATGTTTATGTATCTTCGTTTAAGTTCAGTCTGTGTTTAAATAAAACACTTTAACGGTTTAAAACGCGATATATTAGTTAACCTTATTTGAAAATGATTTTTAACGTCGGCCCGACGTTTCGGATGCTTTGCAGCAGCCGTGGTCACGGGCAGACCACGGCTGCTGCAAATAAGTTCAACTAATATATCGCGTTTTAAACCGTTAAAGTGTTTTATTTAAATGTGTACTACTCGCGTAAACTATAGACAGTATTCAGTCTGTGTATTTATAAAGATTTAAAATAAATATAATTCGACAGCACATATCGTTTACATTATATGGCTGGAGTATTCACATTCACATAGAAACATCGTTACTCTATCTAGAAAATTTAAATAGGAGGCACATCTAGTTATATATATTAGGGTTTACATAACAGGTACGAATTTCTTAGTTAATTAACTTATTACTTGCAGGTGTTTGGTATGCCATGGGCTGTCATTGGGAGATCAGCTATCGTATACACAGATAGTTTTCTGTACCTCAGCGGGTTTTTAAACGCTCACAACTTACTCCAAGATCTTGAAAGGAAGGGCACTATTGATGTGAAGAGTAGACTGCTGTCAAGATGGTTCAGGTATTTCAAGTATAAAGATTATACGAAGACAATGATTGCATTATTATTATAAATAATGTAACAGAGTATTGTCTGTACTTAACGCGCGTCGTACACTTTTTAACGGTTTAAAACGTGAATGTAACTATTTGGAACCCAGTCCCCTCGTCTAGGCTGCTGCAAAGCATCGGAAACGTTGGGCCGTAGTTGCTACAAATAACTTAACTAACTTTTAGCGTCTTAACCATGAAAAAGTGTTTTATTTTAATTTTTACAAATTTTGTTAGTTCAAAGAAATATATTTAAACCATTAAATACAACTGTTATACTTAAAGAACTACCCTTTCACACACATTTAATGATTAAATTGTATTTAACATGTTTTGAAAATTATTGGATCTGATGGGATTCGAACTTAAGACTCGTCGGTCATCAGTCATCATCTACAACCATAATATAAACGTTTTACTAGCATTCAAAGGTGTATACGCGAATATAGATTTAGGTCTTCAAAAGTAAAATCCGGAACATAACGAGGTTTTAATTATAACAAAATTATGGCATTATTTGCCTATTACGAATCGAAATTCCCAACGATGCACTTTAAACACAAATTATTATGAAATAATAATACGCTTACACATTGAAATCCGATCAAACTTAACGATCTGGTCTGCCATTAGTGTTGAACAAACACGTGTCAATTAATTTTAATTTAATTGTTTGAATCACACTGTATTTATCGACCTAACTAAAATTTTGTGTTCGGTTAGACAGGGCACATTGTGTGTTTTATGAAAATCTACAAGCGGAACAGGCACAGAAAAGTGTCTGCTTTATGTCTCACGTTGGGATTCATGAATTTGGGATGGCACTTGAGGCCTTCACGTAGTTTGAATAAGAATATTTATATGCAATTTTTTAACGATAAAGGTGGACAGACATGGCATGGATGTCCCCTGTAGTAGGATAGTAGGAGTATACCCCAGTCTATAACATCTTAACAAGATGCGCTGTCGGCCTATTTATAAATTGTTTGATTGATGTAAGATTAACGATTTTCTATGTATGTACGTGTTATTTTGTCTTCCAGGCTCTTTCCGCTATTCCTAAGCTTGATGCTGTTCTGCACGTATATCCTGCCAGATTTAAACAACGGTCCCCAGTGGAGCTTGGTGGTTGAAGAGCATAGCAGAGTCTGCGAGAAGAATATGTGGAAGAGTTTTCTCTTCATACATAATTATTTCGGGTTTGAGGAAATGGTAAGGAATTATAAATTAAATAGATGCTTCAGAAGAATTATAAATTGATTAGGAACATGTCGGATCCGATCGAAATTGAATCCGAGACTAAACCGAAACGCCATTCGGAGAACGGTGGTTTTTGAGCTGGACCGACTACCAATTTAAAATTCAGAGTTCCAAGACGATGTTTCAGGGGAGTTGAGGCCGCTAGAAGCAGAGTAGCCTAACTGCAATTTTCAGGACTTGAGTTATTTATATTTTCAAAGTCCTAAAATCTTGATCTACAAGAGCACAGTGACCGAAAATTGTTAGCGTAATTCTTAAACAAATAATATACAATCCTTTTGAAGATAATTGGATTTTATTTTCCTCCTTATGCAAATAATGCCCCAGTTATAAATCGATTAGAAACATTTTCGAACCGGTGGGGATCGAAGCCACGACCCATGGATATCACCCACACATTGCTACCATCAAATCAATGAACCCGTTAAACATTTGCAATAGTATTTTACTAAATAAACACAGATACGGCCGTTCTATAAACCAATCCAATAATGCAATATCGCCTCAAATGGGGACAGAAGAGTATTCTTTGCAAAGGAATCTGAACTAAACAACATTTCTCATTGCAAATAAAAATTATCATCTTTTCCGCGCTATTAACAATAACGTTGCAATCCGCACTAGTTCCCATCTACTTATATAACTTATCGGTGTCACCCACTTAATATCTATTGCAAACTAATCGTGGTTCTCTACGTTTTATATTTAATCTCGGTTTTCTAATTATCTTTTATCCTTTTTCGTTAAAATTGCCTATTGAGAAAAATGTTCTCTACGAATTATTTCTAGTGCAATAGTAACTAATTTATGTTAAAAGTCCGTCGCCCGTGTGGGGCATGGGGCGAGCATATTTCTGTGTCTGCTGGTGAGACTTCTGATTTTTTGCCTCTGGATTGTCTATAGTTTACTCGAGTAATACACATTTAAATAAAACACTTTAACGGTTTAAAACGTGATATATATGAGTCAAACTTATTTCAAACGTTGAGCCATTAGCTAAAATTAATTATCTAACGCGTTTAACAAATATATATCGCGTTTTGTTGAAAAAAATTGACGATGATGTGTAGACTCGGTAGCTCAATTGGTGGAGCAACAACACAGAACGCTGACGATGCCGCTTTGAGTCCTACCCGAATCGAAAGTTTTTTCAATTTATTTTCGATAAAAAAAATTATAGTTGTTTTTTTATCGTTTTGTGTTAATAGAAGGGGGAAATACTCACAAATCTTGGTTATATATGATATTTTTATTAAATACAAGTGTTTAATTGAAATCCCGTTTACCCTCGTGGGGCATGGGGCGAACATGTTTGTGCCTTTCACCGAGAGAATCAATTGTTTCTCGATGATTCGAACCCAGGACCTCTTGGCTACAGGTCATACACATAATTCTGCTTAAAGTCAGTCTAGATGATAAAATAGAGAGAATTCTTGCATACCTTTTTACTTTGATCATTACTGCAATGTTTTTAGATGCAAATAAATATCGCATGCACTTTGCACTTATGTATAAAATTGCAAATTTAATTGTTGTTCGCATAACAACCGTGTGAAAAGCACTAAGTGTACGAATTTCCAGTGTTTGAAGATCATTAGTAGCTTTTCGACAATGAAAACAATTCTAGCGAAACAATATGAACTGGTGCAGAGTTGCACGACGCTACCTTCAGGATAAATGCCTTCCGAGAACGCTAATTACAATACAAATTACTCCATTTTTCCTTAGAGTAAGGTCGGGTAAAAACAAATAGTTAGTTTTGCAACGGCATTGCGCAGTTAAGAATTATTTTCGTTTTGCGCTGGAGGTAGTTTCAGGGTTTTTAGCAAATTAAGTTACTTTGCAAAGGCGCTGTTACAGGGGCCTATGCCCTGATTTACTGATCTTTTGATTCTTGAAGACCGCAATATATTGATGATATTTATGTATTCTATTGGCTTTTAAAACATCCAAATTATCTTAATTAAGGTACCCCATTATATATAGTATGTCTCGTCACTGCCTCGTTGGTCTCGTGGTTAGTACACTCGTCTGCCCTTACGGCGTCCCGGGTTCAAATGTTTTGTGGAGCGAAGTGTAACTTAAGTATTTGTATTTTTTTTAAAGTAGGAAGTGTTATCACTTCTGGTGATTCGGGACGCCTTCGAGTCCTAATCCAACCCGCTCGGGAGCAACGTCTTCTCTCACTCTTAGAACTCTCTCCTATGGGGGATCAGCTTTTAATTGTTTTATATACGATATAAGTCTATTAATTACCCTGAGTAATAATCTCACTTGTTATTTCAGTGCCTTACACACACTCATCAATTAGGAATCGATATGCAACTCTACGTGGCCACGTTTCCACTAATGCTGATATTATGGCGGTTCCGACGTTTCGGTCTTGCATTGATAGTGGGTATCGCAGTTGGGTCTACCCTCCTACGTTACTTGGCAACGCATTGGTATGACATTAGCATGTTCGTCTACTACGGAATCTCGTAAGTAACTTCATATTATTATCTTCACTTGTTGATTTACCTTGGAAATAAAGCAAAGTAAAATGATACATATTTTTGGAACAGTTCTTATTTAGACTATAGCTCAGTAATGTAAATTACATTTAAATTATTGTAATAAAGTAGAAAAAAAGTTAATGGATATTAGGTAAGAGATCAAACTCATGATCTGGGTCATAATAAAAGTCAAAGCACTAACGAGCTGCTTCGGTTTTTTTATTCTACTGTTAAAATAATAGTTTAAACAAAACACTTTAACGGTTTAAAACGCGATATATTAGTTAAACTTATTAGAAAATTATTTTTAACTTCGGCCCGACGTTTCGGATGCTTTGCAGCAGCTGTCTCCCCGTGACCACGTGACAGTATTATAAATAATAGTCTTGCAATGAATGTTCGGTTTCGCACACCAAAAACCTAATACTTAAGTAATTTATTTAGTTATAAGAACTTGATACTAAATATGAAAAATATTTTGATTAACAAAATACAAATTACTATAGATATATATCTTCCGAAGCCACCACGAGACATTTTTAATTTGCACAGTTTGCAAACGGCACTTTTGGTGTTAATATACTTGTAGTGTATTATTTACATCTTTTACCTTATTAAAAATACGGCCATATATAAAGATTTGAAAACCATCACATCTATTTGCATTTGAGAGTTAAAATCTGACCGAAAAGTTTTGTCGAATATTCGGTCAGGACTCGGTCCGAATTTATTATACTATCGCAAGCCTAAAAAAACAAATATATTTAGTCTACATGTGTTTTTAACACTTTGTTTTGATTTATCTTCAGAGTATCCAAGCTACTAGATGCAGCAAGATACTCCTACATCCTACCAACACATCGCGCCACAATCTACCTGATTGGAGTTATGATGGCATATTTTATTAAATCTAAGAAATCGTATATTAAACTCAGTGATGTAAGTATATACTTTAATTGGAAAGGACAAAAAAAAACAATTTATTTGCGATAACATGTGAAAGATATTAAAGTTTTCAGAATATGACAGATTACATTTTGACTTTTATAGACTCAATCAAGACTGCTCTGGTGCCTCTGCTGGGGTGTAGCCATTTTCACGATAGTGAGTCCCTTTCGAATGGGCCTCGAAGGCTATAAATACGAGCACTTCCCAGCCGCTATGTTCGCTGCGTTTGCGCCGATTCTTTGGGGACTGTTCATGTGTATCGCTCATTGGTGCATATGCAATGATTATGCAGGTACTATATTATTGTATACATTTTTAATTCAGAATGTTATATTCTGTTATTGTTAAAAGTATTTTGTAACAATTTAAAAAGAAATTTTTAATATAGGAATCGATGTAGGAACTTGGCTAACTTTAGTCTTGCAAGAAAATTAAAAAAAAATGCCGGTATTTTGCGTAGTAGTTACTTGATTCTTAATATATTTAAAAGGAGGATATGTGACATTCCTTACTAAGTGTACCTCTCGATTTTAACAATATTTGACATCTAAAGTCTAAAGAAACAACTGTTTCAATTTCAAATGTTGATCATCATTCTTTAATTATTTTTTTTGCCTGTTTTGGTCTCAAGCGATTGCATGAATTTTGTTTCGCGTTTATTTTACTCTAGTTTACACAATCCCAATGATTCCAGGCATCGGAACAGCATTCGTCGAGTCGCGAGTGTTCAAGTTCTTCAACAAGATCGCGTACAGTGTCTACCTCACTCAGTTCCCGATATTCTTTTATAATGTTGGCGTGCAGAGGCACTCTGAGTATTATACGCCATACCTCCTTGTAAGTACAAGTAACTTCACCCTTGCTACATCAAATGGAAAGCTTCTTGGGTTTTGAAGGTTGATGTCATCTCGAGTGGACTGAGGATAAAAAATATGTTGTGACAATATATTTTTTAAACTAAGGCCAAAAATCCAAGAGGCTTTGGAAAAATGGCCGTGAAGGCTTTATACAATTTATACGTCAAGAAGAAAATTTCCCATGCAAGATGAGTTTAAAAATATATTCGTTAGAAAGTAAAAACTTGAAAACAAGAAATTGCTTTTCAAGATTGTAGACATTAGATTAAAAAATTTAGTATTTTTTAATCTAATGCATTTCAACGGTTATAGAAAAATGTCTTCTGTGCATAATTATTTTTCCATTTATTAGACATTGAACCCATACTCACATTTAAAAGCTTAAATTCTATTGGCTTGTCAATACCTACCTCTGAATATTTTCAGTAAAACTAAGCAGACCATGGATAAAAAAATTTCATAGAGTAAAGGCAGTTACCCCTTTAAAAATTATTGTTTTTAAATAAATTGCAACAAAACGAAAAACTTTAGTAGTTTCAAACTAAAGAAGTATTTAAATAAAACACTTTAACGGTTTAAAACGCGATATATTAGTTAAACGCATTTGACCGAGTAAAGCTCCGAAACGTACGAAGGCCGAAATTAAAAATCATTTTCAAATAAGTTTAACTAATATATCAAAGCGTTTTAAACCGTTGAAGTGTTTTATTAAAATGTGTACTACTCGCGTAAACTATAGACAGTGCTAAAGAAGTAAACAATTAAAATATGTTGCTGCATTCCCACGTTTTGCGTGACATTAACAAAAGTATGCCAATTAGAAGTTTGTTTTAAATTTCAGAACTCAAACGATGTTTTACTTGAATAAACTTAGATCATTGAAGAAGATTAAGGGTTTAGGTTTACTTAATTAGGTGATATTTTTCACTGAACCTCAGTTAATAAAGAGATTTCCTTGTTTTAAAATGTTATTTTAAACGCAGATACTGCGGGTAGTTGATTCGCCGGTAGTCTTTCAAGCACTACCTGATTTTGATAGAATTTGTCATAGACATTTTCACCCATCCAATGCAATTTTAACCCCAAATATATCCGCTAGCTGTGTTGCAGTGAATTCCAAAGATAATACAGAAGAAATTGTAATACTCAAAATATTTAATAGACAATACACAAGAAATTACAGCGCCTTATGAAACTCAAGGCAAACTAACATAATTATGAGTTTCTACGTTAATTATTGAATATAGATTTAAAATGTGTCCTTATAAGAAACACTTTCTGTTTAGCTCCAAGTCCCAGAGATGGCGGTAGTGGTGTTGATTTCTATAATCGCTACCGTCACCATCGAGATGCCTTTCAACCAAGTGTATAGGATATATTTTGGTAAGAGCATTTTTAAATTTGAGAGTTTCAATAGGTAAGTAAGACCTAGAAACTATAAATGGGACTATTAAAAGATGTTGAACTAAACTATCATCCTGATTAAGGGACATTTTTCCCAGTCCTCGAACTCAGAATCTATTAAGCTAAATATATGGTGATAGTATTAAAGAATACAGTTAGTTAAAAAAACAATTTGAACGGTCTATAACGCGAAATTATTCGTTTTCTTCACAATTTATTTTAACTACGGCCCGACTTTTCGAGTGCTTTGCTGAAGCCGTGACCGCGGCTCATAAATTTCGCATTCAAAACCGTCAAAAATTTTTTATTTAAATGTTCACTGTTAGCAAAATCATACACCATAACAAAGTTAGTCTAAGATTTTAAAAGCCTAAGTTTAGAGAGACATCTTTTATACTTCCCATAAAAAAAAATAACACACGGCAATTTTTTCTGTTTATGTCTTCACTCTAGTAATCGATTTGAAGGGAAGTTGCTCTGACTCCATTGTCCTGTCCGACCAAAACTTTATCGTTTCCCCGGGATTCGAACTTGGAACAATTGAGCTATGGAGGTGGTCTATCCGTATTTAAAAGGGCTTTTTATGAGAATATTATTTGACGAGCATGTTTTTTTTTCAGGAAAATCACAGACGAAGCTAAAGGACAAGTGAAGTGCTGATAACCAACCGACTGTATTATATGTAGCTTAAGCCAAAACATCACGTACTTCGACTTTTATACGATAATGTAAGATATATTTATAAGTAAAATAAATTAGTGATTTTTATTATATCGTGTTTAATTTATCGAGATCAATATTAGTTAGATTTAGTTACATACATCTTTATAATACAGACATATATACAGCATTGATCTAACGCATGTTTCCAATTTAAATAAAACACTTTAACGGTTTAAAACGCGATATATTAGTTAAACTTATTTGGAAATGATTTTTAACTTAGGCCCGACGTTTCGGATACTTTGCAGCAGCCATTGTCACGGGGAGACTAAAGATGGAAGATGTCTCTGACGTCAAAGTAAAAAATTGCTACGCTAGCGCCACCTGTTGCGTCGAAGTTGGTATTTGGCGAAACTGGCGGCATCTTTAGTCTCCCCGTGACCACGGCTGCTGCAAAGCATCCGAAACGTCGGGCCGAAGTTAAAAATCATTTCCAAATAAGTTTAACTAATATATCGCGTTTTAAACCGTTAAAGTGTTTTATTTAGATGTGTACTACTCGCGTAAACTATAGACAGTATTTAATGTTTCTAATTTATAATTGTTCTGCAGCATGTTGGACTTTATCTGGAAATCTGGATATTGAATGTGCGGTAGGAATATCGAAATTCCATTCTCTCCGCTTTGTTACAAAACATTAACTATATCTTTATACCGCTTGGTGGGTTCAGGCATGGATAATTACACTTAAATAAAACAGTTATAACGGTTTTAAACGTGAAATATATTAGTTGATTTATTATTTTAATGTGATCCAAAGTTTCGGATCCAAAGCCATTTATTCTACATTTTAAACCGTTTAAAAGTGTTTATTTATTCTATTTAGTATGTACTACTCGCGTAAACTACAGGCAATGCTTAAATATTTCGTTCTGAAATTTCATTCTTTTTTCACTAATTACATTAATTGTCTGAAACTAATATTTACTAAGGAATCCTTTTTCTAAATATTTCACAAATATTGCGTTACAGCTTTGTATTATTATGTTTAAATAAAAAAAATAAGCTCTTAAACTTAAATCTTCACAAACAAAACTAAGAGATTCAATAATTTCTCCTGAACTAATATTATATGTCTACTCAAAAAGCTACTACTACAATTTAAATAAAACACTTTTACAGCCCGACGTTACTACAAGGCATACGACGCGTAGTTTAATTAATAACAAAATTAAACATTTCGCGTTTTAAACCGTTAAAAGTGTTTTATTTATTTACTACTCGCGTAAAATAAAATACTTCTACACTTCTAAATTGTGACTACTAACTCAACTCTTAATATTAAACCTCGTCTGCTGTCATCTGTCTCCAACACCACAGTTATTGTCTGGTCTGCACTGGCACTTCACCATCCCCTTATCCCTGATCAGCCAAGCGCCTTCTGGACATGGCCCTTGTGTATGGAGGGTATGGCAAGTGTTACCAAAAATCGCTGCACCGGGTTTTGAGAGACAGGTTATTACCTGTAATGTGTGAAACATTCAGTGTTGTCTAAAGCTTATAAGTACATATGAGGCCGCTAGAGGCAGAGTAGCCTAGCAATTTTATGACTTGACTTGTTTTTATAGACTAAAAATATTAATCTACAAGACCACAGTGACCGAAAATTGTTAACATAATTCTTACACAAATTATTAGGTCAGTCTGCCTCTAGTAGCCTAAAGCTTAATTTTAACTGGGGTCGATATTTAATTTAAGTCTGAAGAAACAGATGGCACTAGCGTAGAGTTGATTTTTGAGTTTAAAACACTTCAATCGGTTTAAAGCTCAAAATATTTTAATCAATATATTTTTAACGATCCGTCGTTTTGCGGCGATTTTAAATGAAGTAACAAATGTTGCTAGCTTAGATTTGACTTGTCATTAGGTACGATCTTAATCTTAAGTCCCTTTGTGAACAAGACAGCACCAAAATTAACGTCCATATTTGGCGTTTTGAACCGGTAAAAGACTTATATAAAATTAGGTGTGGTCAGCGACTTCGTCCGCGAGAATCGTTATTTTGGGAATCCAAATTCGTTTTGCAAACCCCTTCAAACTCAAGCTATTCCCACGACGTCGGTTGCGTCCCTTCCCGTTGTTCTTGCTAAATAATCTTAAAGAAGACATATAGCATCGTGTTTTTTTTTTAAATTTAAAGTGGAATCATTCTCTTATACATATTTATTAGGTATATTGAACCGTTTTTGCAGCGTACACCTGGGAAACCAACAATGATGATTAATTTTCCCAATTTTTGTCACATCTTTATTAGTCACAGGACATGTTTTATAGCCTTTTAATGCTTTAACTAACACAATTTTTTTTCAAACCCAAAGTTCTTGAGATTACCACGTTCTAACAAACAAACAAACTCTTCAGCTTTATACATTAGTATAGATAGACATCTCATAAGCACTGATATTACGACACAGTAAACTTTCTTCAACGCACTAATCTTTTTCGAGAGAAAAATCATTATGGGTGTAACTCTAAGTGTCAAATCAACAGCAACAGCTGAATGATATCCTTCCACAGCAACTTAGTTATCTATTAATTGTAACACATTTATTTATTCTCTTATATAATAGTTTAATTTCTGTAAGTGTACTTTAGTGTGAACTAAATTATCTGAATGCAAAGCCCAATTCCAGAAATATTCCTTTTACCTTTTTCCGAAGACACAATCCACCAGGTCCACAAGCGCAGACTCCGTTATGGCTGAGTCCGTCCACGGCTGGGCGAGCTTCGAAGTCGAACGAGAGTACCTCGCCGAGCGGACACGGCTCTGTCGCACCAGGTCTATAGCAGCGACGACGCTTCGGGGAGTACAGACGACCTCTAGCGCAGGGCACCTTCAAATTTAAAGCAGTTTTGTTATAGTATTTTCCCTTAAATACTGTCTATAGTTTACGCGAGTAGTAACCATTTAAATAAAATACTTTAACGGTTTAAAACGCGATATATTAAACTTATTTGAAAGTGATTATTTAACTTCGGCCCAACGTTTTGGATGCTTTGCAGCAGCCGTGGTCACGGGTCTCCCCGAATATTAATATATCGCGTTTTAAACCGTTCAATATGTTTTATTAAAATTTAGTAACGCATTTTGCTAATCATTAAGCTATTAAGGTTATTAAATCTAGCAATCCTTCTAACCTTGGTACACCTTCCATCCCTGGTGATCATTTCATCTTGATCACAGGGTCCTCTTGTATACATTCTGTAGCAAGCCCCGTCAGATGCCCTCGCGTGGAAGGACTTGCATTTGCATTCAGCTCTTGAGCCTTTCGAAGACACTTCCACTATTGAGAATGTGTGGCCTTTTGGACATGGGCCGGGAGAATCTGAAACGTGAAGAACTTAAATACTGTCTATAGTTTACGCGAGTAGTACACATTTAAATAAAACACTTTGACGGTTTAAAACGCGATATATTAGTTAAACTTATTTGGAAATGATTTTTAACTTCGGCCCGACGTTTCGGATGCTTTGCAGCAGCCGTGGCCACGGGGAGAGTCATAAAAATCATTATCAAATAAGTTAACTAATATATCGCGTTTTAAACCGTTAAAGTGTTTTATTTAAACGTGAAGAACTTGTTATTATTATTTTTTTACGAGCGATGAGCAAGAGTCGGGTTAATCTTAACATTATTTTTTATTTATTAAAAAAGGAAGACAAACAAGGTTTCACTAGATGGTAAAATACCCAGCCATATAACAAGATATGCTGTGGACCTATTTAGTCTTTGGATATTCGGAAATCAACAGACTGTAACCGAATCGCGATTAAACACGACAAAGTTTTTATCTATGAACGGTGGTTATCGATAACAATGTATACCTAATAATCAACGAGTCGATATTTTTGTATAAAAAATTGTATATATGTAAAAATGCCCAAGACTCACCTAGTTCATAACACCCTTTCGTCTCGTTATGATAATGCGGGAGATGACTCTCACAGCCGCACCTGGATCCAGGGAGAAACAATTGGCCCTTCTCACAGGGACCACGAGAATAGTGCGGGTAACAACTATCATCTGTAGACCAGTAGTTGGAACTTGTCTTTCTGCACTGGAAGTGTAAAAATTCTCATCTATATATTTTAAAGTCTAAAAAACTTCATATAGCATTTAATAAATTGTTAAAATAATAGTATTTTGTATAGCCAAGTTATTTAAACAAAACGCTTTTAAATTAAAGGGTATATAATATTCTGTGTTAAATTTACGTCATTTACGTAATTACGTCTTCTGCAAAGTATAAAGTATACTAAAAGTCGGGCCGGTTTTAGATTAATATAAAAATAACTAATATATTTCTCGTGTTAGTCCGTTAAAGGTGTTTTATTTAAATGTGTACTCGTGTGAACTACGTTAACCAAGTTATGTATTATTTATGTTTGGTTGTTATACACATTTAGCTTTCTATTCGTCTGTCTACTCGTACCTGTAATATAGTTAATGAATAAATAGTTTGTCTGTACATTGAATTAATACTAAAAATGAGAGAAGTATGAAACGTACCAGAATCAAATAATATTTTCATATAATATATGTTTCATTAGTCTGTATACAGTAGATGAGAATCTCAGAATCTATATTTATCATTCTAATCTATATCTATACGAATATTATGAATGCGAAAGTAACTCTGTCTGTCTGTCCGGCTTTAACTCCGAAACTACTAAACTGATTTAAATTAAATTTGGTACATAAACATTTTAGAGCGTTTGAAAGCCAAACAGGCTATTTTTTAATGCCAAAAAAGGGTTGATAGGGGTTGAAAAACGGGATGAAAGTTCGTTGTTCTTTAAGGTAGAACAATGAAACTTTCTTCTTTGCCTTTTTGGCGATAGGAGTGTGAGAGTAGGCGTGGGAGTGATAGTAGGAGTGAGTGTAAAAAGGGAGTGGGAGTTAGAGAAGGAAAGAGAGTGTTGCGGCAAAGTAGCACATACCATAGATTGGCTGCCTTAAATGCGCTCTAACATAAAGTAATGAACAGCCTAAATAATTAAAAATTCTACCCCAAGTTACAACTCCTCGCGAACGAAGTCGAGAGCACAACTAGTGGTTTCATAAGAAGCAAATTTTGTTTCATTTAGTTTCTTAGACGTGTTACATGATGTTATCATAGCCTTACCGTACAATTGGCGAGTCCATCTTTGCCAACTTCCAAGATGGACCCCAAAAAGCAAGGCCCCTGAGTCATCCTGTAGTAACATCGGTCGTCCGGAGGCCAGTAGACCAAGGTCTCGTCTGCGCATTGCTTTGGCCTCACGCATATGCCTTGACGTTCACTGTAATGGCATTGGGGAAATTGGATTTGTAATTATTGACAAATTCTGCAATGATCGTATTTTATATTGCACAAGGCGAGGTATAGGATATATTTTTGTCAAAAAATAATCTCTTCATTTAGACTAAATTTGATTACCATACAAGCGATCCTTGGGAGTTAATCAATTTTTCCATTCATTTCGTTTTGCTTTATAATATTAGTATAGATAAGAAGGTAGTTCAATAATGATGCTTACCTACCCTCTTTTTTTGAAAGACTCCTCGACGGGTGCAAAGTACTCCCCTACTCTACATGGCCCTCTCTCAAACAGTTTATGGCATGTAGTCGTGTGGGGTAATTGCGCAGTTCCCGGGGGACACTTGCATTCAGCCACCGTCATAGACCCACGGCGTCCTGGGCTGAGTTCTTGTGTATCTGGACATGGGTGGCCTTTCTGAAATAAGATATTGCACAGTGAAATTTTGGTTTTATTTTTAATTTTTCGTCGTAGTCAAAATGATGTAGTATGTGTTTATTTTTGTTTAAAATCTCATATCAGCTAATTTTTATAGTGACAATATTACAGAGAGAATATTACATTCAGCAAAACTAGTTTGTTGATTGTAATATTATCTATGAGAAATACAAACATACAGTTTTTCTTTTTGAGAGCTGCTTTTATCTATGGTTACAGCACTCTACACCAAAACCTACTTTTATCTTGTTACAAAATCAGATGCTCTAAATAACTATGCCGTCAGATCCGTGCCGTATTTTAAATTAAATAAAATGACGTAAGAATAACTCTATTCTAAAGGCCGTGTTAAATTTTAAACGCGAATTATTATCTTACAAAACACGACATACTCCCCGGAAACCGTGCCTCAAGCATAATTGAATAAGTAGACGATATTGTTAAACCATTGTGGCTCTTATTCTTATTGTGTTAGAGGATAGTGGTTTTTGGCAGCATATGTTATACGTGTCTCTGTGCGATGCATAAAAATAATAATTGTACTGTTAAACCGTTTTTTACGTGTGACGAATACAATAAACATAATATTGGTACAGAAAGGAAAGTTCAAAGCATCTCTTTCGTCAACAAGAAAAGGGATAATTTTGAGAAAACAGAATATTCTACACTGAAAAGTCTATAATGTCCTTTTGTGGACCATTATGGGGCATGGAGCATATAGATTTACGTAGTACTAATCGACTACAATTGCCAGACTAATAAGTAATATAGTTTTGAAAACTTTATATTTTTACATGTTAAAAAGGATAATAATTTAAATCCAATTTAATAAAAAAAAGAGGGCGAGAGGTGCGTGTATCATTAAGTTGCAAAAATCTTGGTAACAAACAATTGGTAGAATAACAGCACGGAACGGTGACGATGCCGGTTCAAGTCCTGCCCGAGTCGAGCATTTTTTCAATTTATTTTCGATTTTTGAATAATATAGTTTTTCTCACTTCTGTACTCTCTCAACACAATTTAGATGTAAAGCAGTGGTTAAGCTGTAACTATTTTGACGAGATTTACGATACACTAGACAGCTAGTGTGTTTAGTAAAAATTCGGATTCTTCATATTAATTTCAAGTATTGTAACTAAAAACTGCAATTATATGACTGAACTAAAACATCGTGTTGAAATGTGAACGTATTTGTATTACCAAATCGAAAACGTAACATGGTTCATAGGTCGAATGCAGCATCTTGCAATCGAGTAGATGTTGCATACTATTAACACAATGGGAGCTTGCAAAAAACCACACATACTCTTGTCTGACACAGTAATCTATCGCTTCACGAATAGCATTAAACCAACTCATCTATATAGTAGAACGCCAGCGTATGGGTATACCTTTGCGTTAAGAACGAGACGCCCGGTTTCGAATCCCGGGGACATTGTTTTGGTCGGGCAGGGCTTCGTCTGATCAGTACTTGCTTGAGCATAAATCGATCGGTGAAATGAAATGTGTTCGGAGTTCACACTTAGTTACTCTGCTCTGTGGCTCAAGACGTGTTAAGGTAAAGAATAAGAAAGAACGGGATCAAATCTCAATTACTGTAATATGAAGTTATTGAAGAAAATAATTTATCAGGATTCTTATCTTATAACACAATTGTATGATTAAAGGCATTTTACAAGATGTATCTCAACCTATGCAGCATTTTTAAATAAAACACTTTAACGGTTTAAAACGCGATATATTAGTTAAACTTATTTGGAAATGATTTTTAATTTCGGCCCGACATTTCGGATGATTTGCAGCAGCCGTGGTCACGGGGAGGTCACGTGACCACGGCTGTCCAAATAAGTTTAACTAATATATCGCGTTTTAAACCGTTAAAGTGTTTTATTTAAATGTCTACTACTCGCATAAACTATAGACAGTATCTATGCAGCATTGTTGGGCGCAGTTTGGGAAAAAATCTATCCAATAAGAGTTTAGTCTAGTTTTAGCCATTAAACCAACCACGTTAGCAGTTAATTCGAAACAGTAGTTCCCGAGATGAGCGCGTTGAAACAGTCAAAGTCTTCAGCTTTATACTATTAGTATAGATTACATATAAATAACACAGGTATCTCACTACGTGATACATGACCCAATGCACCGGGAAGCTTGTAATTGTACATCTGGTGGCATCTCATTGCGTCACACGGAAACCGCTGAATGTATTTCAATGGAACTTTCACCCGAGCTTAGTTACGGACTCCAATAAATCGTGTTGGGGAAGTCAAGCAAGCAAGGGTTTATTTTAAATTAGAACATTTTATATAACTACTTGGCATTCCGAAGAACGATCTCATTTTTTTATGATAAAGGAAGACAGGCAAGAATCGAGTTCACTACGAGAATGGAGGGTGAAATACGCCAGCCATATAACATCTAACACGATGCGCTGTCGATCAGGTTTGGCTTTGTATATTCGGAAAATATATAACCAATGATAAACAATCTACTTTCAACTACGGAAAAGATTCTTAACGTACTCGTTTATTTTTACTGTAATGCTCTGTGGAAGTAATATACAGCATAAACACACTTACTTACAAATATATACAATGATATTGAAAAACAAATGACTGTCGTAAGCTCCAAAAAATAGGTCTGAACCCAGGCCACGGAAGATTCGGGTCTTTTTAGGCTTACTCAGCTTTTAAATACAGTCTTATAATCAGTACGTTTTAAAAATGTAATTGAATCTGTCTCGTTATATTAAGACATCAATATTGAACACCTCAACAGAGTAGAGTGATTAATGTGTCCACGACTTAGCAGTTAGCTACCGGACAAAGTTTAATTGAGGAAACAGTTGAGATAAGAAAGTTATAACAATGTCGCACAGATTAAATATGACAACGAGTGTAAATTGTTTGTATTGTGCTTACCTTTATATATTCTATTATTATATAATTATCTGTTATTATTGTAATATGGATAAATGTATTAAGTAATTTTATAATTTTAAGAGGGGAGGATAATTTTAATCACGTGCTTATTTTAATTTCATCATAGTCTATATATATAAAGCTAAAGAGTTTGTTTATTACTTTGCTTCAGAGTTTCCGATTAGTAAAATTCTAGTTATTTTAAATATGCTGTTAATTAAAAAAGTCAATTTTTGAAAGTGTTAAATAGAACTTGAGTGTCTGTTGCCTAGCGCAACAAAACTACTGTACATAACTCAGCTCTGTACTGTTAAGCTCACCAGGCATGAAGATGGAAAATGGATATAGAAAATCTTAATTACGGAAGTTACCTTGTGCCAAGGTTGGGTACAGATAAGGATCGATGTCTTTACTTACATATAAAACATATTGCGCGAAACATCACAAGAAATAACATTGTTAAAAATATATACATTTTTCTTCTTTTGTAAATAAAAAGTCAAGCTATAAATATAAAACCTTAGTACTAGAACATTTCAACGGAGTAAAATAATTTTAACACTAGCCAATTGAATTATTGCTTTTCTATCTATATTGGTCAATAATTCTAGTTTTAGATCTTGTTTGTCTCCTTAATGCGACATACTTTCCCTTTTACTCGCTTTAATTATAATCGTTTTTACGAAATTTACTGCAACATTTTTAAACAGGTAAAATTGTTTTAGAAAATAACATGAACGAATTTAGCATAATATGTAAATAAAAAAATCTCTTATCGCGCTGTATTATATAGTTAGTAGTGGATTGATAGAAATGTAACATGCACGGGACTTGACGCGAACTAAGCAGCTTATAAGAGAAGTTAGATATTTTATTAAATCATTATAATAATATGAAAAATATTAAAGGTTTCAAAGAATATTTTTTTGCTTGTTATTACTACAGCTTACTGATTGGGGTGTCTAGTTTTTGCAACTTAAAACCACTAGCTATTGCATATTACATATTTAAATAATCCTTTTAGGCAATAGCGAGATGTCACATCATCGTGCAACGAAATAACAATAGGATGGCACAACAAAGAAGCTGTCTCAGAAGTGTGAAGGTGCTAAACGGAGTGCAGTGGGTCATCGTGTGTCATAACAGATCGAATCGGTCACGGTCTTTCATAAGTAACGAATCGAACCGGTTCCCGGGCGATTTCACGTCTAACGAACTGCTTTTTTACCGTATCGATTCGCGCTTTTTATATCTATCCACTCTAGCTTAGAATAACGGTTTACTGTATACAAATAATACAACTGGTCAGTTTGAATCCAAATTTATAGATTTTAATATACCTATTGCAGGAACGCCTCTGAAACTTTTTGGTGTAACAAAGAAAACACTCAACAACAAATAGTTTCAGGAGATTAGAGTATAGAAGTCTAATAAGTTACTTGTCTGTAAACAGAATAATAAATTGAGGTAAAACAGACACAAAAATGTCCGCCCTGGCTACTATACAGAATAAACGAGACTTATATGAAAAGTCCTTAAATAAAAATATTTTTTAAAGAGTTCATCAACGATTTTTAACACTTTCATAACTGGATTTTGTAAAGATTAACTAATAAAAAAGGTTGCGAATTAATATTAAATATTGTCTGTCGTTTACACTTTATGTGCTAAAACTTACCTTATAGATGGTATAACATTTCCCATCCATAGGCCAATACAGCATCAGCCACCCTCGAGGATGAGAAGCGCATGGATTACTCTGAACATCTGCCCATGGCGGCGGCAAAACTGCCGCGTTACTTAGTACCACCAACCACATTAACACTACCTTCTTGAACCACTCTTCCATTTTAAAGTCTGTCACCGTAAATTTCCAGATAATAATTCATCGTTTTTATATAATGTCCGGGCTAATGTTCTTAGTAAAACTCTTTGTTTATTTTCGCGCGCATTTTACACCATAGACAATAAACATAGTTTTTTTTTATAACGTGCCAGTTGCAAATCACAAAACGTTCCACTTCTCGCACTTCCTACTCGTAATAATTATATTGTGTTATACGCAATTATGGTAATTGAATTTTGTATAACATGGTTTTTTATAATTTTAATTATATTTTTTGCGTATAAGGTTGCAAGATCTATTAATAGTATAACTAAGACGTATTATGTAGTCCTGCATCTAGATTATAATTAAGTTTGGACGAGCAAACTGTTTAATTTCAAGCTGCAATATTATTTTATTTATAGCAGAAAGCAGAGCAATTTTCTGATAAAAAAATAGGAAAGAAAAATAACATTATTATCCTACACAAAAATGGCAAATCCATTTAAAGAACCTAGCCAATATAAAGCAATATATATAAAACTATGTCGAATGTTGTGGATTACGTCTCGAGAATGATAAACAAGTAATGCCGCGAATACTAGTGCACTTATGTTAATCTCAGTGTCAATGATATAACAATGGTAAGTGTAACGGTCTAACCGAAATGTTGAAAGAGCAACCTACTTATTTTTTACCGTGATTACGTTCGTCTCCATGTACTACAGAATGATCAATTTTATTTCGATGCTATTACAATCATTATGATAATGATTTATTTTTAAGATCTAGTACAAATTTTACCCGTTTACTTACTTCACAATTAACAAAACTATATTATAATGAAAAATTAATGGCACAGGCGGGACTCGAATCAATGAACTTGTACCTATCGAAAACCTTAACAGAATTTATTATTCCTTTTTAAATGTACATGTTTTAATTATATAAGTTTTTTTTATGTAAAAAAAATAAGAATAGTCACTAAAAAGTCTAACACGGAATTTCATTCCAATTTTTAATTTTCTTTCACTTAATAAATGTTAATTACCTAGCCACAGAATGTTTATATAAAATAAATATAATAAAAATTCTATGAAATAAATTTCTTTCACTATTACCACTTCACGTTCCGGTACAACACGTGACAACGTAGGTACGTGTTTAGAGTATCGCGTCTTAACGTCTACTGAAGACTCGATCTTCGGTTGAGGGCCAGGCTTTGGAGCTTTCGTGTACCTGGACTGCAAGACATGGTAGGCACTAATTACATATACCAATAGCAACCAAGCACAAAGAGAATTGTTAACCTATTTATAGTTATAAAAATTATGTTTGTCTATACTTATTGTTTATAAATGTATGTATTTAAAACATACAATTATAATATAATAAAAAAAATATATAAATACTGTATAATCTTTATAGGCTTTCAGCTATTTTGAAAAGATACATGGTTTTTTAAGCTGTTCAGCACTCGCAGATGAGAAAAGGTTTAAAAAATTTAATATTTTTTACATGTTATTGCACATGAAGGCAGTATATAATTTAAAAACGAAAATAAATTGAAAAAATTTTCGACTCGGGCAGGACTTGAATCGGCATCGTCAGCGTCAGCAACAGCACGGAACGCTGTCGATGCCGGTTCAAGTCCTGCCCGAGTCGAATGTTTTCAATTTATTTTCGATTTTTAAAAATAGTTTAATTAAGAAACCTTGTTTAAGATAGAAAGGGACCGACAACCATAGACTTCACTTGTTAAATACTCCAGCCACATAACATCGGAATAAAATGCGGTGTCAACCTATTTAGGCTTTGGATATTTGGAAATACACAGTAACGCAATTAAACTATAAGGCTTTATTAAATATAAATCCATCCGAAATTTGTTAATGTTAAAAATACAAAGTTTATTATCTTTTGATTTGACACATATGACCCCTAAAATCAAAGGATACAAGTATGTATTGGGAAACTATGACTAACGTCCTCAGTGGCTATCACGATACGAAATCGAACCAAAGCAAATAAGGGATGCGCTGTCGGCCGTCGGAGCGCGGAACATGTTTATTTTGCTCATTAACTGGTTTCAATTTTTTTCATAGCCACTCCAAACGTCAGATCCTTACCAGCTTGTTGACATTGCGGGCATGCCGCCTCAGCTAACGACCTTTAATAGTTTGAAGGGGGTAATGCCTTAACAGTTAAGAATACATTTTAATATCCACTTGGAATATTTCTGTAAGACGTTTGTAACTAGTTCTGTTAATTGCTAGCGCTTGACCGCTACTTTGTAGTTTACGCGAGTAGTGCACATTTAAATAAAACATTTTAACGGTTTAAAACGCGATATATGTTAGTTAAACTTATTTGATAATTTTTTTAACTACGGCCCGACGTTTCGGATGCTTTGCAGCAGCCGTGGTCACGGGGAGACCACGTGACCACGGCTGTCCAAAGTAAGTCCAAATATATCGCGTTTTAAACCGTTAAAGTGTTTTATTTAAACGGACGGATACACAAAGATAGACAAAAAACTTGGCTTTTATTATTCGCGAAATTTTCTTATAAAATTTTATTGTTTGCGATAAAGGCTTAAACTCAAAACATTACTCTAGTTTAAACGGGATGGCAAAGTAAACAAAGCAATTTTTTTAATGACCGTGAAGGACAGACATGCACGGGGTTTTCTTGATGGAGAAGGAAATACCGCAGCCTAAGCAAGATGGCTGTCGACCTTGGCTTTGGATATTCGGAAACAGAATTCCTAAAATATCTTTAAATTTGTACACCAATGATATTTTATCTATGTCTTTCGGATCTTTTACAAAATCTAACATGTTACCGTTAGCTATTGATATCAAAGGTGTCCCACGACATTTGTGTCGCCAAGAACGTGTTTAATTGGGCAATAAGTTGCCTAGCCTGGCGTAAATTATCGGACTGACGGGAACAAGTTTCATACAACGTTTAATCCAGTTAGGGGCAAGACGCGGAAGGAATCGCAGTCAATTTCACGCTTACATTGTTAGATCGTTCTGTTGTATGTTGCTCACTGTAGGGACTTTAGTTACGGCGTATATATTTCCTTTCGAGATTTAATTTGTCCTAAGAATTATTTTTATTCTCACAATATTTTTTTATACATAGGAACCCTCGACCTGATGCTAACGTAAAGTCGGGTGGGACTCCTAAACTAACGAGGTTCAAATGGAGTGAAGAAACTATTGCAAATTTACGCGAGTAGCACACATTTAACGGTTCAAAACATGAAATATATTAGTTAAGTTAATTTTTAATTCAATTTGTCTAAAAATTAAAAAACCAGCTTAACCAACATATTTCACGTTTCAAACCGTAAAAAGTGTTTTAAATAAACGTGAACTACTCGCGTGAACACTCACTCTCTATTTGAATCTTGTTGGGAGTATGGGCACTAATTTCTGTAAATTTACATCTTAGCAATAATAAGTGATATTTTTTAATCTCTTTTACATATTTACAACACAAAAAATAGGTTTTGGACACAGAAATTCTAATAAGTTAAGTTAGTCAATTTGCAAGACCCGGCCAGTTTCGCCAAATACCAACTTCGACGGAACAGATGGCGCTAGCGTAGCAATTTTTTACTTTGACGTCAGAGACATCCTCCATCTTTAGTCTCCCCCGTGACCACGGCTACTGCAAAGCATCCGAAACGTCGGGCCGAAGTTAAAAATCATTTGCAAATAAGTTTAACTTGTAGTATCGCGTTTTAAGCACGTTAAAGTATTGTATTTAAATGTGTACTACTCGCGTAAACTATAGACAGTATTTAGACGTTAGTATCTTCGCGAACTACCAATATTGACAGAGCCTCATAACATTATTTTTACAATTGTAAAAACATTTTTGATCAAAACACATATTCCGCCAGCACCATTACAATACCGTTACCACAAATTGTCTGGGCCTCACCAATATCAAACTTCTAGTGCCCGTTGTAAAGCTCTACCATACCGTGCATTATCTTATGCTATGACGCAACGCACCGTGTACATACCGTTAAATGAGGTTGATCGACCCTGACGAAGCACAAAAACTACCATAGACTATAAATGGGAGCTCTATTTTACAATAAGACGTTTGTAATCCATTAAAGCAATTAATAATTATAGTTATAGTTTGTAAAAACGTCTTGAAAGACAATATAATTAGGCAAATATATCTCTAAAAATCTATATTAATAATAGCTAAAGTATTTGTTTGAACGTGATAAACTCAGTTTTAAAAAAAAATCTCTTACATTTGTGTTGTAGACCATTTATCGAAAGAGGTTTTAGGCTATATAACGCTAGGCTGCGACCAATAGGAACGTACAAATGTGGAAAAACGGGGAAAATTATCCATCTTTGAGGGCTTTTGTTACATGCGCTGAAAAAACATTTTAAGAAACCAAAAAAATATGAGTAAAGAAGTGATTCCTCTTTAAATTATCTACAAAAATGTTAGTGACCAGTGTACGTCTATTTTTTAAGATAAATCGGAAGAACGACGGGACACGGACAGCTGGAAACAAAAATCTTATAAGGTCGTTAGCAAAAATAAATTTTGATACCCAAAATATATTTAAATAAAACACTAACGGTTTAAAACGCGATATATTAGTTAAACTTATTGGTCTCCCCGTGACCACGGCTGCTGCAAAGCATCCGAAACGTCGGGCCGAAGTTAAAAATCATTTCCAAATGAGTTCCAAATAAGTACCCAAAATATAACTATTCCACACAGAGGAAGTCGCGGGCACATCCAGTATACCTATCGTTGAAAGGGAATTGGTCCGAATAAGCTCTCTACACTAAAAAAACCCTAGAAAAGGATCCCTTAACATAAATAGACAAACAAAACTGGAAACAAAGATAGAAAACCAATAACCCGAGTCTCCGTCAATGGCTACATTTGAATAAAACTAATCAAACGAAGAGAACAAGTTTTTATCGAAGTCCTGCCTTTGATCGCTAATAAGCATCTATTGCTTTAAAATGCACCAGACGTATCTTTGACGATTTCCCGTTTGAATCGGATTAAGCGAAACGAGCCTGAAGGGAAATATAAAATATAAGTTTGAATTGAATTCAAATACACTCCTTAAAAAAAAAAAAATTAAAAATATAAGGAATATTTCTGTGTCGATTTTTATTCTCTAAAAATACGTATTCTATGCCTTTTTAGCAAAATTATGTAAGAATCAAAAATTCGTATGAAATAGTACACATTTCAATAAATAACATGGACGAAAGGTTTTAAAACATCATAGATTCGTTAAAACACATAAAAACACAGCGTGAGTCAATGCTGTAACTTGTAACCCAAACCAGGACCCACCCAGTTTCTGCGCTAGCGCATCAATTTTCACTTTGATATAAGGGACACCCCTTGTTCAGTCTCCACGTGACTACGACTGCTGCTAAGCATTAAAAACGTCGGTCCATAGTTAAAATAAATTAACAAATATATTTCGCTTTTAAACCGTTAAAATGTTTTATTTAATGTGCGTTTACCTTAAATGTGGTAGTATACAATGATCAATAAATGTAAGTGCGCTCCAACGATTATTTATCGGCTATCGCTAAATCCCGACAGAATTATGTAAATTTTATTTTTATGCGTACAAGATCCTCTGTTTTGCTTTTACTTACAGCGGGCTTAACATAATATTACATTTAAAGCGGATTTGTTATTCTGATTAGCGTTCTTCCAACTTTATTACGCAATAATAACGGCATAATTTTAATTATGATGTAATTTTATAAGAGAACTTTTACTTTACTGTAAATATGGGACAATACGATGTTTTACAATAGAGAAAGCAATTATTTTCTTTCTATCCATGACTAAATGCCATCAAAAGCTACGCAGGTACTTATGGATAATTATTAATTGAACAATAAGTTAGCGGAGGTAGTAGCACTTTATGTGAGCAGTTCACATTTGAATAAAACTTTTAACGGTTTACAACGCGAAATATATTAGTTAAACTTATTTCAACATTTGTCTCCCCGTGACCACGACTGCTCCAAAGCATCCGGAACGTTGAGCAGTAGGTAATTTTTTTTAAGTTTAACATACATATTTTGCGTTTTAACCCGTTAAACTGTTTTATTTAAATGATACCTATATATTTGAAGTAGGTAGATTAAATATCTTCTTGGCCTAGGGGACATTTCTAAATCGACTAAACGAAATTAAGTATTCAGTGTCAGTGTGTCAAAAACAACTACGTAATAATGTATCCACATTCTGTTAACGCCATTAACTTTTATATAATTCCTACAACTAGTAGCATTTAAACTAGAAAGTGAAAATCCATGTTGAAATCGAGTAAACATTTGTTAGTTGGTTAATCTGTTTAGGGCTTACTTCTAAATTGCCTTCGTAAATAAACTGTTATAGTACAAATAAAAAAAATACACTTTTAACGGATTAAAACAAGACATGTATTCGTTAAAATTATTTAAAAATTATTTTAAACTATGGTCCACTTTTCAGATGCTTTGTAGTAGCCATGTATACTACTCGCGTGTGTACAGACATTATAAAATGTTGTACTCAATTTTGTAGGTAAATAATTGTGAATAATTCTGGCTTCATAAAGGCTCTTATATTTGTTTTGTCTCACAATATTGAAGCTTTATTAACTGTTAATATACCGGGACCAATAACTCTATTTCAATCTATGAAAAAATATTAAGTGGGAATAAGAGTTAATAGAAACCAAATCCAAGCCAAAATACTAAAACGAGATACTAGGTCCAAGCCGGATACATTCGTGTCATTATCTACAAAAATAAATTACATCGTTTCATTAAATGCAGTAAAAATTATAATTATAATGGGAACAATAGTTTTGTTTGCATTAATATTTTTCCAAAATTTTACGAACGACACACGGTTCAACGTGCTGTAGTATCGTAAAAAACAGTGCTGTGGAATAAAATACGCTTTGTAATAGTTAATTTACACGTATATTTTGGTTAGTTTTATAGTTTTTACAGAAATCTCCTAGGTATATTGGCGTCACTGATGATTTTATCATAAAAGAAACAAGAACCTAGCTTAACGCCATGTTTTAGTGATTATACATAAATATTCTGTAAAGCTAGTCACTAGAGTGTGTAACGTGTCTCCAGAGGATAAATTGTATGTCAATATTTGAACTAGATTACATAAATTATGTCACTGAGCGTGATAATTTTATGATTACTAATTACTACGCAGTACGCATCCATTTAATTGAAATCATTAGTCAATACAACTGATGATAACGACAATATGATATTTTAATATTTTTTAATGGTTAGCTTACTAAAGTCAAGGCATGTAATAAGAAGGTATTTTTCCGTTTTTCGAACAATAAAAAGACTTAACTTTACAATAATTGTTATTGTAGAGAAATGAGGAAACATTACACAAATACCGCCAAATTATTCGAAAACGACACAAATTAATGATATTATAATATACTTACATATATACAGTATAGATACTTTACGTCAACTGTCATAGTTAACATCAATGTCAAGTAATGATATTTTTGATTTGTTGACTACAAACACTTTTTTATTAGTGAATAGTGATTCATCTACATTTTTAATGTGGAATATTTGAAATTTAAAATATATTATAAAGTTAATATTACTTAAATAAACAGTGATCGACAGTTTCTGATGAAATGGATCACAACAAAACGAAGAATGCTTCAGAGGGTATAGCGGTTAGTTGGTTTACAAATTATTTAGATGCAGCCTCACAATTGCTCTTAATATCATTGTAACGGCTCAACTTTACAAAACTAAGCCGAAATTATTGTATGCTAATAAGTGTGATTGAGATTGTCATATAAGGACATACAACTTTCCAAGTTGTACTCTTTTTAATCAAAAAGGGGTCAGAATAACACATTGCTTTAAGAATTAATTTGTAAATGTCTGTCCCTACATTCTTAGCATAAAAGGAACAGATTATTAATGCTCTATTTATTTCCTGATTTTACAGCCAATGGGTATAACAACACTTAATGAAACTGTACTCAGCAATCAGCCAGAATCCAGATATGAATGTCCTGTGTGCTTGAACTGGCTAAGAGATCCTGTAATCACGACTTGTGGCCATAAGTTCTGCAAGAGTTGTATAACATCTTGGCTGAAGTAAGTAGACAAAATATACTTTAAGCTCAATATTTTATTTAGACTTCATTGGAACACAAGCATGCATTTTATTTAAATGTCCTTTATTTAACTAATAAGATTTAGTGCTTAGAAAACTAATTTTTGTTACTTTCTTATTTTTTACACACATTTTTCCATGTACACCACTGGACTATTTTCAAACAAGACAATTTATTGAAAAATTATACAAAATAATTAAACATATTTTTTTTTAAATTACAGAAACAGTGGTCACTGCCCCATAGATAATATTAACCTTAGTATGAAAGTTGATATATTCCCAGATAATTACACCAAGCGAGAGATTCAAGAGCAACGGATGTCATGTCCCTTTGCTGCTAAAGGTAAAATTAATTTTGGTACTCTACAAAGATATGTAAACAAAAAATGAATAAATAAAATATGTTCATTGTCTCTCTCTTAAAAATTAAAAAAGTAAATGGTAGATTTTATTAGAAAATGTTGCAGTATAAAGCTCTGTAGTAAAAATAAGTTTAGAGCACTTTACAGGAAACTGCTGAATCAATACGCTGAAAATATTTTGGAAGTAGCTGACGCATTTGAAAGTTCATTGTCATAACAGATAAAGGACAGATCTTAAACTAACATATTTTATTGATAGAACAAAAATATATGAACTTAATCTATACACTTCAAGTAATATATTATAGACATATATATAAAACTACTATGATTTTCAAGGGAAATTGGCTAATTGAATAACCTGTTAAAAATAAATAGTTTTTATTAGTTCAGATGCAAAATTAAATTCTAATATAACCTATACTCTTATATAAAATCTACATTTCAGGTTGTGCAGTGAAAGTGACCCCATTGGACCTGGATGCACATATATCCACCTGCGAATACAACCAACCTGAGTCATCAACACAACCCAATATCGAAATACCCTGCTCCTTTGTAGCAGTTGGTTGCAAGGAGACCTTTGATAACCAAGAAGATGCTAATAGCCATTTGCACAATGATGTGCTTAGTCATATGAGTGTGAGTGATTCAATATTTACAAAAACCACACCATAGAAGCTAAATGGTTAAATATGTGCCCAAAGGTTAGCTGGTCCTGGGGATAGAGACAGAAGTACAACTACTTGCCTGTCAATAAACCTGATCAGTGAAATGGACACAGAAATATTTTCTCCCCATGCACCACAAGCGGGAACAGGTCTTAAATAAATAAATCATATATTTTGACTACATAATCCAACCAAACAATGGTGTAATCTAATAATACCCATTTTACATCTTTGGGCCGAGTGCATAACAATGCATAGAACTCATGACTTCTTTAAAAAAACTCAAAATAATATAATTGATATTTTTTTCAGTTGCTCATGAATGCATATTCTAAGATTAAAATCGACAATGATATGTCGAATATGGACGCGAAGGCACAAGAAGCTTTACTTTGGGATGCACCAGATAAGGATGGGAACCAAAGCACTACTCCGCCAATTAACGATGTCAATCCTCTAATCAGGTACCATTAAAAATCTTTATACCAAACCTCCTGAACTCAAAGCATCTTTGAATGTTTATTATCCCTTTCACTCGCAAGGGAAATATTTTTCCCTTCTACAAAAATCGTTATCAGTTGTTAATTTATTACTGATGCATTATTTTTTTGCATGAATCTCAAAATAAAACAAATAAAATTATATGAAATTTAATCAATCATCCTACTCTCTCTCTCCCCCTACACCCGAAATATAGATATTTTATTTTTATACCCTTTATATGGAAACCGCTAAGTGGTTGTGATGAAAATTAATTTTATTACCAATTGCACTAATAAATAAATGTAAAGTTTTAATCAATGCCTTGGTATTTTCAGAGCTCTTTACGAAAGGGTAGTGGTGCTAGAACAGAGAAATCGTGAACAAGACATAGTTATAGCAAATATTTCGAAACAGCTATCTGCATTCGCTGTGGCTAAAATGAAGCAAAACAACGATATGCTCCTACGATACTGTATGGGGCATTATATTTGGAAAGTGGATAATTTTCGAGCCAGACTGGACGCTATGCTGAAGGACCACAATAAAATGCTATACAGCCCTGGGTTTTATACATCGCCAAATGGATATAGGTAATTAAAAATGATCTATTTTTCGATTGTCTATTGTTCACGCCATAATATATTTTTCATAATGGATGGGGAAAAGGAGGGGGGAAACTCCAAAGAAGGGGGTTTTTTAATTTCGTCTCCTAAAACCCCTTAAAAAACCCAGATTTCCAGACAAAGGAGAAAAGTTTCAAAAATGTTGCGGGGGCACGAATCGTTAATATTAGCCATAGGGATATAAGCTTCATATTAAGTATACCAAGGGGTTGTCATTATACGGAAAATCACGAAAATAACACAAGGGGGGAGGGGGGGGTGTAGTAAGATATCTCGTGTATTTATTTTTTCGTCACACGCGCGATTTTTAAACAAATGGTGTAGACATTTTTATTACGGTCTTTTATTAAAAATTCTAAAAAAGGTCACGTGATTAATGGACAACCCCTAATTTGTATGAAAATCATTGTGTTAAGTGTGCAGCCGACAAAAGAGTTTAAAATAGAATTATGATAACAAGCTCTTTCGCCAGGAAGTAGTTCCTTTTGGTTTGTTTAAAGCCCAGTAACTCTAAGGATTCACTACTTTCAAGTACACAATTTATACGCCTTGGCTTCTTGGGTTTCTAAGATGGAGAAAAACTCGACACTTGGAGGTTTACAACAATTTAATGCCCTCCAAAAAGTCCGCTAAAGCCTTATACAATTTATAACACAGTATTTCTTTACCAAACAGATTCTGCGTCCGACTCAACATATCTCCCCAAAATCCGAAGTACTTTGCGCTCCTAGTTCACTTAATGAAGACAGAGAACGACGATTACCTCGACTGGCCGTTCAACGGTCGCATTTCGTTCGCAATGATCAACCAATACGACCCCGAGTACACTCAGCGGGATACCATGATGTCCGATTCTACCCTCGTCGCTTTCAGGAAACCGACTACTGAAATATGCCTCAGAGGCTTCGGTTACAGCGAATACGCGGTCGTTGACGATATCATGAGGAACGGATTCGTTAAGAACGACGTGCTTATCGTAAAGGTCAATATTAAGTGTGTATGACAGGAGTTGAAAAGTAAGGCCCGTTTTCATTAAATGAATTCTAAAAATAAAGCCCTGATAAGGAGTATACTTGTTAAAATAAATTAGTAATCAGAATGTTTACTACCTCTGTAGCTAAATGGTTCAACTTTTACATGAGTTAATTGGGTTCGAGTATCAGCGAAACAATATAGTATTTGGGTTTGGTAAAATAAGAAAATCAGATTAAATAATGCCTGCTTGTAATTAACTGATTAGTGAATTGGACATAAAAATGTGTTCGCCCCATACCCCAAGGGGGGATTTCACTTATGATCTAAATGTTTGGTTTCAATTCGTTAATCAGTTTCTGAAACAGAATATTGTAATAACCATTGTCTTTAGATCAAATTAATAGCTAGTTAGTAAAATTGGGCCTTGCGGAAATTACAGGTATCATTTTGGTGTCATAGAAGTCTCAATATAAGAAGAAATGCTATTTATCGATAAAAAATATACTTATATTATTAGTTCTTTAGGTATTTTTTGTAAACTCAAGCAATAATCACCTTTATGGTGTTGTTATATAGTGCTATTTTGAATATTAATAAAGGACGAGCGTACTTAATCATTGTAATTGTAGTTAGAGATATGTTTTACTATGTCTAAACTTAAGTTAGATTTATTAAATACTACGCACATTCCGAAATTGTAGAATAAAAAGGAATTCCTTCCGTCCTTTTGAACTAGAACATTCCTAACAGTATTAAAATATGTTTAAGAATTACTAGCTTTATCGTGCCGTCCGTATTATACAGTTTCTCATAATCTATAAATATTGTGCAATCTCTTATTATATACATTTTTACTATTGTTATTGAATATAAAGTGGACTGTATATTAGGTGGAAACACGGTTTCCTTTGAGTTGCGATCACCGCTGCGCAGAAGCAGGCAAAAGGATCAAACCCACTAACCTGGTCTTCCAGACGCTCACTTCAGCTCCTCGACCCAGTAGACAGATGCACGGCACCAATGTTAATACGTCATGGACGTTTAAGATGGCAGTTCTTTCGCAACTGATAGGGTTCGCTAATCGCTTCTCGCGCGCGCCCTGTTAACTCCGGTAGTGGGAAAATCCGCATCTGCGATGCAATGATCGAACAACTATATATATGTTTTGTTGTTAATAAAGAGTTTACAAATTGATATCTTTGTTATTTTTACACACACAATATAATTGTTAGAAGGGCCTAATTATAATTAGAGTCACTGTCGAGTTGGATCTGTAATGGCTGTGTGCGTAAATAAATAAAAATGTTTATGGCTTTTCCAATAGCCTATGATCCAATGTATAATTGGAAACTGATTGTAGAACTAAACTTTATTATTTACCTTATCTGTAATAAATTAGTATACCAATGACCGATTAGCATTATTCCAGTCTAACGATTAGGTAAATACAGAACTGATGCAGGTCGTAACGTGAGGTGGAAAAGCTGGTCTTATAAATAATAAAACGGCTCCATTGTAAGTATATTCATATTAAACGCTACAAAACTACGTTACAAATATTAAAATATAGGAATTTCCCTTAAACGATAACTTAAAGTAAGTATAGACAAATCTAGTTCCTATCACATTCATCCATCACAATAAATTTCGTCGTTAATTTTTTCACTTATAATAGATATATCTCGCGGTAGACTTTGGCTAACATTTTACTTGAATTGTCAACCCTAGATTAGCGTTGCTACGCCAGAAAGTGCTCAAGACTCGAGCTTTCAGAATACTAGTAATCTTTCCCTTTGTCATCGTGTTTTGGATTAAATACTGCTTGAGATACCGATAAAAACGCCCAATGTTTCACTTAGCCACATAACCGCGAAATATATCAAAACAATTTGTGCTTTATCACCGAGGGTAGTTTTACAATGTATACCAATATCAATAGGAAGAACGGCGTCCCGATCAATTTAGTAGTTACACTACACGTCAAAGTAAATCTAATATGGCAACACAAGCTCGCACAGCACGATAATTGGCCAATTTTCAAAAGGAAGACAAAATAACGAATTTCATACAATCCACAAACTTAACTTATTTGGGTCCATGTCTGGAATGTACTGCCGATTGGGAGCGAACTCATTTTCTACACAATTATCACAGACGGGGTAAACAAAAATGCTCGGTTTTGTCAATTTAAATAAATAAATAGGCGCCACACAAATATCGTTTCGCTTCAACGGTTATATCACGGAGACGTTTCTGTGATTGTAGTAGAGAATCCGGAAATAACCAGTTTGCAGCGTAACAGTCGCTTATGAGACTACCCACAAACGCATAAACGTCTCCATGTCGATTGAACTGTACCGTGAGTTTGGTAAAGTATGTCGAAATCATGCACTTACAATTAAAAATCCTTATAGCTGTTATTGTTAATAGGATTGAATAATTTACAATGTAGCAATGAAAAAGTATGAAGTCAATTACTACAACTTTACCAAACTCTAAGATTTGTCCTTTAGGCCACTTAATACATTTCGTCTTGTACAAAAATACGCTATGTATAATCAAAATTATTAAATAGTCTTAATTATAGGTCTCTATTATTATAGGTCCATTGAGATACTAACATGATTTTGCCTAGACTAAGATTTTGTGAGAGTTTTAATATTGGAGAATTTTAATTCAGGGCTTAAGAACAGGAACTGCCAATCATTCATATTTATCAAGCACAAATCTTGACATCTTTTTATAAATTTAACTCTAACAATTAAGATTTTATGTCACTTCCTATTAGTTTTATGCCAAAAACGAGCAATTAGTAAATGTTATTGGAATAAATTATTTTAAAAGATTAGCCCTGAATTATTGCCGATAATAAGTAATAAAATTTTGTCAATTTAATTGCACATAAAACTTAAGATCTTAAAAAGCTAAGCTGTTTAAATATGTCACATGTATCCTAATCTCTACAGTACACTTAAAACATATATTACTAATTGAAAAAATGCAAATACCTATTCAATATCAGTAGAGCTGATAATAAAAAAGTTAATTTAGAATTAAATCTATTGTCACCAGAGTTTCAGAAAACAATCTTAATGACCTTTGCTTATACCCACTGAATATAAGACCAGATAATAGCCGTGACACAAACCGAACACCAAGGGAAAAAGTAAGACTCCTGTGAAATCCTGCCAAGCATCATTTCTTCATTGGTATTTTGTCCAAAATACCAATTATACATAGCAACAAATAAAACCACAAAACCTGTTCTTTGGATAAAGAAATATGAGTTAAAAACAAGTTGTTTGGATCTTTCTAAAATTTGTTATAGATAAATTAAAAATCTTTTTAGATTGAAAACGTGTTGAGCTACCGTGTTTATTGCGCCACGGGCGTGACTCAGTAGTGGGTTAGTGAGGCATTACATAATGCTGTAAGTGCCTGTTCAAGTCTCACCTGTGTTGTAAATTTCTTTCAATCGAAACAGATTTTCAATATAAATAATTGCACCATGTACATCAAAAATATTAACGTTTACAAAATGTGTGATGTGTATCCTATATAACGCCACCCATAAAACTATTATACACAAACTGATACCATTGTTTTAAAACGTTGTTTTGATAACTTTTATTTTTTCTATAAAAATAAAAGTTATTTCAAACAATTTTTTACCAAGATTTGCCGAAAATTTTCCACTCATGATTAATGAAGAAATGATGCCCAAGCGCATATCTCACGCTATCAAATCCAAAGATCTATAACCAAACCGTCACCCACGGTTCACATTATCTCCATAACCTGGTCTATATCCAGCGCGTACAGCACAAACCTCAGAGGGAACTGCTAGAATCCCCTGGGAAGTGCATCAAATTGTCGCCGCTGCAGCTGGGAGTTGGAGACGAAGGTGGGTCTAAAGAAGCCCGGGATGCTGAGCTGAAGCTACTCGAACTCAACTCCTCCGGTTCAGCTTCGAAACGGTTTATAACTGAAAGATATAGTATCTCCATTATTATTCAACTGTTAGAGGGCACTTTATTATTTCTAACTATAGTCCAGTCACCGAAATAATATATTTGGAAAAACAGGGACTAGCACATCGCATATTAAACAATTGAGTTGTTACTTGATTATAATAGCGCTCTGTGATGTTTCGTGTGACATAAGATTGATTTTGAAAAGATAAAACAGTAATTTTTAATAAATACTTATCAGATTTAGTAAATAACAATATAATTATTAATATGATGGTTTCCTTTCCAAGGATTACATTTACCCTAAAGTCCTCCGCGAGGAAATGGGATAAATGGTTAGCAAAGAATGTAGCCTAATCACCCAGCCTGTGTCCCCCTTAGAAAATAACAAAAATGTAGTAATAATACCCAGGATCAGAGCTAGAGCCAATATGAACATAATACTGTTGTTACTAGAAAAGCGGCTAATAAACTGAGGGGGAAATGAAATACGTAAATGGTTTTTGAATTGTCATTTTTATTTTTGAATAAATTTAACACTCCTCATCTAGCCAAATCACACAGGTAAAATGTAGCCAAAACTTTATACGAAGCTAAAATTATGTTATTCTACAATTATGACGAACATTGGATGATAGCAATTTCAAAATACCTTTGGAAGCCGTGTTAAGATCTCAATTGTAATACATTTTTAATCAAATTTGGTACTTCCAAATCTTAAGACCGAAATATATCACTGTCCTCTTTACTCACACACGACTGAAAGGGACGAGCTACGAATGCAATGACGTCACATTAACAGTTTTAAAAGTTGAGTGTTCAGGCTCCAACTATGAAGCGCTGAAAATTACAACAGTGCATAACTCTACTATATATTTTATAATTAGAACAAGTATCAATTTGTTAAATCCATATCTATTACTGATATTTACGTCAAACCGATTCAATAAAATCTCATTTACTAAATAAATATAAAACTATATACGCATATAAATACAGGTACTCTGTTATAGCCCAAAATTGGAGTAACGTTAAAATGATGTCTTTATTCACTTAATATTAATGTTAAGGTACTATGTAGTTTGTCATGAACCCGGTAGGGCTGTTAGTTCAACGCGACAAAGCTCAAAAGATCAACTGATTTTAATCGGTTTTTGATAGAAACATTTGTCAATTTTATTTTTAGTTACTTCTGAAATAATGAAATCATTATGGTATTTAATACCTGAATACATCTACAATAACTGAGATACGTACAACTAATACTGAGGTATAATAGCACAATAATCATCAATATAATAAATAAAATGATAATAATACTCAATAAATAACGTAATTTTGTAAACATTGTAAAAAATAACATTTAAAATTAAATTATATATACAAAAATAATTTATTCGTCAATACATGACCACGTGGACAAGCTACGAGTGAAACTTGTCTATGATTATGAACAGAAAAATATATCTTTAATGAATTATTCTATATAATCAATAACTGAGGTCTTGACATTAACAAATTGGTTTTATTATTAAACTAAGGTTACTGAAATTAACTACTAAAATAACGAAAACAATTTCTAGAGAAATGAAATCCGTTCTTGCGTATTTTTTGGGAGTTTTTCCTACTTTTTTACATTTTTATACTATTTTTTCTGATTACGACTTTTAAACTAAGTAAGTTCGAGTATATTCCGCTACTAGTTTTAAGTGACATGGGTTGAATAGAACGTTAAGTTTTCACTACGGACTAATAGCAAACCGTTTGAAATTGTTACTTCTTCTTTCTACGGGATTTTTTCGCCTTAGATTGCTTTGGAGACGGTATTGCCACACTGGCCGTGCCTGCCTTTTTGTCATCTTTGTCGCTATCAGTCGACAACACAGGTGTGCCGTCCTCATCTGAAGATTTCTCAAAATCATTGTATTTCTCCGCCTTAATATCGTCATCTGCTTGTACTTCCTGTGAAGTTATTTTATCCGTCTCTAAAATATTGAATCCTTTCTCCCTTCTCGCTGGCACCTTTTCTACATCGATAAGGTTAAAGGAAGTCGATTCTTTCTTTATGTCTTTCATCGATGATAGTATTTCGTCTATGTTGATTTTGCATATAGGGCTCGATATTTTTGGATCATTGACGTCCAAGAGGCTGTCTCGCATCACGTCTAATTTGAAATCGTCTAAGGCAAAGTCCATCGACTCCAAAGGGGGGAAATCTGGGGGGGAATGATGTTCGTCGACAAAATTAAGTTCTGACGGAGCATCACACTCGGCGACCATTATATCTGTTCTTTTGCACAATTCCGCTAACTTTTGTTGCAGAGATACGGACGGTACGTCTTTATCGGTATCGCGGTATTCAATTGTTTTGATAGAATCTGCTTTTGTTTTCTTATCTTCAACTTTCTTAGCCGCTATGGAGCTCCAAGATTTGACGGGTTTCTCCATTTCCATTGTAGTGTTGTCGTGATTAATTTTTTCAGAGGGTTGGGGTGACCGTTTACGCGCCTTACTCGCCTGTGTAATCTGGATCTCTGGAAAATCATCCTCGATAGAGTCGATAACATACACTTCTTTACCCACATCATCAGTTTTTTCTATTGATCGTCTTTTATCAAGATTTGGTGAGGGAGACTTGCTTTTCGGTGTTTTAGATTTTTCTTTCACTGCTAATGTTGATGAGGGAATTTCTATAATGGAATCAAAGTAAGAAAGTTGTTTACTTTGCTTTGGTGTCGCTGTAAACTGTGATTCCAAGTCCAATAATCCATCTGTTTTAATTGATTTATTTTTAGATTTAGTTGCGACGTGATCAGAAAGTTTCATTACATCATCCGCATTGCTAAATTTCCGTTCTGGCGTAAAACTTTTAGAAGAACGTGGTTTCCTAGATGTTGAGGGCTCAAAGTCGTCAAATGTTGTCGATATCGATACAAGTTCACCACTAGAAGGTTGTTGTTTTTCTTCAATCGCATGTATTTCAACAAAACTATCGTCATCTTCTTTACTTGACTGCTGCTCTTCGGGCATTTTCTTTATTTTCTTTCCTTTTTTAGCTTTTGCCTTAACTTCTTCTTGTTTTTCTACTAACATACTTGGGGGATCTGCAGGTTTCTCTTTTTTAGACTCAGTCAAAAGCATATCCCAAGCCTGCTCTTCAGTTTTGATCTCATTTTCAATATTTTCAGGTATTTTGGCTTCGGGTTCTTTTACGAGAGATTTTGTTCGAATATTATCTTTAACAGGATTAAATAATAATGAAGATTTTTCATACTTTGACTCAAACTCGTTAAGGTCCAATTTAGCGCTACCAATGTTACTAGTTTTAATATCGGAGTCTAGGGCCGAATACGATATTTTTTCATCAAAAAAATTTTCAGTTGCTTTTAATGTAATTTCTGACTTCTGTGTTTTACGCATTGAGTCATCTTTAGGTGATCTATCCGAACTTACTTTATCTTTATTTATTGCCAATTTATTTTCTGATGATCGCTTATCTTTACCACTATCGCTAGTTATTCTATCACTAAAAGTTTTTGAGGTGGGAGATTTCTTAATTCTAGTTCGATTAGTCGACTGAATATCACCCGACGTACGATTTAATTTTGGCAGTGATATGTTTACATCTTTGCTTTCCAACTCGACTCTAGTCGAATTCCTCTCACACATGCTATCATTCCTTCTCGCTTGCATAATTTCGAGATCTTCATGAGTATTTTTTTCATCTAACTTGGGGCTATCTACAGTTGCTAAATTATTTAGATGCGGCCGTTTTTCTTCAGAACACACTGTAAGTTTGGGATCACTCGGGGAGGAGCGAGCGGCTGGTGGTCGTTCCGTTTGTTGTGGCAGCCAGGCCGGTACAGAGGTAAGCTGGGCGGGGATGACGACGTCCGTTTTGAGCGGGAGCAGTTCTTCATCCGGCGATATCCCCAGAGGCGAAATGGTTTCCACCGGTATAGTGGTGGTAAGAGGTAACGGCTTTACCAGCATCGTGGGGGGAGTCACAGCTGGGGCTCGTACAACCGGTCGGAAGGTTGCCTCGTCGTCGTTAGAGCGCGTGTAAGTATCAGGGTCATCAGGTTCCGGCGACTGTGACACGGGGGGCGCCACCACCGTGCCCAGGGGGTCTACGGCGCGCACCACTCGCACACCAGGGCTGCCGCGCTGCACCTCGCGCTCTGACCTCTCCGCACGCACCAACCCTACACGAAACCGAAGGCGACCATTAGGTACCGTTCATTTCATTTAAACGTTAGGGATTTAGAAAAAGCGTGGTTACTGATAAGAAAGCCAAGAGAGGGTGTTACGGTGCCTTTGGCTTCGGTATAGGGTGTTTCGACCGAAAGAGGCCGTGTGCGTCGCATTGTCGTGACGTGCAACCACACGGCACCTCGTTAATCGATGTTAATCTCTTCGGTAACCCCTCCACTTGATTCACTTCACCTCTTGTGCACTGCTCACCATTTAGTATCGAATGGTTATTATGAACGTGAGTGTTGAAGGTAAAAGCGTTAAATCAATTCGAATAGTATCGGACTGTATTTGTTACTGAGATCACATGTATGTTTGTTAAAAGCATTTATTATTTTTTAATGAATGACAAGGTTTTCTAAAACATTTGCAAAACTAGCAAATAACATAGAAATTAAATGGCAAACCATCACCAGACTACTTGAATAAGAATATATATATGCCCTATAGGGCAATAAATCTATTTGAAACTTTCCGCGTAAAAAATTATAACCCTATGGGTTAAACGCCATAGAATACGTTTTCCGAAATGAGTTAATATTGCGTTAAATCTTTCTTACAGTATCCAACCAACATAAAACTTACATACTGTCTCTAGTTGACGCGAGTAGTACACATTTAAATAAAACACTTTAACGGTTTAAAACGCAATATATATTAGGTAACCCCCACGTCTACGTCACGACCAGTCTCCCCGTGACCACGGCTGCTGCAAAGCATCAAAAACGTCGGACCGAAATAAAAATCATTTTCAAATAAGTTTAACTAATATATATCGTGTTTTAAACCGTTACAGTGTTTTATTTAAACATAAAACTTAATTCCACTTAAGTCCATTTTTCATTAACTCGTTTCGGAAAATACAGTATAAGTTTCTAATTTGATATAGTCTACAATGCTTTCTAGGAGGTCGAAGGTACATACCATGATCCTCCTTCATAGCTTCCGCCAGGTCCTCTTTGAGTTGAACATCACAGACCGAAGCTCTGCCCCCGTCTGCTAACAGGGACTTGCGGCGAAAACTATCTGAAGGAGAATGCTCCAACGAACCTGAAATCAGTTGCATAAACGTATGAGAATAGGCGTTGGTTGTCTTCTTTAGTGTTACAAAATAATTACAAAAATACAAATGCACAAAACATTTAAACATGCGCTCTTGAATCAATAGGCTAAATTCAGTTATTTTTTTAATAAAATATACCGTTCATACTAGCAATAAATTAAATTTTAATGTTTAGTTTAGAACACAGTTAAAGTTGAGTATCTCCTATTGACAATCTCCGCCTCTGTAGCCAATTGGTTAAATTCTGTTAAGCGCGAGGGAAACAATAGATTGTTTCGAACTACTAGCCTGTAAAAGAATCGATAAAGAAATGGACACAGAAATGTGCTTGACCCAAGGGCGAATCGATATTTGGCTTATAAAACATAATTGTCTCCGTGCGAGCTAAGTAAAGACCTCACAACGATGACTTAAACATTGTTTACAATTTTTGTAGCTATTTTCGTTTATATATATATGTACTAGGGGAAACGGAATTTTACTATCCATCACATAAGATATATATATTTTTGAACATGCACTTACTAGCTGAACCAGATTCTATGAGCACAGGCACTATGGGCCGGACGCCAGGCATATTCACGGGGTTAGACCGCGCTGCGCCTGCGCCGGCGCTGGTATCTACCTCTACGGCTTCAGCTTCTGACAACGACGAATTTGATCTGTAGACGTAAGGTGTTAATTAGGCCAATGCAATTAAGTTTATATGAGGATATTAAAAATCGACTTTAGATTGAAAATTACGATACGGGCAGGATTTGAACCGGCATCCACAGCATTCCGCTGTTGCTCTAATCAATTGAGCTACCGAGTCTTACACGTCATCGTCAAATTTTTTCAACCACCTCCCACTACAATACATGCACCGCTCGCGCATTGTAATTTCAACCTTAAAACTTCAGTATTAAGTATACACATAAAACTTACTACAAACATAACCACAAATTCCACGTTCGATGAATCAGAGATATCAAAATACTACGCGTCCTTTAAGATGATTAATTTGGAGGCCAAAGCCAACAATGAAATCTATTTCGTTCTTGTATTACACTAAAATAAATTTGAAAATAAAGATTTTTTATGATAGAAGGGGACAGACTATTACAATATACAGACTAATACAATTTATAGTAGATGTTATATATATATATATACTTAACATCTATTATAAATTGAGGATCGAACCCAAGTTCTGTTTCTTATTAGTAATTAGTGCTATCATGAAACCAACTGGCCATCCAAATGGTAAAATCATATACACGAATAGTACCAGCGAAAGGTCACCTAGTTGATAGTATTAATATTAGAAGTAGTATGATAAAAATCAACAGACGCGTACGTACCCGCAATTGTAAGTCTTGAACACGAATTGCGGACCCATCCACAGACGCCGATGAGGTCCAGCGTGCGTTACTATCTCCACTTGGGACAGCCAGCGCTCCTCCTCACTCATGCACATATCCGCACAACGCTGAAAGTAAAAATCAATCTACCCTCATTACAGTAGACAATATAGTCCTATGACCATTTCTAACAACTAATATAATGCAATAAAAAAACACTAACAGTTTAAAACGCAATATATATTAATAACTTGTTAGGAGACATGGTCACGGGGAGGGGAGGGTCACTCTGCTGCTGCAAAGTATCCGAGACGTCGGACCGTAATTAGAATAATCTCGAAATTATTTTAACTAATCTACTATCGTGTTTTAAACCGTTTTATTTAAATGTGTAGTACTCGCATAAACTACAGACAGTATTTGTATTGTCCATAGGTATTATATATTGCATAATTTTTAAGTCTGCACAGACATGGCTTAAATAGTATATAATTATTTATATATACATTATATAATTCAAAGTAAAAATCTTAAAAGTTAATCTGGTAAACATGTGTACACGATATGGTAAACTAAAAACAACTAACCCGACAGCTAAGTGGTTGGAGCAACGGGTTCGAAGGTGGAAGAGGCGCCAGCAGATCCGCAGCAGCAGCGGGCCGCTGCAGCATCCACTGCGCCATTGGCTCCACTTCCAGCTCTATTGGCGACTCGTCACTGATCTTCTCTTTTGGAACAGCTATTATAAAATATTGAATTGAGTATATGGAATATACGAGATTGTACTTTTTTAACTTAAGTGAATGTTAGTAAAATGCTTCTCACATCTGGATGGTCTTGGATGTAGCACCAGGTGCAACAGAGACCCGTTAGCAGCCATCAAGTAAAGGGGGACTGCACACCCGCGGCCGCTTGACGAGGGAAGTGTTGTGCCAAACCAGGCCCTACCCAAAAGAGGAGCAGCGCCACTATCTTCAGACAGTGACGATAATCGCTGACGACCTATAAAACAATGACACATTTTTGATATACACAATGTTCTTATAGTTGTTTTATAGCAACCATGTTACGATGAATGCATCAATCATTATTTTAATAGTCATAATTGTAGATTTTTTTATACTACTACCTATGTATTAATAATTTAAGTTTAAAAGAAAACTACGTATTTAAATAAAACACTTTAACAGTTTAAAACGCGATATCTAATATATCATCATCATCATCAATCATTTTAAACTTAGTTTAAAATGATTTTTACTCGCGTAAACTATAGACAGAAAACTATGTAAATGTACGATTATAAATTATTATTTGATGATTTTATAGTTTACTAGCTGTGTCCGCTTCTTCGTTCGCGTGAAATAGTGACTCGGGCTGAATTTTTAATTATTTAGGCTGTTTATTAATTTATATAAGGGCGCATTTAAGGCAGTCAATCTATGTTATAAGTGCTACTTACCACTCCTACTCCTACTCCTATTCCCAAAAAGCGAAAGAAGAAAGTTTCATTGCTCTAGCTTCAAGAACCATACTTTTAGAATTTCCATACCCTTCAGCCCCTTTTACACCCCCTATCAACCCTTTTTTGGCATTAAAAAGTAGTATATGTCCTTTCTCAGGCTCTGTAAAATCTGTGTACCAAACTTCATTTTAATCAGTTCAGTAGTTTCGGAATATGACAGACAGAGTAACTTTCGCATTTATAATATTAGTATAGATCTTTTCTAACTTGTTATTTTTGGTAAACAAACACAATTTACATGAAATCGTGTCCTTCAACACTTCACGAACTTTACATTGATTTACACTAAAACAGTATATTGTGCAATAAACATTAGTAGGTGAATTTGAGGTAGTTCATGTGACTTTGAAGAAGAAGAAGAAGATAGAAGTCCCAAGCATGCACAATCGCTGAGACGCGTTACAAACGTGTTAAAAAATAATGACATAAGATATTTAAAAAAACGGTCGTCATAAAAGTGATTATGAATATTTAGGTTGTTTGGTCCTTATAATAAAATCAATATTTCTGTGGTATCTGTGGCAGCCACGTCACTCTATAAAAGGTCATCACTAGTTCACTATGGTTTGAAATCGGGAATTTATTGTGGTCTTTTGCCAAGTTAGATAAAATACACTATACATATCTATATTCGCTGCCATTTTCATCTATATACGTATATAATACCATATAATGTGTATAAGTTTTTTGTTTTTAAACATCCACCAGCACTTACCGGAGCTAGTACGTGTGATGGTGTGGGTGGGAAGATTGTGCGTCGGACGTAGCTGAGCCAGTGGGGTGGATGTGGTTGGCAGTGGGTACGGCGGCAAACGAGGGTTCGGGTACCAGGAACCGCTCACTGAACCCTCCATGACCTGTGCAGTAAAACAGGCATTAGAGTCAATGTTATAAGTAATAGAAGGCTATAATAGAATATCTCAACTTTTTAAGAGTTTCAAGTAACGACTAAAATATAAACAGCTATTAACTCAATCGTAATAATTACGGAAAGACATTTTTTAATTCTACTTATAAAAAGATATTTTAAAACCTTCATCATAGCTAAGATCTAACAGTTCAATTACGTCGCTAGTACTAATCAACATCCTTTTGAAGCCTTCATTTCTTTAAGTAATAGAGGACAGATAGGCACAGTCTTAACTTGATTGTAGGTGAAAATTTTAGGCATTTTCATGTGTGGACAGTAATTACGATATTTCTATCACTCATTTAATATCCAGATTTCTAACATGTTTCAGAAATAATTTAAATTGATTAAAAAAATGTTGAACCCGGTGGAGTTGTTTAGCCAAACATTGCTACCATTACTTACACCAACGAGTGCGTCATAATGAATATATACAAATCTAGAGAATATTATGCCACTTACAGTGTGAGAGGCGTGTATAGGCAAACCCGCTGAACGATGGAACCGAGACAAACGATTAACGACACGCGGCGACGTGTGCGTACGCACTGCGCATGCGCCGCCGTACGGACTCAAAGCGAACACGTGTGTTGTACCGCGCAGCGTCGATATGGCTGTCCAACGGGAGTCTCCCGATATCGCTATATCCTGAAAGTAAAATTCGATGGCATGAGTATGGTTTTAACTAGCATCTACAGAAATCCGTACTTTTACTTTAACCAATTGTGATGTCTCACTATTCATCATGGAACTTCTTCAACTCATTAATATAACTTTCGCACAATGATCTAAAGACACCAAACTCAAGTCTTTTAAAAATGTAATTCACAAATGATCAAAAGTCAAAGTCAAAAATCATTCATTCATTGAGGCAACTAAGTACACTTATCAACGTCACAAAACTAGAGAATCTAACTTCACGTTTACTAACCAGTTCTCAAATCAAGGGCGTAGAACGAACAAGAAGAATTGGCAAGAGACGTTTGATCCTAAGATATAGATATAGAGACAATATACTTACTTGCACTTTAGCCGTCGTATCGCCCCTATGCAACACATACAAATGGTGCACAGAAGCCAGAGTCGGGCCACATGGATGTGGGTTGATCCTGAACACGTGGAAGTCATGTCCCCGCCTATCTGCCGTGATTAGCAGCATCCCGCTGGGGTCGAACTTGAGAGCGATGATGGCCTCGGAGTGAGCTACAAAATGGGCCACTATTGGGTCGCAGGGGTCCTCACAATCCTGGCTGTCTTCATCCTCGCTGCCCTTCAAATCATCATTAAAAAAAATCATTAATATCCTAAGTGGTCAAAGGTGCAAAGTGTAACATCTTCCGCAAGGGGTAATGGCTGAAATTGTGCAGCTTTTTTAACCCACTCGACTAATGATAGCAATTTATGGCTAATAGTCAACGGTCATGGGTGCAATTACCACCGGATGGAACTTTATAATTTTCTGGATATTAAAAGGGTGGTAAAGAATATCGAAATTGTATTTAGGACCATCGTCACAGGTGAAAAGGCCATGAACTTTAATCGTTATTAGCTTTCCAAATTTTAGCTGCGAATAGCAAAACCAGAATTAGTGATAGCGCATCTTGTATATTTGTTATATGGCTGGGGTATTTCACCTTCTGACAAGTGGTTCAATGGTCAACCTCACGTTTATCCGTTCTCCTCTATCATAAAAAAGCTATCGAAACTCCAATAGAAAATAAATATAATAATGGTTCACAAAAGCAGGGAATAATTAAAAGTAATTCTTCTGTTCTTAGAACAATAATAGACCGCATATATAGTAGTAGTAACCGTATATAAAATCCGTATATTTTGCATAACATCAGTAAAATTGTTTGCAGATATTAGGAAATCGACTATATTTATAAGCAGTAGGATTACTTATAAACTAACCTCAATATCAAGAATAGTGATGATACCCGGCTGCTGAATATCCGTATGCGGGGGCGAGGGTGACTGTGAGGTACTTCGACCACCGGCTAGGCTGTGAGCTACACTCTCGCCGAGTCCACGCAGCCCCTTGCTTAGAGACTTGGCTGCATGGAGCACTGTGGCTGTATAACTCGTAACACCTTCACCTAAAGAATACATTAATTATACTATTATAAAAAATCTTGTTCCCGATTTTGGGATTATAAATCTATCTATATTAATTTTATAAAGCTGAAGAGATTCTTTGTTTGATTGAATGCGCTTATCTCAGGAACTACTGGTTCGAGTTAAAAAATATTTTTGTGTTGGTTACTGAATTTTATCGAGGAGGGCTTTAAGCTATACAAAATCACGATGCGATTAATAGGAACGAAGAAACAGTGATAGGGTAAAAAACGGTAAAATATACAAAACTTTAAGGGTTCCGTATAAAAATTGTATATTCCATGGTGTCTAGCGTTTATTGTAATCATTTATTAGTTTAGCGAGAAATACATATAAAAAAATTAAATTGTACAAATAACTTTGTCTAAGATACATCTGCGTGTACGCACCTGCTAAAATCAAGGTCTACACAAATCGACCTTACAACACGAAACACTTATGACGGTGTAAATACTAAATCCTATCAGACAATATATTAGATACAGATACATACACATACTTAGAAATAAATGATTTATGATCTGACATAGTTTTATGTCTTTATCGTCGTTTTAATAGCGATGATTCATACAATAATGTATTGTTGGAAATCATAGAAAATTCTATATAAACAAGCCTCAAGCAACGGCTCGTACACTTTTGTTCTCGTTGTAGGAAGGACTCTGTATAGGATTTTGGTGAATTTAAATTTATTTAGTTGTTGTTTATTTTTTTTATTTTAGTAATCATATGTTTCTAAAAGTTTTTATTATTTAACACACTACAGATTTGTACGCATTAAAAGCAAATAATCAGATTTAATGTAATATCTTTAATTATCTTTTAACAGTGTTCCAAACAATTTTATTTGAAAAATAATTTTTTTTGACTAAGGATTTTAAAGTAACTTAAGATCTACTTTCAAAAATAGTAAAAAAAAACTAATAGGTATTTTTTACATTAGCAGGTGCCATAAGAAGCTATTTATATATTTTTATTTTCTATGTTTAGTGCTTTTTAGAAATATGTAATATGTACAAGTTACACTCTTTTAGAAGCAGCAAATACTTACTTTCGCAGCCTCCACTGCTCCGTTTGGACGGGTTTAGCTTTTTGTCGGCGTAAGCCAGCCAGCGATCGCCAAGTGCCAGGGGATTGACAGGAGAGTTACCACCCAAAGGACAGGGGCAAGGGTAGCAAGTTGTAACGGCGAGGCGATCCTCCAAAGTAGCGGCGTCGAATACCGCAAAACGTTCAGAGAAAGACACCACCACTGACCGTTTGTTCGCTAGCACATCCAGGATGGGGTTCTTGAATTTTATGCTTTTCACCTGTAAAGAGGTCAAATACATTGAGTATTAGAAATGGCACAGGCTTTGAGGGTCCAAAATCTCAACCTTGTTTAATAAACAAGCATTTTGTTCAATCGTACTCTGAATTATATGCCATATAATTATAGGTCTTGTTTTACTATGAGATACTTTGTAGCTCATAAAAGCACAATTTGAAATAGTGGTTTACGATGCTAATAAAATACATTTCTCAGTTTTGTATTTTACAACCAAGTTAAAATTTAAAGACATTGAAGTTAAAAAACTATTTAGATTGAAAAAAAGACATCCATAGCATTTCGTGCTCCTGCTCAAACCAATTGACCTATAATGAATCTGTGCATTTACCAAAATATTTTTTTTGGATTATTATTTTAGCATTAAATTGTGGTTTTTACTAAGTGAATTTAAGGTAGTTCATTAGTTTAATATACAATCAATATAAACCTTGTAAGAAAATCACGATTTCATGTAAATTGTATGTTTGTTCACCAAAATACTAAGTAAGAAATAACACAATTTACAGCTTCCTGTAGATATTGTCATTTACATAGGAACCTCTGTAAATAAACTATACCAATAAAAATTTCAACAAACTCACCTGTTCACCACCTCTAATCGAAATAAAACTGAGCGAACAAAATGGCGGCCCAGGACTTGCGGAGTCACACAAAGCAATAAGGGGTCTCTTTGATGCAAAACAGTCTCCATTTTGCGGCGTAGGCAATATGCGGAGCACCCTGACTGTCCCCTGCCGCCAAGACAGCACCTCTTGAGCTTCTCCGTTTGGTGGTATCAGCCACACTTGCACTCCGGAACCATAACCCAAGATTAAGAGCAATGGAGGTACATCATTATCGCTGTCTCCTTCTGGTGTAGGCTCATTTATATCAGCTGTTTCAAACCTTAAAAAAATATAGGCGTGTAACAAGTCTTGTTCTTGCTCTTCTGTTTTATTATAATTAATATTGACTTATAGAATTTTATTATCTATTTTTAATATCATAGAATGTTGATGAATTTATGCCGCTTATTGACAGAATATGTGAAACTGCTTAAAATTTTATCTGTAATTTTTGTAAAAACTGCTGCAAATTCAAGAACAGAACAGTTGAACATTCTACTATCTTAAAGAGAACGATCACATACCTAGCCCACTGAATCACATCCTTGGGGTCAACAGCTGATGATGATGAGAGTGTAACATCATTGATGAAGCCTGAGACGGCATCAATAATGCTCCGATCACTGGGTGGTTGAGAGGGGACAATCAGTGGCCCTCCGGAACGGGCGTGGCGCGGCGACTCCGCCGACATGGTGGAATTACTGCCTGATATCAATTATATCATTTACATAATTAAATTAGCATATTATTTTTTATATTTTATAACCTTAAGAAAACTTATAAATAGTAGCTCTGATTTAATCTACGCAATTTTTAAAATTAATTAAAATACAAGCCCTTTTTCTCTCAACAGTTTAGTTCAATGAATGTAGATTTGCAACAATAGTAGAAGGTCGTTGTCTTATTTGTTGTAATACACATTGAATAAATCATGCACAATTAAAAATAAAATATAAATATTGATGTTCATATGTAAATATGAACTCTATGATGGTTTACATAAAGACGAATTTCGCTCCACATTTCTATGTAACAGCTGTCTTTTATCAGTGCAAAATCAATAACAATAGAAGTAATCAATAATAATTAAAACATCGCAACATGTTAAAATCTAGAATCTATGTCAAAGGAGCAAAAACTTACAATATATATAATTTTTGGCATTGATTTATACATTACTATACTGTAAATATATTTTCGGATTACATAATTAAAGAATTGTAAACAACAGAAAAATGGCATTAAAAATGACGTAGATGTTTCATAAATCTTAATTTTTAACTTTTAACATTATTGCATTGGACAGTGATTGGTTGCACTTTTTTATTTGTGTACAAAGCTTAGTTGAAGGAAGGACAAAGAAATCGATGCAACTTGAATACTTAAGTTTACGTCAACCTTTATCATTTATTCTTTGATTTGATAATGAAATTTAAAACAGACGTTTATATTTTAAACAATGCATACATACCGTGGTCTAAAAATTATAATTTCACTTAATTTATTCCATTTTCAAATCGAAGAAAGCGTAATTGCGTAGTACTCGTAGGGTATAAGTGACGTCACAACAACACAAAACAACCACAATCACCCGAAGGCGCTATTCAAAATTAACACTAGTCGAAATTATGTTTGCAACATTATTTTAAAATAAATAAGTTGTAATTTAAATTTAAAAAATAATAACAATACAAAACATTAAACAGATGTTTAATGTTTTGAAAAATAGAATGTCAGTAAGACAAGCTCTGTGGAGTGAAGTTCAACACTGGTGTCAATATTTTTTTTTGCCTGAAATAGAATGGTTCACGAATCACGCCAGCGAACCGCATCTACCAATGAATGGCTTCTTTTATATGTGTTTGTAAATATAGTTGTTGCCATATCTTATAGCGCGTGTAACATACATAATTCGAAAGTATGTCAAATGTGAAATGTTAAGAATAACGGTGTAATCCACTGTTGGAGTTTTTTGATTGCCAAAATGGCCAATGAATGATATTTGTTTAATAAATAATAAACGATATATGTTTTAGGCTTCCAACATATAAACATCAAAAATTAGCTTAGCGGATTTAGTGTTATAAATTTATATAGTAATATTTCAACACTAAAATCTTGATAAAATCAGTTACATGTTACAGATAAGAAATGATGTAGCGTTTTTGACAATATTGAAATTGACAACACATACAGCTTAAAAATGTCAATTTGTTTCAGTGTGAATATTATAAAAAAAGAACGATCTTTACTTTTTTATATATTACTCTACATACTTATAGAGAAAAGTTATAATAAAATGTTTCCTTTTTATATTACATTGTTTCTCATGAATTTTCCACTAGTACAGTGGGTAAGTTGTAAATCTAATGATGTACTCTTTATTATAATCGATGATATGCGATTGTTAACGGATACGGAAATAAAATTACCGAATATAAGAAAATTGGCGGGAAAAAGTATTAACTTCAAGAATGCATTTGCTCAAGTAAGTAGCAATATTTCGTTAAATCTGTTGTATTTATGGACATTATAAGTTTTAATTATTTCTAGCAAGCGTTATGTGCACCGAGTAGAAACTCTATATTGACCGGTCGCCGACCCGATTCCGTGCGATTGTATGATTTTTACTCTTATTGGCGAGATGAAGTTGCAAATTTCAGTACAATACCGCAGTTATTTAAACAAAGAGGTTACGATACCTACTCTGTTGGCAAAGTATTTCATCCAGGACGCAGTTCCAATTACACAGACGATTATCCTTACAGCTGGTCTGTTCCGCCTTTTCATGCCCCTAGTGAAAAATTCAAAGACGCAAGAGTCTGCAAAGATAACATCACTAAGAAATTGCAAAAGAATCTCGTATGCCCTGTGACTGTTAGCGATCAGCCAGGAAAAACTCTGCCCGACATAGAGATTTTGGATGAAGCTCTGAATATATTAAATGCTAGGAATGGCAGTAAACCAATTTTTCTTGCGGTGGGATTTCATAAGCCGCACATACCAATAAAGTTTCCGAAAAACTTTCTAAGTAAGCCAATTCTTATATATGATAATCCTATTTTAGGGCGATATGTAGACACTCATAAATATCCTAACCTTACGATTCTTTAAGACCCCCTTTGACCTTATTATTAAGTGAATAAAACACAAAGATTAAAAAGAAGAAAAAAAATAGTAGCCTGTTATAGTAAATTGTCCAAAATTTCATCATTTCATTTGTGCGCCCTAAGAATGTTTATCCACTAATTTCTTGAATAACTCGAAAAGCCAGCTATTATATTTTATTCTGTTACCGGTTAAAGAGACGTTAAGAATATACTAAGCATTATTAACTGCCAGCTACAATTGTAATAATAAGGTCCAATATATTTTTAGAAAAAGTCCTGATAGATAAAGTATCGCCGCCACCACACCCTACAATACCGCCACGCCTGCCGACTGTGGCTTGGCAACCTTGGACAGACGTACGCCGTAGAGACGACATAAAAAGACTTAACATTACATTTCCGTTCGGAATTATGCCTCCAGAGTGGACCTTGAAGATGAAACAAAGCTATTTCGCGGCATCGCTATACGTGGACAGTTTAATAGGAAAACTATTAGATCGTGTTGACTTGAGGAAATCTATTATCGTTCTAACTAGTGATCATGGTACATTGTTTCTTTTTAATCGTGCTGTACGTGCTACGTGCTAGTATTTACTTAATTCCCGCAGGATTCGAACCTCTCACGCAATGGTCTACTACAAAATTTAAGTGCCGAAATGATAGTATTATAGTATATAGAGTATACATCATTAATTAATAGTTATGTTAATTTCAGAACTTAAAACTGACGTATATTTTTAATTACAGGATGGTCTTTAGGTGAGAACGGCATGTGGGCAAAGTACAACAACTTTGATGTTGCGCTGAAAGTCCCTCTGATCATTTATCACCCCGAAAAACATCCCAAGACTGTGGAAGCGCCAGTAGAGCTTATCGACTTATTCCCGACACTAATCGAACTGGCTGGCATAAAAAATGTATCCAAATGTAAAAATACCTCGCAAATATCGTGCTATGAGGGTAGTTCATTACTTCCTTTGATGAGTAATCAAAAGACAGATAAAAAATTCGCTATCAGTCAATATCCTAGACCCAGTATAATACCACAATCTAATACAGACAAACCCCGCCTTAAGGATATAGAAATAATGGGATACAGTATTCGAACAAAAAAATATAGATACACAGAATGGATATCATTTAATAGACAATTTATCAGAGACTGGAACACAGTTTATGGTGTGGAACTATATGATCACATAAAAGACCCAGACGAGGCAAACAATGTATACTTAGAAGAAAAGTATAAGCATGTTAGGAATAAACTATCAAAGTTACTTAGGACGCAGGTAACATGAAATTCTACATCGAGTTAGAAGATTCAATATGCTCCTTTTTTAATTACTACAGGAACTTCTTTGAATATCTCCTTTATTTATCAATATTTCAAATTTGATTAAAACTCTCTAATATGTAAAATTTTAATAATACTTTTCCATGCAACATTTGATCTCACATTTTCTTAAGCTCTTTGGTTAATCATTTGAAGCATATTCCAAAGCAAAAATTATTTAAAACAATAATTAAACCTTCTTTAAAAACAATATTTTGTTAATGTGAATTGTGCGCTTGAAAATCAGATATGTAGAATGCAAAAAATATATAAAATTTTAAATGCTATTCATATTTGTATAAATTTGAAAATAATATTGCACATTTGTAACTCAATAAAACACAATTAACTCTACAGTTTTATAGTTAATTAACTAGCTTATTTATGTATATCTCCTATACATATTAGTATATAATTATCTATATTAAATAAATATATGGATACTCCACCAGTCTTATCTATACTAAGCTTTTCTTGTCATCTGATACTATTTTTCTGGAGTTCTCTTCCATTTCAACCTGCTTAAACCTGGCATATAACGCTGTACTTGCTAGTACAATTATATTAGATGACCACCACGTCGAGTTTTTAACTTCATTGTACCATTGAGTGGCGATAACTGTTTGGGCACAGGCTTTTGCTGTGCCCGAGATGTTGTGTGTCAATGGTGAGGTAACCTGCAAGATAAGAAAATTATAATCAATAGTTGTATTAAATAACATTTATATGAGACATAAGTTTTATAATTTACAAATTATTTAAATACATTTTGGTGCACTGAGACCATATTTTTTTCTTTAAAAGAGCATGACAACCCGATTTGTCAACGAAATTTGCATAACAAAAGGGTGAGTATGTTGATAACATATGTGCCAACACCCTATAGACACAAATGTGACCACTTTATAACTTCATAAAATCATTTTCAAATAAGTTTAACTAATATATCGCGTTTTAAACAAACTATAGACAGTATTCACTTTATACCCTTAATACTGCTGTTGAGCACATAATATGTCAGTATAATTTAACTGTTTCTATGAAAATTTGATAAGTTACTAATATTAATCTTATCAATGATTATCTATGTACTTCTTGTTATCAAATAATACACACCTTAATTTGGAGTGACGTGACATACCCAATGGCGAAACCACAAATCCCACCAATAAGCATTTGTATCCAGAAGTATGTACTGTGGTAATTTTCATAGTTCCACAGTACACTTAACTCTCCATTCAAAACCATTAAGGGCAAGAATAATATTATTGAGTATGCATTATTATAATATGATAAAAGCCATATTTCTTGGTTTACACTTGGTAGTACTGACTTTGTGAAAATCGAATAGAGGGATAGCATTAATGAGCCAACAACTCCATAAATGGTTCCAATTAGAGAGAATGAACCTGAAATCAGAGTGCAACAACAAATAACATCGAAAGCATATAACCTTTAAATATTACATAACTAGTAGTTAGGTAAAGTAACAATCTATAGAAATTACCTAACAACTCTTCTTGATCCACACCAATATAAAAACCAAATACAATGAACGCACAGCACATCATACACCTGAAAGATGTTCTTTGTCTGAGTAAGATCCAACTGAATATCACATTAAAGACTGTAGTTAGAGATCTGCCAATGTAATAGAATGACACTCCAACATATTTCAAGCAAAGATTGTTTGTTGCTATCATAAGTGTAAACATTATGGACAGTGGTATCACCTAAAATAATCAAGTAATTATATGAGAAGGTAAAGGGTAAGATTAAGTCAAAGTCAAAAATCATTTATTGAGGTACAGAATTATGAACGTCACAAAATAATTATAGAATCTAACTTTACATTTACTACCATTCTCAAATCAAGGGCGTAGACGACGAAAGAACTGGAATAAATCGCCGTCACTCCTTTTATCGCCAATTTCATTTTACATTTTGATTTACTTTTAGTACACAACAATTTTTCCTTGTAAGAGGGGTTCCTCCAACCCCAAGCATTTTTATCATTTAAATATTGATTAACATGATAATAACCTTTTCAAGCAATTTTTGTTTAACATACGATTTAAACCTATTTATTAAAGTGATTTGGGGATTTTATTAAAGTATCTAGCATTACTTAAAAGAACTACTATTTTATGGATTTTTGGTAACTTTTGCTAGAGTTTTAAAATATATTTCTAAAAAAAATTTAAAAATATGCCACAGGATATAATTTAAACTTATTTGAAAGACTTCTGGAAAGACCACAAATCATCAAATAGCCCTTTCTGCAAAACAAATATGGTTTGAATATCGCTTTCCCAAAAAGGATACCATAAACATAATATGGAATAAGAAAGAAAGTGGTGTATTTTATAGTAATTCATTCTAAGAAGGTAAGTTAGTTTATTGAAAGATTTTAATTGGCCCCATGAATTAAATGAAGTTATACCCAAAAACACAGATCTTCGACAAAACCTATTCTTCTTTTATTTGTAACTACATTTTATGATTTAACTTCGTTTAAACTTAAGGATTTAGTCTTCTTTTCATTTAGCAAAAATATTTGTGTTAAACCAATGAAAACTTGAAAAACTGTTTATTTGTCATTGATACATTTTTGTTTAAATAAAAAAAGTGATGTTAAGTATTTTGAAGTTAAAAAATGTTAAAATGCACTATTAATTAAATATATAATGAATGTTTGTTACTTTTGACTTCATAATCACACTAAGTTAACTAGAATATCATTAAAGTCAAACAAAATTAAACCTTTATAAAGCTAGGAAGACTAGTCATAAGAGCTCACCTTCCACATTATGTCCAGATTCCATGGTGTTCCTTTTGGGAATTTAAATATGCCGGGTATACCTCCTGTGCGACTCAAAGAGAAACATATTGTAAAAGATACAATACACTGAAACCAGGTTATAAAAAGTGGTGCATCTAGTGCTACTTCTTGTCCACTCAGTAGGCTCTTATTTACAAATACTGTAGCTATTGAAACTATCCTGAAGAAAATCTTAAATTGAATCTCAATAGTTTTAAGGATATTAAACATTTAAATCATAATACTTACCAATAACATGCGACGACTACAAATATTTTGATATACCTCCCACATAAGTCTGACTGTTCTTCCATTGTTCTGTACTTTTGCATCTATGTGGGTAGTCTAATAAACCACTTATACCATAAAAATATGATTTTCTAATGTGTTCTTTTTGAAAATTACACGTAAACAGAAAATTTAATTTAAGTAAACAAACTATATATTACTAGTTGACGCCGGTGTCATTTGTTGATTGGCTAATGTTTTACAAATGTCATGTTTTGCTTTGAATACCGTTTGTCAGCTGTCATTGACAAAAACATTATTTTGCGACCTTAAAATTTTTATTAGAAACGCAGATATATTCCAGAAATTAAAGTATTTTTATCAAGGATATAGCTTTAACGGCATCTATTTCTTACCGTACACATTTTATTGCAATAGCAATTTTGTAAACTGGAAACATTCATGCGGTGGAACGAGAACGAAAGCTGACGTCAGTCAGTTGATTATTTTTCGTGATTGTGCAGTGAGTGATATAGCAATTCAAAAATTATTGTACACAAACAGAACTGCCGCGAACAGAGTGTCACTAGCCGCCCGATACTTAATAATGGCTTCGACCCCCGAAACAAAACTAGCGGACAATGAAGTTCCCCAATCGAGTTTTTTCAGTGAACTATTTAGCCCGGTAAACTTGATCTTAACTGTTATTATCGTCGTGTTAGTGTACAAAATATTAAGGAGTAAGTTTGGTAAGTCTTCTGTTGAGCCGCCTGCGCCGGAGCTGCCGAAAATTAGGAAGGACATGACGGTAGCCGAACTTCGGCAGTATGACGGCACGCAGCCTGACGGTCGTGTTCTGGTGGCTGTAAATGGGTGGATTTTTGATGCGACGCGAGGGCGCCGCTTCTATGGTCCCGGTTAGTGCATCAGGCTTATTAATAGCGTGACTTATGAGTCAGTGATTAGGCGGGCGCGACATGCATTAAACATTATTGTTTTACCTCTATGCAGCTCGGAAACGATCTTATTAGAAGTTTTATACGCATGAACAGTTTATTTATGAACTGTCTGGCGTCTCGGCTGCTATATATTTTATCATAAAAAGGAGAGGGAACTCTAATGATCGATTGTTTCCAAACAACATTATAATATTTTTATTAATATTTAAAAAACTATAGTGATTGAAACTGTTATGATTTCTCTTTTTTGGTTTATACTTTACGTTGCAGCTTAAAACTTTCAAGGATATCCTTTACTCTAAAAATTAAAATTGAAATAGGTCAATAGAATATCCTAATTGATGTGTTATGACAATTGTGGCATACAATCATCCAATTACTGACCCTTATTTACTCTTCAATAAAGTTTGACAATATCAATACCATATCTAATTGAAATGCCCATATATTTTTAGGAGGTCCATATGCAGTATTTGGTGGCAAAGATGCATCACGGGGCCTAGCCACCTTCTCAGTTACATCCTCAGATAAGGAGTACGATGACTTAAGTGATCTCAACTCTATGGAAATGGAGTCAGTTAAAGAATGGGAGGCACAGTTCAGAGGTGAGCTGTTAACTGCAATTAACTATTGTCTTCTGAAAAACAATGTAGGTGTGTTACTTAACGCTTTAAATATGTAATGTATGCTAATTATGACTAATGGCAATGAATGGAAAATTTACTACAAGACAAAAAATATGGTAGCCTAATCGTCTAAATGTTTACAACCCCTTATCTCTCACCCCTCCAGAATGTATGAAACCTGTACTAGGTATATTTTATTTATTTGATTAATTTTGAACATAAGGTCCATGTTTAACACAAGTTTACCGATAATGACAAAAATTAAACAATTTTGCAATGTTTACTCTGAAAATAATAGTGTGTGTTTAGCTGGTTTACTGATTATAATATTTATTTGTGAATTTTATCTACAGGATAAACGATTTATCATTTGTTTTACTTGTACATAATATGTGCTATCTACAATGATTTATAAACATATTATCATTAAACATTAAAAAATCCTTTAACATCCATTAAACATTTTATTTATAGAGAAGTATGAAACCAAACTGAAACTATTCTTGTATATCAAAAATAGGTTATAAACTGAAAATAATTTACAACACGGGCGGGACTTAAACCGACATCCGAAGCGTTCCTTGCTGTTGCTCTAACCGAAGACACGGTAGCTCAATTGGTAAAACATGTGACAAATATTAAAGTTTTCAAATTAAAATTATTATTTGTTACTTATGTAATAATAGTGGTGTCATTTGTAATAAAAAATTCAAGATTCTTATAAAACAATATTTTATTCTCTAAGTAGAATTACCTTGAATTAATATTAATAAAATCTTTGATTAGTAACAGCTAAAAACTTTTAACTTTGTACTCATTATCTCTATTATTATATAAAATCTGATAATTGTAATTGATTAATTACGGAGTGTTGTTTGTTATTCAATGATTGCTTATATTTCTTTTAAGACTTGTTTAATAGAAATATATTGCAATATACAGGGGGTAATTAAAAATATGTATAAAGGAAGTTTTGGATCTGTGTTCAGTTGTCCTTTATGGAGCAAAAGCAGATAGATATTTTCACTAATTTATTTATAGTCAAGGAAGTCAGCTTGGCAAATAAATTAAGTCTTTATTCTTTAGACTTAATTTTTTAAATAAAACACTTTAACGGTTTAAAACGCGATATATACTAGTTAAACAAGTTTTATATTAATGTGTACTACTCACGTAAACTACAGACACTATCTAAGGACATAATATTAAGAAGCAATAGAATTCTATAATTTAAAAAATCGAAAAATTATTTTCCATTTTTAAATTATAAAGTGCCTTCATGTGCAATAACATGTAAACAATATTAATGTTTTCAATAGAATTCTAACAAAATATTTTTTGTATCTCTATTGAGTTGATTTTCGTTAAACGCGAGTGGGAATCGAATCTCGGAAAAAATATATGTAGTTTCATTTAAAAAATCTAAAATAATACAGTTTCAGTCAAGCATTTTTAAATAGCGCATATAAAAATAAGGGCACAAAAATGAGACTGTCCCATGCTCCAAAATGTAAATAAAACCCTTTGTTTATTCTTCATGCAGACAGGTCAGTAGCCATATATAAATTATTATGTATTCAGTACATATCAGTTAAATAGCCCAGATGCATTGCACTTTTAACCCTACCTCGGTTTATTTAAGACAAATTTACGAGTGCCGCGGTATCTTGTTTAGCATATCAAAATAAACATTGATAAAAAAGGTATGAATTCTTCATTTGACTTTGAAGCCTTATGAATAATTCAAACGTTTCGGGTTATATTTGATTACATAGTTATATACTCGTATCTAAGCTACGAACGCTTTGTATTTACGTTATGACGGGTTCGGTGGTCTAATGGTTAAGGCATGGCTTATAATAATCAGCCGTTAGTTCGTTGCACACAGCGACAAACATCTTTCTATTAATTTAAATACACTTTAACTTTAAAACCTTTGTCCTTTGAATTTTTTAACAACAAGTTTCTATCAAACTTATAATTTATCTGATTTTCGGAAAAATCGAAATTCCGTCCGGGTCTCAAACCACTTTCCACAGATGAAAAAGCCGTGAAGTTTAATCGCGTTTCGATTTCAGCCTGAGGATTTCCGAATATCCAAAGCCAATATAGGTCGACAGTGCACTTGTTAAGACGCTATATGGCTGCCTTTGACAGTCCATTAATTGATCCCCGCGTTTGTCGTCCTATATCAATCAAATGGTTGAATACATGAAAAATTATATATTTCCGCTTTATAAGGAAGCGTCAATTATGTCTAATGTTTACCTAAATCTATTTAACCTCGGAATTCATAGAATCGCTCAACAAAGTACGCAGAGCTGTTTAAAATATGGAGTTTAAACATATTCACTTTTTAACGCGTCCGAGCAGTGGATTACTCGTAAATCCAATAACTTTTATGTATTCCTATATCATATTACCCATGAACAGTGTACTGTAAATATCTTCCTTGGAGAAAACATTAAAAAGAGTTGGAATAGGACACAAATTGTATAATTTTTCGCATCCATTATCTACTATACTTAGACTTTTGACCTAATCGTCGTAATTGAGAAATGGTTTTCGACGATTCGCTTTCACGAGTGATGACGTCATCGGTATATATTCACGGCCGACCCTTTGAAAAATATTTGATAATTTGTTACTGAGATACATCAGCTAGAAGTAACTGGTTGGCAACAAAACTTTGCGGCGCATACAGTAGATATATTTTACTCAAAACACGACATCGAACACAGTAATATAACTAATCCTCATTTTTTTTCCAGAAAAATACGACCTGGTTGGCAGACTATTGAAACCAGGAGAGGAACCAACGAACTACTCGGACGAAGAGACAGAGGAAACGGAGCCATCCACTAACAACCCAGAAGAGAAGAAAGAGCAGTAGACTAACAAACGCTGAATGAACCTCAACATATGCTCGGTAAAAGAAAAAGTATGTAATCGCCTTGGAAACATCTGTTAAATTAGGTTTTGAAACTTAACGTGCCATATGATTTGTAGTTTACCCGAGTAGTAAACTTTTAACAGTTTAAAACGCGAAATATGTTAGTGAGATTATTTTATTAACTCCTCGACGTTTCGAATGCTGTGTGGCAGTCGTGGTCACGGAGGACCCTTTATTAGGGTTGTGACCCTAATGGAGGGAAATCAAATTTGCTGCACACGGTAGCAGATGGCGTTAGCGTAGTATAGTAAAAATAAATTTGAAATTATATATTTCGCGTTTGTAAGGTTAAGCGGTTAAGCGTGATTTATTTAAACCCTTGACGCCTGATCATACAAAGGTTACGCTACTAACCCTATCTTTATATATTTAAATCTCCTGTCACGATGTTTGTCCGCTATGGACTCCTAAACTACTGAACCGATTTTAAATTAAATTGGCACACCGTGAGCAGTCTGGTCCCACTTGAGACATAGGATACTTTAGATCTTTAATTATAGTCGCAATTTTATTTTATTGCAAAGTATTTGTCTATAAATAATTGACAGTTACAATGGATAGAGTAAGCAATCAATAGATGGCACTGCTATAAACAATAACTTCAGCCACAGCAACGCGTGGCCGGGTCTGCTAGTTAATATATATATTTTTATTTTTTTCCAGTTTTGTGAATCGAAAGACTGAGTGATGGCGAAATGCGCGAGGGATGCAACACACAACATTCCCGGTCCTCGTTGTTTTATTTGTTATGGATCGAGTGTATATATTTGTCTCTTTCGTTTTTTACTATATAGTAGAGGACAGATAATATATTTGTAACTGTAAAATATATCTATCTTCTTCGTTTAGAAACCAACCAAGATAAGGATGGGCTTTTGAAAACAAATCTTTTAGTTGTATTGTTGTAATGTTTGACTTACTATTTTAAGAATGTATTCATAAAATGTGTGAAAATCAGTAATCTGTTTTCACTCGATCCATAACACCCATTTGTTGTATTATGTGCATTTGTGACTAGTTTTTATTTTTGTCTATGATTCTATTTCTTGAATTGTACTTAACATACTACATAAGTGTTACAATCCGAAATGTGCATAATATGAAGTGTACAACATGTTGTCAGTGTTATGTTGTTGTTGTTTAGTTGCGACATTTTTATTCTTTATTGCAATTAATGTTATTTAAAATGCGCTGAAGCCTAAACACTATTTTTATGAAATCTTAACGAGAATTTTGAAGCTTTTACAAATTATTTTGTCGCCTAAATTCGATATGTTTCTATTAAGTCGACTTTCAACGTAGTGGTTTTAAAATTATTTAAATCATTTTTATTTTAAATATTGTAAATCGTTACTATTACCAGTGGAACATGCCTTAATGCTTTTAAACTTTAAAGATGTTAAATGTTCGGTGTTATGATGTTGAAATGAATTATATAATGTAATGTTTATTTTAAAATTTTCACAATAAAGTATAGTGTCTTTTTAGAAGTTCATTTAATTATTATTCCCGTTAAATAAAAGCTGTAATCGGCAGACGCGGAACGCAGACGCGCATACATAGACTAGCGTGGACCATAGACTAGCGTAGTCCACGCTAGGCATGCGTGCCTAGTCGTAGTCGGGGAAAACCTAAGTCCATTGCGATAACTTTTTATTAAAAACTTTCTTATATTTCATATGGATTTACCATGATATACTTTCCAAAGATTCGTTTGAAACGTCGTTTTTTTGTAATCAAATAACAATTGTCAGGGGATAAGGCAACTGAAACAACCATATATAATGACTTAATTATATTATAAAATGATTTAATTACAGTAAACAGAATAAGTATCGTAATGTACCTAAAGTACGAACAATTTATATGTAAAAGCGACATGATGTACTTATTTCATATTTACATTTTGTACATTGAGCGCTCATATCATTTACCGTAATACTAATACGTCTTTAACGAAATAAATAAAGGGATGCGCGCAAGTTAGGGGAGTGGGAGGGGGTAGGGAAATTTGCGCGGGCCGGGGCAGGGAGGGGGGCTTAAGTTATATTTTACAAGTGTCCCGACCGCGACTCGTCTATATACACTACAACTGTTCGACAAACTTTGTGAGTTGGTCTTGGGGCGTCATCGGCGGCAGTTGATCGTCGGGTGGCGGATGCGGGGCGGGCGGAGCGGGCGACTGCCGCATGAGCAGCAGCTCGGAGGGCGTGGGCGGACGCGGGGATGGCGTAGCCGGGGGCGACGCCGCAGGGAAGTAGCGCGCGGCGAGTCTTGGCGCCGCGGCCGGGGCGTAAGCGCCGCGCATGGGCATCATGCCGCCGCCCACCGCGCCCGCGTTCGGCTTAAACCACCCGGCACCAGACATGCCGGACACGCCCGAAACACCGGACACTCCACCGAGGCCCACGTTCGATACGCCGCCGACGCCGCCCACGCCACCGACACCGCCGACGTTCGATACGCCTCCGACCTTAATGGAAAATCATGTCTGCGTTTATATAAAGAAAATGTAGATTTTCATTGTTGACTACAATTATTTTTGCAATTACGTTTAATTTTACAATTTGAGACTAGCAGTACATCTTATAAAAACAAAACCTCACACTATAGTGTTTCTTAGTATTTTGCGCATAGAGAGCAATGTATAGATAACTACTAACCTGTTGCTGTTGGGGTAGCATATGTTGCATCTGCTGCAACCTCTGTTGGGGCTGCATCATATGTTGTAACTGCTGACCCTGCTGGCCACCAAGTCCCACGTGAGACACACCGCCCACGCCCACGGCACCTCCGACGCCGACCCCGCCCACGGCTCCAACGCCACCAACATTGCCGCTCGTTTGCTGTTGATTTTGGGCGTTCTGTTAAAATAGTCGAAGCATTGGTAAATAACTATCATATTTTAGACATATGCTAATATAACAGAAATGTTAAACGAGGATATTCCAAGGCGATCCTATAATTGTATACGACAGAACTAAAACAGTTGTTAAACACTAAAAAGACATATGTTTATGAAAATAAAGTACAGCTATCACTATAGACATGTTCACCAAAACCTTCCGACGAAATTGTACACACAGATCAGGCGCGGTTGACGACTGGTCAGCAGAAGGTAATCGATAGTTTGTTTTATTATAATTTATTTCGTTAAAATTAATAGTTTAACTGGTATTAGAAGTGTTACCTGCGCTCTTTGTTTGATAAAAGCGGCCATGAGCGGGGGGTTCGACTTGAGGATCTGCAGTATTTCGTGTTGCTGGTTGGGACTTGTTGGAGATCTGAGCGTCGCCATCAACTGCTGCAGCGCTTTCTGTTGCATGTGTTGCGGTTGACTTGCTTGCTGCGGCGCTCCGGCTCGTTGTTGCTGTGAAACATTATGTGAACAATGTTATTATCAATTAAAAAATAACTAGAAACATTTTTCACACAAAAAAGTCTTTATATCATAAAAAACTTTTAAGTAGTAAAATAAAAAACACTAAAGGACTGACCTTGAACGACAGATTTAAATAATTATTGAAAACGTTAAATTTACATAAATCAATAATTAAACATTTTTTTTCTTCAAACATTTATTTACCTGTAATTGCTGCGGCTGCGGCTGCTGCTGGTGCGGATGATGATGAGGGTGAGGGTGCGGCGCATGGTGCGGTAACCGTGCGTGGTGCGGCGCGTGGTGAAGCGGAGGCGGGCCCCGGTATCGCGCCGCCCAGTCGGCCCTCGCGCCCCCAGGGGGTCCCATCGCGCCCTGCTTACCATATGACGGCGCCTGCTGTCTAGCCGCTTCTTCTTGAACCTGAACACAATAACACTTGTCTTAATCTTAAAATTAAAAAAAAATAGACTGTCACTACACAAATCTCTCTATCTAATCTACATAACGACTGAATCATTTTCCCATATCGCGTATTCAAAATATAGAATAAGCAGCTTTAAATAAAGTTGTGCCACTTGTTACTCAAATTCAAAAACTTTTCGCTAACTATTTCGCTCACCTGCTGCAACGCCTTCTGTACATTGTGTGGCAACGTATGCGCGGCCGGTTTGGCTGGTGGAGGCGAAGCTAGAGGTGCGGGAGGCGGCGAGCTCGGGCCGGCCATGTTTCCGCGCGTGTTCATCGCCGCCATCCGCCGCCTCAGCAGCTGTTGTTGTTGCACCCTCTGTTGCACCTGCTGCTGCTTTAACTTTTGCTTTATGCTGCTGCAGAACGGCACCGAGCACTTGCTCTCTTGACAATGCTTCGCGTGGTAGCAGCACAGCGCGATGAGCTGCTTGCAGATCGGGCAGTCGCCCTTGGTCTTCCGTTTGCAGATCTTCGTGTGCGTGACGACCCGCTTCATCTTCTGGCACGAGGGCAGCCGGCAGTTGGCGTCGCGGCACTGGCACGCGTGCACCAGCGACTGGATGCAGCGTTGGATCGACAGTTTCCTCGCCTCCTGAGGGTTCGCCTGCTTCATGTCTCCCGGAGAGGAGCCCACGTCTAGGTCGAGGCCCAACTTCTCCATCTTGTGCGGGTGGCCCTCCTTGTCGTAGCAGGGCACGCAGAGGTCGAAGTCGTCGCACACGGTGCAGTGGTAGCGGGTCTCGACGTGCGACTTGCAGCTGTTGCACGTGTAGACGAACTTGTCCTGGCCTTGATTGTGCAGTTCGTAGAGCATGCATAGCGTGGAGTAGTACGCGCGTCGCATCGACGAGAACTCGTAGTGGCGGTCGCGCGCCATCGTTAGGAACGCGTCGCGACCGTCCATCAGATCACAGTTTAATAAGGGGTCCGGGTCTTGGATGGGCTGCAAAGAGATTGAGAATTCTTTATTCCACAGTCTCGCAAACATCGTTACCACACTTTTGTAGACTGCAATACCAGTACATAGATATGCATTATTATTTTTATATCTTAAATGGTCTTATTAAAAGTAGACATTTCCTTTAAAGTGAACCTTTGTAAATAAACACAAATCATGTCAATTTGAAAATACTCACAGCCAGACTAGCAGCGGATTGCGCGGAATGTAGGCGGATAACGAAGAACACTTCCTTATGTTTCTCCATTGTGGCGAAAATCTTCGCACTGAGATCGCTCCCCTGCTGCTGGTCGCTCTGCTTCTTGCTGTTTTTCCTCTGGGCGGCCTTCGACTTGTTCGACTTCTTTGCCTTCTTCTGTCCCTTTTTCTTTCCGTCTGGCCCTTGCTCGCATTCCTCCGACGACTGGAATATCTAAAAGAAGGTTAGACGGTGCTCTAGACGGCTACACGCTTTATCAGTGATCTATGGTTGATGGAGGTAATGACAATGACTGGTTGACTGGAAACTATTGACACTACATTATTCCAATAAATATTAAATAAGAAGCTGAAGTTATAATAGTCTGGCTTATTAAAGACTTGAAATATTGAATGTGGTGTGCAAGGGCCATTCATAAATAAATAAACACGATAAAGAGCTCACAAATCAATAAATTTGTCGTCAATAAACACAGAAACCTTTAATTTATGGATGGCCCCGTATGACAAGTTAGCGATAACGAAAAGACACTGACCACTGCCTCGGCTGCCTCCGCCTGTTTCCTCTTTTCCTCCTCCTCCTGATCCAGCTCCTTGATCGACTCTTCGAGCACGTTGGGCCAAAAGTCCCCCTCAAAGTACGGCAACTCCGCCGCCGACGAGATACTGTCCTCCATTGCTTGTTTCAGGATATCTTTATAATCTAATATTATTCTCTCTATAATTCCTTTATCTAACATTTTCTTATACCACTCCTGCAGTCGCTTCGGCTTCGGTATCTTTTGATCGGGCGGATGGCAGTGGAAGATGTAGTCGTCCCCCTCCGACGGCGGACACGCCCATATATGGGCCATAGTGTAACCTAATTGTTTAGCGTAATCCAAATAACCTAAGATAATTTCGTGATAGACCGCGGTTCGGTACTGCTTCGGTTTGAAGAAATGAACAGAATCTAGATATGCGATGTACACTCGCCGCGTGTTCGGCGACGGACTCTCACTTCCGTATTCCTGAAAAATATAAAACATATTTTTAGCATATTTATAAACCTTAGCTAAGCTTGACTTGTCATTTTCAATCGGTCAACAAATATACCAATATATTACCTGCACGTGCATCCCAAAGAAGCAGACATCGCTCCCGTCCACCTCTTCAAATGCGAAAAGCGCTTTCGCTCTGTATGGGAACTCCGACGAGAGTTCACCAGACTCCACAAAACGAGATCTCATTCCGGGCTTTACTTCTACAATCTGAAAATAGATGTTTCAATTAGTCTCCATCTTATACTAAAAAACAAGAAAGAATGAAATAGGATTCAGTATCGCCCAGCTGAACCCAGCACCTTTATCGCTTAGTATGGTAATAGAAATGTATCTTCCAATGATTTTTTTTTTAGCGAGATGAAAAAAGCTCACCTTGTCGGACGACGCGACCACCCTGATATGCACCTCGCCAGCGCCCGCCTCCTTTTTCTTAAGATAATTATTCACTCTAGTCTCAATAAATATTCCTAGCTTCGACGTGGGCAACTTTTTGGCGCTGAACTTGTTATCTTTCCGTTTGCCCCCTTTCTTCTTGAGACAGTTTTCACAGCAGAAGCCCTGCGGCCATATTTGGTCGTGGTGCAGAACGCAGATCTGGTGCTGCTTCCTGCCACAGTCCGAGCACACCACGAACGGCTCTTGCTCCAAGTGGTCGTTCTTCATTTCTTTGAACTGGTCTTTCCTAATTGCCCTGCAAAATTGCACATGTTTTATATGAATTTGTTAATGACAATAAAAGCTTAATATTTACAGCCGTCTCAGCAATTTTGATTGACATGTAACGTAACAAATTTTACACCTGTGTTTTATATTTGATAAACGAAAAGAAAAATTGTTTTGTAGAATAAGTTAATCTTAAAGAAGTATATTGAAAGAAATGTGACTTACGTTTGCGGCTGTAGCGGGTCGTCGCCGAGCGTAACGGTGTCGCCCTGAATGTCGTTGAAGCATTTCTGGCAGAAGGTGTATCTATCGGACACAACCCCATATGCTTTTAGACTGTTTGCACAATCGGCGATGGCGTTTGTGGGTTTTCGTGTTCCGCGAGTGAGGTGAAGCGTGCGCAAGGGAGCCAACCAAGGACGGGCCAAAACAAATTAGTAAGCGATGAGAACATAAAAGGGATTAGTTGAGCGCGGCGTGGCGCGGACCAGCGCAGTCGTCCAAACTAAGTCTTTTGGAAACTGTGTTGGTTGGTGCGAAATTATTAGGAGTATCGACAGTACGATGAGTTGTTTTGATAACGATACGACAGAGAGAAAGAGAGAGAGTTTAGAAAAGAGATGCAGTGTGCGATACTCCAAATAATTGTTTCAAGTGGGTTAGTCACAAATCCTAGATAAATTGTCTAGTGTGGTACATTTTTTAGACAAGTTTTTGAAAGGTGGTTTCAATATTAACGTTTTTTTAGTTTAATAATCTACACAGATTTATGAATTGCACACCTGAACCAAAATTGAGGATTTATTATTAATCCAAGCAAGTGCTCTTCAAAAAATAAAAGTAATGATTATAAATTACTTTTACCAATTACAATAAAATTTGAAGCTCTGCACATTTGCTGGTTTAATATTATTACTCTTGTAAGTAAACATTTCGATTATGGTGAAGACCAAAGTGCTCAATAGATGTATCACCGCCATTGATATAATGTTGTTGAGTGACAAAGCTAAACCAAATAACGCTTCCATCAGTTTCCTATAATAATAAACTATCATTCTTACTTTTGATAAGACGATGATACTGCTATTGACAGTGAAAAGCGATAGGAAGCTTTGTGAATAGCTACATGGAAGTATAGCAATTACTTGTTAAAAAAAAGCATTCTCCAACATGGACATGTATAACGAGAATGTGTGTCTGCCGTGAGTGCAGGTGTCTCTGCTTTTACAATGTTTTCTATCGCATTCCAAATTATTTTAACACTGTTTTAAATATGTTATCAGGTAAAACAATTGTCATTAAAAGCTAAATTAAACCTCTCTTAATAATTAATTTTGATATTGCAGAGTCACACTACACAGTATTTGGGAAGTTAGACTATCTTAAAAATCGAAAAAAAAAAAAAATAACATCGACTCGGGCAGGACTTGAGCCGACATCGTCAGCGTTCCGTGCTGTTGCTCTACCAATTGGGACTCAGTAGCTCAATTGGTAGAGCAACAGCACGGAACGCTGACGATGACGGTCCAACACCTGCCCGAGTAGATTTTTTTTTAATTTATTACGATTTTTTGTAGAAATTATATAGTGCCTCCATGTTAGCCTAATGCCCAGTCGATAAACATTGCTCGACATGTTAAATAAACACACACACAAATCAAAAGTATATCCTGTGATTATGATTCTTTGTTCTATTTAAAATTCACTTACTAAAAATATCAAAAGCAAAATGACCCCATAATTAACTACGATCACGACAAAAATTCTCTCGTCAAATTATAATTAAACTCTATTTCACATCAGTAGAGTGACTCAAATTACGGTGTAGAGTTACATCACGTGTAACGTCTCCATGTCATGCTACCGAGAATATAACATGGTGACTATCGATAAATTTATTGCCAAGATATAAAAACTCAATACAAATAAAAGATTTCAATTGTGAGATTCGTACATTTTTCTTAATTATGAAAATGTCGGTTATTACGTATTTGAAAAACAGAATACTAAATGCCGTCTTTAGTTTATTCGAGTAGCACACAATTAAAATAAAGCACTAACTGTTTTAAACGATATATACTGGTTAATCTTTTTCATAGATTATTTTAACTACGGCCTGACGTTTTGCAGCTGCCGTGTTCACGGGGAGACTAAAGATGGAGAAACGTCGCGTAGTAGTTAAAGTAATTTCCAAATGAGTTTAACTAATATATATACAGCGTTTTAAACCGTTAAAGTGTTTTATTAAACTGAATGATAGTAATTGGACAGACCGGCCTCACTTGAATGTAAATTATTTCTCAAAGCGAACTTAAACAGCGTTTCGCATATATGCACGAAGCCCTGCAACCCTGACATTCTTCTATTACCAGGAATTCCCTCCACAAATTAAGCGACCGCATATATGAAAAACTTAAAATGATAGAAATGATCACAGAACATACAAATTGACATTGAAAACAGTGGTATTGTTAGACGTGGGTTAATGATCACACTGAAATGAACATTTTAATACATTATTTCCACAAAAACACTAACCTTAATTATTAATTTGCATTATTGTACACCGATATTAATTTGTAATGGCGTTAGAATGTTACAGCAAACACAAAATGTAAACATGCAATGTATTTCAGGTGCATATCGCCAAATGTACATTACTTTGCATTCTAATGCAGTTGAAAATTTGTTGTGTTCGTGAATCATATGCAATAATTTATATTTCTTATGTATTTGTTAAAACTTGAATAACTGGGTAAAAGGAACAACTATTCAGTCGAGCTAAGATATGTTAACTAATTTCATACAATTCTCGCTATAGTAGTAGATTATTAAGGACAGTGTGGAACACAGTGGTTGTAGGTCTGTCTTGTTCGTGTCATTGAATTTTTGCAAAGCTATGTCTTCTAATTCAATTTCAAGCATAAGTATAAAACAAATGTAATCAAAGTGTAGCCCAATTAGATTTGTATTCTTGTATGAATCATACGCACGTATGCCCGTAAGTTGTGCGTACACGTATTAGACACAAGTCTAGTAAGAGTCAAATTACAAATCTAGAATAAACAGGATACTAAAACGAGTGTACGCGAATAAAATAAGATGTGTTCCTATAACCCAGTACCGTAGATAGAAGTTAAACTACAAGTTTTATATCTCTGTGGTGAGTATACAAACCTGTTCTGATAGGAGAAGTACTTGGCGTCCCGCGGTATCGTGCAGAGCTGCTTGCCATAGCAGCAAAGCACTTGCGGGTTGAAGGTGTACTTTCGCCCGCAACAGAAGCCCAGCGACTGCATCACCGGGTCTATCTCCGCTTCGAACACCTCTGACAGCTGTATCGACACACGGAAATACAGATCAGACATGGCACAACTATAATTAGAGTGAATATTTAATAATACACAACAAGTAAAGTAAAGTAAATAAATTTTGCTATTGCAACGTGTTACTGACCTTAGTACAAAATCGATAAACCCTAGAGTTCTTCCTATTGTAGAGCCACGCATTGTCGAACATCAGCCACATGTCGTCCACGTACTCCCACGGATCCTTGTACTCGCCGTGGTCCAATTTCATCCTGATGGTGGACAGGTCGATAGGCTTCGTCACGATGTCAAAGTAGTCTGGTATGCCGAGAGTGACCGCGTCCACCGGCTGTCGGAATGGAACCCCCTCCGGTTCTAGCCTGTACAGTTTTTCCAGCGTCGGCATCAACGCTTGCCGCAGTTCCTCAGGTTTGAACGTGAAGGGTTTCTTGGGTCCACGATCGACGGTTGTCTCGCCGGTGGTGCTCTCCGGCTCCTCCTTTATCTCTCGCTTGATCTCCGGTTTCACTTCCGGGATCTCTTTCTTTATTTCTGGCGCGAACGAATCGCTCCTATCCGTCACATCGTTGTCCCTCTCCATGCGCACACCTTTACCCCCGCATTCTTCTTCCTCCTCTTTTATCTTGATGTCTTCCGGTTCGCGTTTGATCTCCGGCGTCGCGGGAGGTTCGGCAACTGGCGGAGCCGGCGCTGGCGCAGGAGGGGCGGGGGGCGCTGGAGATACGTGAGGAAGTGGGACAGGAGTGGCCGGCGCTCCGGTCTGCGCGGGGGAGCCCGGCAGCTCGCGGAAGGTGTTCGTCATGAAGGGGCTCGCGAGGCGCTTCATATCGGGCTGGTGGGACGGCGAAGGCGCCGGCCCGTTACTAGGTAAAGAGTATTGAGGCGCAGGCGACGGAATGGGTTGTCCGAAGGGAGACATGCCCGGGTTGCTCATTGCACCCACGCCGACTGTGCCGCCGTTGGGTGTCTGAGGCATCTGTGTAATTAACATTAATAATTTATTATTAGATCGAAAAACACGGACACCTATTGTCATTGCATAATGTAGATAATAGCCGTCAAGTGATTGTCAGTGCGTTTTAAAGTTTAGTTTTTACGTTCTGGCTTCAGAACTGTCGCAATTTATTGTTCGAGTTATCAACATACCGATATCAACACTTACATCTCAAAACATACCGTGAAATCATCACTCCAAATAGATTCATTGTACGCATAATTATCACAAATCAGATAGAAATAACGGAATATTTAGCATCTACCTACATAGAGGTGTCAATGCGTTCAAAATGATTGACATTTGACATATCGGCGTTGGCAACAAACAAAAGAATTACAGAGTATCGGCAAAATCGATTAATATGGTTTGGAGACCACTTTATAGATGACTTTGAGAGTCACAAGTATAAATGTCATTTAAGAATGTGGGTCTACCCTCAAATTTAACAGTATAAATTTATCAAATTAAGATGTCGAGCTCGTCATGTCCAACTGAATATGATCTGAAAATACCAGGATAAAACAAGATTTTTCGTAATCGAATATAACAATACCCTTGAAAAAAGTAACGAATTATGATTTCTTTCGGAGTCTTAACACAAACATATAACTAACTATAGACACATTTTTCTGGACCTAATATTAGGCCATCAACTAGATATGATAGACAATTAAAATCTCTAACACGTAACCTAAGCAGTCTATAAAACCTGATATCAGAAACCAATCTGTATAAAAATGCATTTGTACTGGTAGTAGTTACATCCTACTACCTGAGTACTGTACTGTCTGAAAACCATCAACACACTGTTTAGTCTTAGGAATGTTAGTGTTAAATCCTATTTTTAAATATACTTTTTTCTACTCCCAACACCACAACAATGTAAAACTAGTAGATTTATAAAAAATACATTACATATAGAAAATCCTGGTACTATATTCTACCTAATATTTTATAAAGTAAATTTAAGTAAACATGTATAAACTACAAAATAAATAATACAATAACTAGAAAAAATTTCTTACCTGATTAGGACTCGGGCCAGGTGGCCCAACAAGATTAGGCTGGTAAGTCATTCTATTGGTTGACATAGGCAGATTCATGCCAGGGGAGGGAATGCGCATTGCGGGTAGGCTCGGCTGGGCGGGCAGGTTTGGCCTGACACCCACACCGAGGCCGACGACCCCCGGTGCCGTGGGGCGGACACCCATGACACCGCCTCCGGACAGCACACCGGTCTGGTTCTGCAGTTGATTTTGCTGCTGCGCCTGTTGCGCTTGTAGCTGCTGCTCCTTTCGTTTCTGCCTCTTCTCTTCCAACTCCTTCTGTATCTTGTATATCTTTTCGGCGAGCAGGTGGTAGTACTCGGAGCGCGTGCTAGCCATTTCGTACATGTCACCTTCCACTTTCCTCGCGTATGCCACTAGGTTGTGCATCCGCTTGTCTTGCATTGCTGTGGGGTCGGGCGTGGGGAAGATAGCTTGGACCCTGTACATTTTAAAATATTTTTATTATGACACAACACCTGATGTTAAAATGATAGTGCATTTTATTAGTTATATTTAGTTAATAAAATATATAGTATTATTAGTATAGTAGTAGCTATTAGTATATGTAGTAGTCGTGGTTGATGGTTTTTGCCGGCAGTTTATACAACGGATACTTACAGTTTATGAACAAGGTGGTTTCTGAGATCAGGTGTTATAGACTGGTGCCACTCCTTCGTGCCCGGCACAGGATTAGCCGTCACCGGCCCGCCCAGTTGTAGCGTCCCTGTGCTCATCTACATTTAAAAACATTAATTTTAATTTGTCCATCACTTCGAAATCTATATTTCTTTTACTTATTGGCAGTTCTGCCAATAAGTAAAAGAAATATAGATTAAGTTCTTTTATAGACGTAGTGGTGCGAAAACGGTAAGCATAAGCCGCTAGAAGGCTACTTGTTTATTTTAATAACTTTATTAATAAGGCCACTAATTCTAAATCTTCACCTGTTGTTGGGGGTCAGGTTGATGTGCAAATAATTGCTGCTGCTGCTGATGCGGCAGCACATCAGACAGTGCAGGTGGACGGGGTGCAGCTAGGCGGGTGAGAGGCGCGCGCGCAAACCCCATCCCCGATGTGGGACAAATGCCTAGGCCTAGCGCTTCGTAAGCACGCTTTAATTCTGGAACGGCACCGACGTTTCCCACGCCCACGTTTACGTTGCCCACGCCAACGTTTCCGACGGAACTTGCTCCCGTCGCGTTAGATGCTACACTTGCACCTGCTAAAATATTAATTAATATATAACAATACTTAAATTTTAGTGTTGTATGTGAACTGATTTTGTTTTAAATAATGCTGGAATATATGACCATATGACTACTTTTTACGTATAACAGTTATTACGTACAAGAGCTATTAAAACAACTAAATTCCAAGTATAATACCTGAAAGAGGGTTAACAGGTGGTAAGGAGTTAGGCTGCTGAGCGTTCACGTTGACGCTGACTCCGCCCACGCCAGCGTTGGTTCCGCCTACGCCGCTAACTCCCACTCCCACGCCCACGCCTACACCCGTCGTTGCGTGGGACACCGCTGCCGCTGTGTTTATATTGATGTATTTAGAACTAACATCTATATTACAAAGAATATCTTTATAAATAACTTGAGTGATATTGAGGAATATGGAAAAGCATTCTATTTAAAACTGTTGAGATGGTTGCTACACCCGTGTCTACTCATATAAATGTCCTCTGAGATGCAGTACTACAAACTTAAGCAAAACATGCGAACAGCTTTATTTAATAGTTATTTATATTTTCTAAATTATGAATAATAAGCAACTTACCATTCATATTGTTAGATCTTGTCCTATCAGCTTGTTTGAGAGGTAGACAGACAGGACAATCATTCTTATTGCAATGTTTCCAATGGTTGATGATTTGTCTTGATGATGAACAATGAGGTACTGCACAGTTCTTCCCCGCCTATAAAGACATAATTTAGACTCCAGTGACCACTTCTGTGACTGTCATTGAATAAAAAAACACCTTGCACTTTAGTACCTAGTACCCTAGTACTAAGATGGTGTAATCAACATCTTAATACATGTTTCTATCTATTAAAATCTTTTTATTCCAAACAAAGTGAAGTGAAAAATTAAAATATATTGTAGACAGAAAGAATTGACGCCTTTTCAGCTTTTGACACCATGAATTGCTATTACCCCATTTATTGTGTTTAAGTATTAGTTAAAAGTACTTAAATTCAAAATTATTATATACTGACTCTCTCATTACTTTACCACTGTTTATAGACAACAGTAAATATATTGTATCAAAATAGATCTTTCACAGTAGTATTGATACCACAATTGGTTAGCGACGTAGCGAGTATATAATGAAGAGTAAGCCTTTTTATACAATAAAATAATGACATATAAGGTAACCTAAACATTTTCAGAGTTTGTGCACTATAACTACTATAATTATAAGCATTTTAAATATTCTCCTCCTATACTATATTGTCTGTTAGTCATAATTCTAAAATACTTCAACCTTTCAATTCAGTCATAAAACATGGAAATAGTATGTTCTTTTCATATTTGTAAAAGTGGATTAACAATATAAAAGATTAAAAATTCCTAGATGGTGGCTTTATCTTTCTATGCTTGTAATATGATTTCTCAACTGGCTTATATCTAATAACTCATAAAAATCTAATACTCAAAAAGTAAAGTTGCAAGCAACACCAACCATGTCTTAAACGATACTATACTACAAATCAAGAATTATGCTATATCTGAGAGAAAAGTTGATGTCTAGTTAATATCTCAAGCTTCCCCACCACCCTACCTGACATGACATCATATGGTTGAGAACTCCCTTCATTGTCTTGCAGTGGGGTAGGGTACAAGTCCAAGCGTCGCCATTCGACTGCGACTCGCGCCGCTGACACTTGTGCGCGTGCAGCAGCAGCACCAGTTGCTGCTGAATGAGCTTCCTCTTCTCCGGGTCGGCGATGGACCCGGTGTTCGGTTGAGTGGGGGCCGTCGCAGATTGCGTGGCCGCCTGAGGCTGTGACTGACAGGAATTATGTGGTCATTATTTTATGGAAATCATTGGTTGTGACACCACTACTAGTGAATCTCTAATAGTTATTGCAATTCAAAACGTAAATATTATGCGTTAGGTACTTAATCCCGTAGATGTGAAAAAAGTCTAATGAGTGTGTTCTAGTTCTACAATATTCCTCACCTGTCCACCAGCCGGCGCACCGGGTGTTTGCGGAGAGGGCGCGGGGGGCACGGCCTGAGCAGCCCCACCCCCCGCCTCCGGTGGAGGACCGAATCTCACTCCCGCTGCTCTCTGTGCGGCGGCGACGCCCGCACTAGCTGCCGGTTGACCGTACGCAGGATGATACGGGACGAGGGGGTGCCCTCCGCCGGCACCTCTAGCTCCATGGTTGCCCAAACCGTGCACGGGCACACCTTGACCGAGGCCCGAACGAGTTGGCACTTGCATGCCCACTCCGACCCCGACACCCATTCGTCCACCCAATGGGCCGTTCTGCATTGCCTGGGAGGAAAAATTAAAATAAAAACATTTTTCCAATTCTTATTGTTGCTTCTTTGTTTTAGTAACATATATCCTAACAATAACATTTTTAATAAGAAACAGTTTTACAGGTTTACCACTTATTTTGGCACCTGACCTTATGTCAATCAATTATCAGAGCTTTTAAGTTTGTAACTATGAAATATTGTGGACCTGCCATGCAAATCAAATAAGTTACCTGTGCATGAGGATGATGCTGCGCGTTCGGATGGTGGTTGTTGCCCATATGCGTGGGTAATTGTTTGTTAACATTGTTTATAATACCACCACCCAGCATGCCAGCGCCGCTCATGTTACTGTTTGTAACTACCATGTTTCCTCCAACGTTTGCTACGTTCATACCTTGCAATATAAATAATACCAATTCTTATATACTAATTAAAATGTTCCCTACTTATTACACTACACCTAGCATTAAGATACTGATATATAGAGTTTTTGTTCGCGCTGCCAGATGGCGCCAATCACGACTATTTTCTGATATTTATTAAAATCAATTGTATTACCTAAAATTTATAGTGACAATAAACTCGGCATATTATAAATCTTAGTTTTGGCAAATGGCAAAATTTAAATATGCATCATAAAATAACTATGTAAAATATAAGACAAACCTTGTATAGAACTCATAGGCATATTGGAATGAAGTTGATTTGGGTGACTCGTATTTGGTATGAGTTGCTGATGCATGCCACCCATGAGATCCTTAGAGACAGAGACATTGGGTGGCGACTGAAGATTAGGACTCTTACTACCTAGACTCAAACTTAACGAGTTGTTGTGGCCAACTAAGCCACTCTTATTGCCCTGTGAAAAGACCAGCACACGTAACACAACATTAGTATTTTTTATCAAGGATAAAATATTCAAATTGTATAGATGTTTATTTTATTAATCTAAATAAAAACTTAGAACCAGCTCCTTTAGATACTTACTTGTTGTATAAGGTGATTATTGATTTGTCTTTGCATAGCAGCAGTAGGGTCATCCCCATTCAGCTGCTGTGGGCCCATTTGCCCCCCAGGCCCAGGACCTTGGGCGGGGGGCTTTGGACCGGTGACACCAGGCTGTTCTCCCCAGGCACCCCCCATAAGCTCATCGGGGAGATCTTTTTCCAGGTCGAACATGTCTAGGTTTGAAAACCCATCTGCTGAAAAAAGTATCACATTTAGTAAAGACAGAAAATTTTCAAAAGGAAATTTATAAAATATCTAGAAAATTTACTTATTCATCAGAAATACTATTATATTTTAACTCTTTTTTACACAACACACACACAAGTACAAAGAACCATATTAGCCAGTAGACTAACAAACATTTGCGTGAAAGCACATTTCCCCCTCGTGGGGCATGAGATAAACACATTTCTGTGTCGGTTTCACTGATCTGTTTTTTAACGGGCTAGTAGTTGATCAGACTTCTGTGCCCTGCTTGACCGAAACAATTTTATGTTTAAAATTCTCCCAGTACCACGGGCCCCGAAAAAAAAACCAAAACGCCGGGCCGAAGTGGTTAAAAATCATTTTCAAATAAGTTTAACTAATATATCGCGTTTTAAACCGTTAAAGTGTTTTATTTAAATGTGTACACTCGCGTAAACTATAGACAGTATTTAATTTTATGTTTACCGAGGACCTCTTGCACTTAACGCAATGCTAGGCAATATGTTTAACCATTCGGTTACAGAGGAGGTCGTATTTGCATATATAAAAAGTGCAGTAGTAAGAAATAAATAAAATATAAATAACTCAATTAATATTAATTTATTTACTTAATTCACTCTGCAACATTTAATACTGTTTATATTTAATTATATATAATTATTTAAGTAAAAATTGTCAGTTTTCACTTCACTAATAAATTAGCTAATTTAACATCATAATTCATTAATAATTTAATTATATTAATAATTTAATAAATAAAATGCCAGTTTAGAATGTTGGGTATAAAACGATCTAATGTATATAAGAACAAACATAAAAATACTAAATAAAATATTTATTTCCCCTCACTTATAGAGTTACACTATTATTATACAAAATCTATTAAACCTTCTTCATAATATTTTATTATCCAACCAAAACATATGTTTGACATAAAGTTAGAGGTTATGTGTCATGTTGTACACATACAAAATGTCAGATAAAAATATTATTTATATACAACATAATATATTGTATTAAAACATTTCTGAAAGAAATCTTGTATTAAAACAAGTTAAGTGGGTCAAAGCTTTTTTAGATAAATATATATAGTCTATATATTGTTTTTCTTTTTAATGGTTCTGATTCTGAGTCAAAGAAAATAGTGAAAGTATATCAAAAAATTTTAATCAATTATAGAAATCTATATACTCTTCGTTAGGTTGTAAGGATAGGTCAAACAGAGTAACAAATGTAATTCTATAAATTATTGAGTGAACACTAATAAATGAGAAATATATATAATTAACCATGTCATTTATTTTACATTATACCCAAAACATTATAAAGATAATGAATACTTGTTCTGTAAAATATTTATTTTGTAAACTATCTTATTTGATATCAAATTTTTAAAACACATTTGTATCATGTAAATGACTGCGGTAGCCTATTTTAGGCTTTAAAATATAAAATATTGAAGATTAATGCAGTTTCATTGCTTAGTTTACTCACGAAACAATAAATACGACGCAAAACTTGCGAGGCGCTAACAAGAACGAACGCAAAATGTCAAAATTCACAGTACAAAAGTAGTGACAGTAGAATACTTAAACATCACAAAACTTTTAAAATATTAAAAAGTACTCACCCGCGGTGTCTGATGGACCCTGGAATGGGTCCCGCATCATTTTGGGCCGCTTATTGGGCGGCTCATCCACATGATGATCGGCCATGGCTCTGTTTACTAAACGTAAGCCGTCTTGAATATTTCGGCCCGCCGATTTAAATAACACTTAAAAGTCTAATATCTTTCATAAATATCATTTTAGTTTGATTTATCATTCATCACAATATAAATCACCCACATCCCGATCGTTCGATGGCCTTCACACCATTGAAGGCACATATTATAATTTCTCACTTTAAGTATTCGCCATTACAAAGCTCCGAATCGAAGAGCTACACAGACCCTCTCACCATCTTCCGACGGAACTAGCACAATAAATGAAAACAATATCACCAGATTTTTGCTACTTTATTGAACTTATTTTAGCGATCCTAATACACGATTACACTTAACACTTGAAAATATAGGGAATGGTCAAGTTTATGATAAAATGATGTAAGAAAAAACAGAAAATTTACACGACAAATTCCGAAATACTTCTCAGTCTCTCCAGCGCAAAATGGCGGCTGTTGATGAAAACTTTTTCTACGCTTGTCAGAAAATGTCGGCCCATAAAGAGAAAAAGCGCTGTGATTGGCCGAAAGACACCACGTGACTGACGGAAGTGCAGTCTTGACGCAGGATCGGTCCAATAGATCTGACGTCAAGGCGTTTTGATACGAACAATGGCGACAAGATCCGAAGATATTTTATGTAAATAAATAAATTCTGATTCATGATAGCTAGTATTTAACAATATATATAAATCAAGAAGGAATACATTTAAAATTTTCGTTTCATGAAAATAAAATAAAAGACGTAGAAACAACAATATTTAATAAAACTGTAATGTGTTTTAAATTTCCCTCCTATTTCGGGAGGGGTCGCCATCAATACAACGTGTCTCTAGTCTATGACTTTCTAGGTCATCAGAGACAATATATATTTTTATTAACATACAAAGCAAAAGTTTCTGTTTTACTTTCAAATGATATAGATTATAGCCACTAAATACAGATGCTAAATTATAGTTATTTTTATTTGAATTTAAAGTAGTCTTATTCTTTACAATAATATTTATGTATTTTAATTTCGTAGTAGTAGAGTAGCGTTAGTTTCTTTTGTACAGTAACTATATTTTATCAATCAAACTTAGTTTTTATACAAGACTGATTATACGTTAAGTTCATACAACGGCTTTTCTGATGTACAATTTTATTCAAAATCTGTTTAACAATTTTTGTATCAAGGGTAAACATCAATGGTCACATATTATGATATTTTCTAAAATACGTATTATTATAGAGTACACAACAGATGTGAACAATATAAGTTTATTGTATATATTGTATAACATATATTTGAAACTGAAATTATATTAAATATCTATATTTTCTACATTAGATATCTATAGTTTCCTTTATTTATTACAAGTAATAAAAAAAATCATAAAACATAAAATATTTATTTGAACAACAAATTATTAAATTTAATTTACATTTCATATAAAGGTTTTACACCTAAGATTTTAAGACTAGTATTCACAACTCTTCTTACACAATAATACACAAGAAGCCTTTGTGATGCTAAGTCATCACTTGAACCCTTAACTTTGACTTCATTGAACATTCTGTTGACATAGCGTGAGAGTTTAAATAAATAATTTACAAGTATACATGCTTCTTGTTCATAATAAGCTCTCTGTAGAACATTATCAAATTTTGCTAATTCTGTTACTATATCACCAATGATTTCTTCATCTAGCAGATCTGGTTCACAGAAGTCTGGAAGAACTGCACCAGAATTCTTTTCTAAACTCCACAACCTACAATGAAGGTACTGAAGTTTTATGCCACTATCTCCTTCAGTTTGCAGAGCTCTACTCCAGTCAAATATGTAGTCTTTCTTTCTTCTCTGCTTTAAGTCATTAATTATAACTGCTGTAGTCCCTAATATGTCACATGTTTCTTTGTTTATTGCTGATTTCCTTGTATCTGTAGCAAAAAATAAATATAAAATGAAATCTGCCATCTGACAAAATTATATTTTTTAAGTTCAATTTGTAATCTAAACATACATTGTAAGCAATTTCTTACATGAAATCATTAAAAAAATATAATTACGATCGAATCGATCATGACAATAAACTATGTTTAGAAATGATTATTTATCTGAAACAATTTAATTGTATAGAGATGTGGTGTAAATCTTACTTTTAGACTGCTGTTGCTTTTCGTGCATTTTCGATTTTGCTTCATCCAAAATATCATTAAGGAATATGACATTTCCTTTCCTAGTACTCATCCCTTTGATTCTTCCAAACTTAACATGTTCACAGGCCTCGGCACATACCTCATTAACTCTTCCAACAATATTAATAACAGCATTGAAGTGATCTGTTTGTGCATTGTCAACAATGTATAACATTCTATCAAACTTATACTTCTCATACCTTTTTATCAAGGCGGCTATATCTCTTGATAGATATAAAGTTGCATTATCACTCTTTAATACAGTAACATCTCTATCGTTGACTCTAGCAATTTTCTTTCCTGTTTCATGAGTATATATTATCTTGTTCCCTTCTAATAAAGTTATTATATCTTTTATAGCTTTACCGTTATAATCTGATTCCCATTCATACTGATCAAATTTAATACCTAATCGATGATACACTGATTCTAATTCTGCAACTGTAATTTCTCTTATGTGTTTCCATGTCTCTAAATCTGCTGTTCCTTGTTCTATATTAGAGAAATTTTTCTTGGCTTCATTTTGTATTGTTTCATCTGTAGCAGCCAATTTATTTGTTTCTACATAAACATTGTACAGTGTTTTAATTGAGTTGTCTTTTAAATCATTAATAGTTAAATTTTTTGCTTTCAATCCGTATTGCAAAAGGCCAAACTGAGTTCCCCAATCTCCTAAATAATTAATTTTTACTACATTATTTTGGAAGTATGTGTTTATATTTGCTATAAAATTCCCAATTATAGTTGATCTCAAATGCCCAACATGAAACGGTTTGGCTATGTTTGGTGAGCTAAATTCAATTACGATTTTCTTAGGTGTAGTGTTAACTTGTCTCTCATGATGTCGAATACCATCAAGTACATTTTTAATGACAAGATTTCTATCGACTTGAAACATCAAAGATTCATCTTCTGGATCAGATACATCCTGTTCTTTTGACCTGGGTGATAAGTTAACCTCATAAATATTGTCCGAATGTTTATAGGACACATTAATGTTGGTCAAGTGCTTATAAATATCTACATTTCTAGTAGTGTAGTTCTTGAGCTGTAAAAATATATGCTAAAAATATTTGCGGTATAGTTTTTACGAGGTTATGAATATATAGAAATACCAACCTGTTCTAAAAGCATGGATTTTAACTTGGCGCTCATTATAGTGTATATTTTAGTACATATGTTATGTCTTCAATGATAATTTATCATCTTAAGTTTCTAGTATGTATGTATGTAACAAAATTAATATTATTTTTTTTATAATTTATGTAAGACAAAATTTTCTATCTGTGTTTTGTTAATATTAATTACAGATAACACATTTATTATTTTGAACACAGAGTGTAATATTTTTTAGCGGTTTGTAAAAAAGAAGGATTTATCCAAGTTTTTCCCCCCCTATATTGTAATCATAAGAATAGTTGCCTTCGATAGATAAAATCAAAGAGTGAACAATAATTATCTAACGAGTTTTTTTTACTTTTGGTTATCTTCTTAGGAATACATAGAACACCTTGTAAAAATGCTTGAAGTTTTATATTAAATAAGTTTAAGTTTAAATGTAAATAGGTTTCTATACTATAATAGTATGTAATTTTAATTAAAGCAAAGAAAATATTATTTTAAATTTAAATTAAAAATTTAGCATTTTATAATAACTATCTTTCATACTTCCTGCATACTAGTTACATCAATAATAAGTGTAAAAAAAACAACTAAAACTTAAGGGGTCAAAAATATTTAATAAATAAAAGCTAATAGAGGTGTATACGAGATTTCATTGAAGTTGTAGAAATTTGTTTTTGTTTCAAGAAACAAACTAAAGTTATAGATGGATATCATCTATGTTTATACTTACATTTATATTATTATATTCTCTGTTATAATTAATTCTTAAGTTTCAAATTATAACGTCTGTGGCGATTCGTCGCTTAGCAACCGTAACTTTGAAACTTCACAATAACGATAAAACAGTATACTTAATTACTTACTATAAACTTATGTATTCAATTAAAATGAGCAACATTGGGCCGTTATTAGCAAAACATTACGAATAAAACAAAAATTATGGCGGCTCCTAAAGTACGATATTATCAAAGAAGGATTTGTTCTACTCATTTTTAATGATAAGGGAATGAATTTAAGTTTTAATTTGCAGTTGTTGTATACAATAGAGCAGCCTCATGGTCTTGGTGAATTGTATTTCACATGGCAAAAGAGCCATGGGTCTTTGCTTGCTACAACAGGGACAGATGCCACAGTTGCCATTCATGATAGGTCGGGACAACTTTTGGAGAGGATCAAATTACCTGGGTAATTTTTTGTTTGGTATCCCACAAATTCTTTGGGAATCCGTGGAGTCAGGATGGGCTTAAATCCTTGTTTAAAAAATATATTTAGCTGGACTATTATGAGCCTGGGGAAATATAATTAATTTTGAAGATGAGAAATTTATGCACATATAATGTGTTATGATTTACTAAACCTTTGGCTTTTTTTAGTAATATTTTATTTTTATTGGCCTTGTAACTGGACCTTTAAGCTATAACCTTTGGCTCCTAGTAGAATATGTACACTTTTAAATGAAATCAGAACCTAATATGATGTCATATTCGTCATAATATTTTAAACTGTTAAAGTAATAACCACTTACTTTTAGATTATGTTCAGCCATGGCGTGGGATAATGATGGTGACTATTTAGCTATAATAACACCAAATAGCAATTCAGCGTTTTTATGGGAAGCTCATGCTAATAAGAAGGTCACCATTGAGACTGGTCTCCGGGAGGCAGCCTCTTGCTTGGCGTGGGCTTTTGGTGAGCCCCTCCTTGCTATTGGCACCCAGAAGGGAAATTTGGTTCTCTACAATCACCACACAACTAAGTATATAAAGTTACTGTTATGTAAATTAAAGTATATTAATACAAACTTTATATTCTTTTTGTAATTTCAGAAGAGTACCAATAATTGGTAAACACACTAAGAAAATAACATGCGCAGCTTGGAACAAAGATAGTATATTAGTATTAGGCTCTGATGATAAGACATTATCCATAAACAACTCAGATGGAGACACACTTAGAGTTATCACATTGAGAGATATTCCAAATGATCTCCAATTTTCAGAGATGAAAACTGATGAACGGGTTTCTGGAGAAAATACTGTAGGTTATACTTTTCATTAGATAAAATATGGTATTTTTAATTCACAAGAAATCATTTTAATTCATTTAGTATTTAATTTTTCAAATGTACATATATATTTTTAATACTATAAGCTTAAATATGTATACACAATATCATTTTAAGTCAATTAAATGATAATGCAAAGTAGTAGGATTAAAACATGCCTTTGTCTGTATTGTATGTACAATACAGATAGTTTTAAAACAGCTAACATTGTATTGTTGTAACAGTGCACCATAGCTTTATTGAACAAACTAATGCGTTTCTTTTTATACTCAAATTGAAAAATTTCCTTCTTTTCTAGATAAGCTTAATTGTGGGTAAGAGAACACTCTACTTATACAACCTACTGAATCCTGAGAATCCTATAGAACTTGCTTTCCAGCAAAGATATGGATCCATATCTTCATACAAATGGTATGGAGATGGCTATATTCTTATCGGGTTCAGTGCAGGTTTTGTAATTGCAATATCAACTCATATAAAGGAGGTTGGGGAAGAACTGTTTCAAGTGAAGAACCACAAAGACAGTTTGTCAGATGTCGCTGTTAGTGACACCCAGGCGGCCTCATGTGGTGATGGACAGTGAGTAAAGAGACTTTATGACTGGTTTAAGTTGTAGTTAAAATATTGCAAATTCAGTTACATAAGAACGGAACTAGAGAAGTATTTATTATATTAGACACTAAAAGTACCAGTAGCTTATTATATTTTCAAACAAGGGTTACCTGGAAGAAATTGCTCTATAGCTATAATGCCGCCTATTGCATTTTATAACTAGTAATCACTATAAACTATTTTCAAGATACATTTGGATATACTTTGTTGTTGCAATAAAGAGTTAATAAATAAAGAAATAAAATATAAAGGACCCCTCAAAATCAGTTCACTAATGTAATAAATGTATATATGCTTGTGGTATAACGGTTGAGTCATTACATTACTAGTGATTTCTATTTCCAGATTGAAACTAATATCAATTTGGAACAATGGCGAAGTCTGTGGTTCAGTGAACCCAGCTGGTGGGGCGGAGCGCTGCGCGTGGAGCTTCGATGGCAAGCTCTTAGCGACCGCTGGCCGGGCGTATCTGAACGTGTATGTGACAACTCTGCCGCCGTTGTACTCTGCGTATGGAACGCGAGCGCTGACTTTGACCAATCTTAATGAGGTGACGGTGTACCAGTGTATAGCTGTGGGGGATGAACCGGAAAATATTAACAAATGTAAGTCGACCAAGCTCTATTTACACAACTAATTCCATTTCGTTTGTATTTGTTAGTTTTCCTCAATATCATTTGAACTGCAAAACTATACGGTTCCTTGTATTTTTGTATTGCATTCAAGAAAATATATGAATTTGTTTTGTTACATCAAAAGATTTAACATGGTAGTTTCAACATTCAACAGTTTTATTTGATTTGGTGGAAAAAGCAGTATCCAGCAGAGTTGGCAAGCAAAACTACAGCTACATTTTTTGTTATTTTTAAAATGAAGCTTGTCTTACGCTAGTAAATACATTTAAATAAAACGTTACATACGGTTTAAAAACGCCAAATGTATTAGTTATCATGAAACCTTTTATGTCATAGTTAAATATAAATTAATGTATTTAATCTGTAGTCAACCTGTAACTAATTTCAGCGGAGCCAATTCCATTAGCAGCGTATTCGTTGACAACGGAACCTACGGCTATAGCATTGGGCGCGTCCCACGTCTGCTGTGCAACGGGATCCCACGCGTGGTTCTACCCTCTAGCTGGGGGCACACCCATCCGACGACAATACCCAGCACCGGTCGACACTTTGCGGGTAGCTGGACAATTCGCTGCTGCCATGTTTCAATCCAGAGCAACGTTGCATAGCGTAAGTGGTTTAAGGCAGGCTATAAAAATTAAGGCTGCTAGAGGCAGAGTGGCCTAATGACAAAACATGATTTTCAATAAGGAGGAAAATGAAAATGCGCAATTAACTGAGGCGAAAATGAATCTGTACTGTAGTTTGTGAAGAAATAAGTTAACAATTTTTTGTCCTGTGCTCTTGTAGATTAACATTTTTAGATCATGAAAATATAAATATGCCAAGTCATATAATTTAAGTTAGGCTACTCTGCCTCTAGCGGCCTCAATTCTCCTAAAATTGAGAACCTTTATATGATGTCAAGTCATGATGGAATAGATAATAGCAAAACTACGTTAATAACCAAACAATACGTTTCAGATAGAAACAGCTGATCCTTCAGAACCCGAAAAAGAGAGTATGTCATTCCCCGAAGCGCACATGCAAGGCGCCAAAATATTGGATATACACCTCACAAGTGATTTCTTTATATTTGCGTCAGATGTAAGTGTTAAGATAACTAATGCTTAGGTTGTAAAGTCTTGTACTCATGCACGTCTCTAGAATATTTATCTGTGTGCTAAATTTTATCGCAATTGGTTTAGTCGTTTTTGAGTTTTACATGGCGTAAATAACCAGAGTAATAAAGTTTTAAACTGTATAATTGAAGTCCAAAATCAATCAAGGAGGTGTGCAACGGACACCATACTTTGTCTATTTTTCTAATTGTTATTATTTCACCTTTTTTTCTAACTTACTAATTAATTAAACTTACTTAAGTACCCGGAATTAAACGTAGGTTGAAATTAAGTAATGCCCTTAAAATACATAATTCAGTCGGCTCCCATGTTTACATTTTTTAAATTAGTATATTTATATTGTAGCAAGGTGATATAGAATACTTTGGCCTTGAGGAGTGGACTCGATGCGTACGCTACAAGCACAGTTGTGCAGTAACCGCGCTCTTTGTCGATATCAGCGGCGCACGCGCATTGCTTTTAGACGAGAAACGGCGCACGTATGTTTATTGGCCTGCTGCTGGTGAACTGTGTGCTGTGCCTGATCAGAAAAGGTAATAGTCCTGTCCTTTTCAACCTAGTGGATGTAATGCGATCGCCGTGATGCAAGACTAAATAATTACTACTCTCTCGCAAAATATTTAACGGCTAAACTTGACCGCTTTTGTATACCTACTCAATTTGGAGTTTTATTCTATGTATTTTTGTTACTTCATACTTTTCACTTCGTCATTTAACACAATTAGATTATATTAGTTTATAAAGTAAGTTTTATGGCATATGAAGCATTTATATATATTTTAACTTTATTTTAATTAATAATTGTTTTGCGCGCACGTTAAGGCGTCGGTTCCAGTTATCACTACTAATTGGGTAGCCCGTTAATTCACACTGGAGCAACGTACTTTAAAACCTTTGGCCAGCAATGGAACAATAATATATTGAAATTAATAATTTCTTCCAGTTGCAAGGGCGTTATCTGGGATATATGCTTGTCTGATCGCAACGTGTTCGGGATATACAGCGGGGACGCGGTTCACATCTACTACTACGCACCCAATTCAATCAGAGGGTCGCACGTGGACTACGTGGCTAATACCAGTCTCCTACCAGATCAGATACCTTTGATACTCTTCTCCGGGGACTGCTATTGCTATGCCAGTGGAGGGAAGTGAGTCTTTCTTATTTTGCTATCGAAAAAACTCGTGAACGAATTTACTGATTAGATTAAAATGCATAAAACTATATTTACCGAATTTATAACTGAATGAATGAAATATACAGTTCATAGTTGTGTTTGCAATCTTACTTTATTGTGAAAGGACAATACCATAAATCAAAAATGATTCACACAACGCGATGTAATTTTCTGTATCAAAATGGCTACTTAGTGGGAAAAACATTATTCAAAACTTTTGTCTACAACTGTGTCCTCTTCGGTGTTGGAAGATAGAATAGATAGTGTAGCCAAAGATAGACATTTGAATATAACTGTTAACTCATCTCTGGCCAGCGGAATTGATTGAAGCTTTGGTCATAAAAATTCAAAGCTTATGTTGTTTTATTGTTTCAGTGTTCAGAAAATATCTCTCGACTCACACAACACTAGCGGTCTCGCTGAGGCTGACACAGAAAAGAGAGTGCAAAATCAAAAGCAGCACATTAGTAAGCTGCTGCTGCTGCGTCGTTTTGCTGAAGCGTGGCTCTTCTGTGACGCGGTGGATGAAGTTGAGGAATGGAGAAAGCTTGGGGAGGCCGCTATAGCTGACTTGAATGTTGAATTTGGTGAGTTACCTCCACTAATGAGACAACAAGGTATCAAAAGACCTTTAATATTATTTCCTAGAATTTCTATGAAAATATACTTATTATTATAATAATTGATTACAGTGTTAGATAAATTTTTAATATTCGAGTCTCAAAAAATCTGATATTTCTCGCTTTGCTGTGATTTTAGACAAAAACGTTAATTATTAACTATATTTTATTTATTAAAAAAATATATTGGCTGCTAGAGGCAAAGTGGCCTAATAACAAATAACATGATTTTCAATTAGAAAGAAAATAAAAATTTGTAGTACTATTTGTGTAAAAATTATGTTAACAATGACTATGTATTGACTTAATAATTACTATGAAAATATTAATAACTCAAGTCATAAAATCGTAGTTAGGCTACTCTGCCTTTAAGCGGCCTCATAACCTTCACATTTCTTTAATCATTCTCAGCAATACGCGTGTACACTCGTCTCAGCGATGTCGCGATGGTATGGGCTCTAGAAGATGCTTCACATGTTGAAGAACTACCTATACTAAGGTGAGAAAAGGTATTTTTCATTTTAAGTTATAATTAAGTAATTTACTTACCAGTTCTTACATAAAACCTATTAAAATTTCTTTGTAAAGGTTTTAGGTTATTCGGGTCACTTATTTGTACTTGTGAAAAATCTTCTTGAACATTTCAGTTAATAAAACTAAGATAAGCAGTTATCGCTGCAATCAGTTACTTTTAAGTAGCATTCTAGCTGATTTACTGTACCCTTGTGGCAAGGATTTTCTGAAAATGTTGGCGAAGCCTTATACTATTAAACCTAGGAAATGGACAATTATTTTTGTATATAAAATCCCTCAGCGGACTACTTTGCGCCTGTCTTGACAAAGGAGATGCGGCAGTGCGATGGTTAGAAGGCGTGGCTGGTGGCGATAGCGGCGCAGGCGCTCGATACGCCCTAGAAGTCCAAGCCGCGAGGGGCGAATGGGCCCGGGCAGCAGAGACAGCGCGCAGGGCAGCCCCGCATCTGGCACCGCACTTGACACTACAACACGCTATGCATCTTGAGCTTACGTAAGTTAACTATCTAGGAACTCTCCATACAAGACTCGGTTTTCCCAGTTATTGCTTTTCAAAGAGATATTATTACAACAAAGTATGAAAATATAATCGTAGTGATGTTAATTGTCAACTTATTAATTTAAGTATACAATATAATTAAAATAATAAGTTGACATGGCAATGCGTGTCAGTTTCATATTGCCTACTAATATATTCATATTAAAATTACTTTAAAAGGTTACAATATCTAAGCTGGTTACCTCATCAATGGTGTGGTACCTTTTGTGCGTGAGTACGACTACCATTTGTTCGGTTTATCTAATATTAAATCAAATTTTCCAGAGCTGATTACCACGAAGCTCTCGCAACTTATGAGGCAAGCATTAACAGCGAAAACACCACCAATATCAAAGTGAAAGAACACAACGCTAAATGCGAAGCCGGCATCGCCCGGATGTCTATCAGATGTGGTGACGTCATGCGCGGAGTTACGACTGCCATGAAGTACTCGCACGATACCAACCTGCTTAAGGACTGCGCGCAATTGCTCGAAGAAGAGAAACAGTACACCCACGCTGCAGCCCTGTACGACCACTCTGGCAATACAGAGAAAGCCGCGATCCTCTACATTAAACTGAAATCTTGGCTAAAGGTCGAAGCTCTCATCCCCAAAATCCATTCGCCCAGTATTCACCTTCAGTACGCAAAAGCTAAAGAATCCGAAGGCAGATATAGCGACGCGCTCAAATCCTACATAAAAGCTCAGGATTACGAATCAGCTATACGCCTCAACTTGGAAAAACTAGATGATATCGATGAAGCAGTGCGCCTGGTCCAAGAAACCAAATCGGTTCACGGAGCGAAGATGGTGGCAAACTACTTCCAGAATAGTGATGACCCGACATCCGCTATCAAGTTCCTAGTGATGTCCCTGTGTTACGATGAAGCGTTCCAGCTGGCGAGGAAGAACGGCAAGTTACATTTGTACGGGGAAATATTGATTCAAACGTCTCAAGCGAGGCCTGAGGACTTTAAAAGCTTGGCTCTACATTTCGAGGGGGAGAAGAATCATTTGCTGGCCGGGAAGTTCTATTTCCACGCGGGGGAGTATAACAAGGCAATGGGGCATTTGCTAAAGGTGGGCGGATCTGAAGAGGAAGAGAGTGAGGCGATAACCGTAGCTATAGATTCCGCGGCGGCAAGTGATGACGAGCGACTGACTAGGAGGTTAGTATATTTTTATATTTCTTTATCAGTGTGATATTATAATCTGTGGTTATAAAATTATAAATTTAATTGCAACACTGTAGTTTTTCGTTTTGCTGTTCGCCTGTTAGATTATTCAATAATTACTAAATAGTAAATATGTACATTGCAGATTAATAGAATACCTTTTGGGCGAATCGGACGGAAATCCTCGTGATCCACGCCACCTGTTCCGTTTGTACATGGCCAAGAAGCAGTTCAACGAGGCGGCTAAGACAGCGGTATTTGACATTTTAAATATTAATTGAAATATGAACATCTAAACGTTTATTAGTACGGGACGTCAACTGACAGCAACGTCGTCGTGTGAAGTTAGCGCGCTTCGACAAAGTCTAGCCGACTTCGGTACGCGATACTTCAAATCGAATTGATTTGTTTTAATATTCTGTAAATGTAATATGTAAATGTCAAACTTAAGAATTTTCTACCCTAGAATTTGAGGTAATTCGTTATTGTAATATATAATCCAGTGTCTCAAAGTGTTTTTTTTTTACCATTAAAAACTTATCGTCAGAATATAATCACTAATTGTATAATACACTACGTCTTACGACATATTTATAATCCCTTTAGTAAGACTTACTAATAGGATTGTGTTTATTTCCTTATTTTCAGGTGATAATATCGAATGCGGAGTGTGCAGCCGGCCGATATAGAGAAGCGAGAGACGTGTCGCGAGGTCTTATTGGTGCATTGCGCGCGCGCGGTTTGCCCGTTCCTAGAGATTTGAGGAGAGCTATAGCTATACTTCACTCGTACATACTGGTATTATTGTTTAACAGTTTTAAATTTTATCTGACGACATATATAGTCTACGAGGCAACCATTTAAAGAGGATAATAAAAAGCCTTTTGTAATTATTGGAGTCCTACAAACGTGTTCCTTTGAATTTTTTTTTTTTAGTGGTTCTGGTCGACGTGCGCCTCTAGTAACGTCTATAGGACTGGTAATTGGTACAGTCTTACTATAGTCCCCACGACTCAACTGTTGTTGGCGTGCATTATAAACTCTCATCATCAGTAAAGAGAAAGCTACGTTTAACATTATTGGTATGAGACTCGGGTAACAAAATTAGTGATTTTACAGGTTCGAACTCACGTACGGCGTGGAAGACATGACCTAGCCGCGCGACTGCTCCTGCGCACAGCTGCTGAAGTGTCATTCTTTCCTACGCAACAGCGTTAGTATAATAATTGCTCTTGCCGACCGGTTTAAAAATGTTTTATTATAACAAAAAAATGACATTGTGATTACATTGATATTCATTAGTTGTGAGAGTGAAGATATGTAAAATTGTTGTTAACTTCAGTTAATGTTTATGTAGATATCATATTATGTCCAGATCAAGTCTCAATACTGACATCGACGGTGATAGAATGCGTACGCGCAGGATTAAAGCATCAGGCGTATCAGTGGGCGCGGGTACTTATGCAGCCCGAATATCGTTCGCAGGTAGAAATTTTATCCATTTATAACATTAGAACTATTGTTTATTAGAGAAATATTACAGGGAAAGAATTGTGAAAAAATACATGCGGGACTCAAATTCTATTCAAAACCGTCTAAATCGAGACAAATTGATAATCCCCCTTGTCTAAACACTGTCTAAATATATTTTTTGCTAACAACACTACTCACTATACCAAGTAGAATTATAATTATTTGATCTTATTTAAATGCGTAATACAATTTCGTTGAAAACAAACGTTTACTTCTACTTCTGAGACTTTTTGCTCGTTAAATTTTAGATTGATCCAAAATACTCGAAGAAAATAGAGTCTGTGGTGCGTCACGGGACCCGAGGAGCCCCTGTGACAGAACCAGGTGTGCCGTGTCCGGCGTGCGGAGCGGATCTCCCCCCGGCTGAACTGCACTGCGCTCGTTGCGAATCAGACCTGCCGTTCTGTTTGGCCACTGTATGTGCTTTTTATAGTAATTTAAAACTTTGTATATTGATCACATCTACCAAACAATCATATATGGTGAAAGATCTGGCAAAAGTATTATTATTATTAAACTTCTCCTTCCAGGGTCTCCATATCGTTAAAGACGATTTGACCGCGTGCCCCGAATGTGACTTTCCCGCCATTTACACTGAGTTTGTTGAGTAAGTAATAATGAAAAAAATGAAGTAGTATTCTTGTATACTTTGTATTTATAATATGTAAAAAAGTATATTCTTTCAGGATTCTCCGCGAAGAGGCCAAGTGCCCCATGTGCGGTGAAAACGTCGACCATAGAAGGCTAGTCAAGATAGACGACGTCGCCTTATATTTGGACCATGTTACTACGGAATAGGCACTATTTTATTTTAAAACAATCATTTTATTGCGCGTACGTTGGTGGGCATAGTCTAATACCTGCGTGACTGTGATGTTGGTGTTTTATTTGGAGAGTGGTGCTGTCAAAATATTAGCTTCATACTAAGGTGATTCATGAAGTCCAATTTAATTGTACGAATTGATTTTAAACATTTCCACATCGTATAAAATGCACTCGTTTATTGTGGCTTCAATGTACGTTGTTGAACTTTAAGGAATCGTTCCTAGGAAAGTTTTTTAGTAATCATTCCTATAGCCACGCTTATAATCATAAGCATGTATTGTCTGCAGTTTACGCGAGTCCTACACATTTAATCAAAAGACCTTAAACGGTTTAAAGCGAAAAATATATTAATTTATTTTATTTACTATTTACGTGCTTTGCGGCAGCCATGAAATAAGTAAGAATAATTTCGAGTTTTAAACCGTTTAGTGTTCTATTTAAAGTATTAGTGTGGCTTACTGCACACTTCTGTAGTTGTGACACTATTTCTGTGATTAATATTTCCGTCCATATACGTAACACTTAGTAAGTAACTATTAATTAAGAAAACGCTAGGAAAATTAATTTCATGTTGTACGCGAGTATGAAATTAGCTATAGAGCACAATATCGTGACATTGTAATTTTTAAAAGGACTTTATATTCAAACTTTAACGTAACCACAGGCATTATTGCACGACGCATCAAATGATGATTTCTTTTTTAACATACGTTTAGTATGACGACGAAGGACAAATATTTTATAACATAATATTATGTAATCATAATGCGTTAAACGGTTAAAGTAGCCGCTTTTTGTCGCCGTCCATTGTGGCTGAATTCGTGTTAGTTTTAATATCTAAACTGTTTATTTATTTTAAAAGTTTTAGTCATCTTATGTTTAAATAAAACACTCGTGTAGTGATGAAACATTTAATTTTCATTTGAAAGTATACCAAGTTGTAGTTACACGTCCGTTATTGAGATTCAAATGAAATTAAAAACAATTGGTAAATATCATATAAAACTACGGCCGACCCGCCATTCGTTGTGACATAATCGCGAAGTAAAAAGAAATTTGTATAAAAAAACGCATTTAGCCTTAAAACGGTCAAACAAAACTCAATAGGATTTGATTTAAATTATGAAATTAAAGAAGAGCGAGTATTCGGCGATGTGCACCTCGAGACCCGCCGTTCACTCTATTAGAGATTGTCAGAACTCGCAAAGCTTAGAACAAATAGCCGTGATTTTTTAAAGATAGCAACCGATTAGCTGGTCCGCCGTTCATCTGGATACCTCTATAATCATCAAATATTGCCCTAATATATTTACCACTACCTATCTATGCCTTAAGTAGACAATATACAACTTAAATTAATGACAAGAAGATATAACTCAATACACCGATAAAACATAATTGTGCTAGGGCAGAGGCGCCCGCCATCTTTAAAAGCGCTGTCCAAAATTAGGTCACGGTGGTTATTCTAGTCTCAAGTTTGTCTTAAAAGAGTGTGAACCCGACTCTTGACATTCCAGCAATTCCTCGAAGGACAAAACATTTAAAAAAATTAACATTTTGCCATAAAACAATATTAATGATAGGGTGGCAGCGAGATTTCGTATTAAAGATTATAATTCTACAATTCTTAGGCTTCATTCAACAGTTTTGTAAATTTTCGTTGCGAAAATTGACTCAACACGTTACAGTAGACGTTAGACAGACTAAGAACAATGTAAAACCTTCAATACTCATATAAAATGGTTTTTGGTGTTCCGTTTTTCGTTCACGTTTTCACTACAACTATTTGTTACCGACCTCTACTTTGTATTCTTCGATAAAATAAAGTGACAACTATAACGAACTTCGCTTTTGGGTTACGGCACGAAATACTACGTATGTACTGTTCCTGAAAAGAACGGAAATGAATAGGCTGTTATCAGATATACGGAAAACCTTAAGGTGGTGGTTGTTACTTAAGTATGCTGACTATTGATAGAATGTAAACCTAGAACAGACTATACAATCTAAAAGGGTAGAAATTGATAATTAATCCTTTTTTGTGTTTTCGTGCCGTAAACTTCTAAGCAGGTATAATATAAAATGTATAATTCAATGGAACGGATAAAGCATCGAATATAATATAAATGCGCATTACTCAGAACATATTTCTATAGACCTCGGTCTGAAGCGATATTCGTCAAAAGAGTGGACTCAAACGAAACATCTGGACGAATGAAATAAAATAGGACTCTATATATGTTCGGGCTATATGTCGTTCTCTGAATATAATCTGATGGCCGGATACTTTTGTTACAGTCGTCAACTCCACTCTTAACACGTAATTATAGCTCTCGTTAAATATTTACAAATATATATAAAAATATTTAAAACGTTAAAGACGCGATGGCACTCGGTTGTAATTATAGAAATTAAAATAGACATACGACAAAATAATATATGGAGACGGTCCGCACCTGAACTACAAATAAATAACAATAGAAACCGAATCGAGAAACGTATATTAACACTATCGTAAGGGAATGTATAAAAATTAGTTTCGACTATATCAACGCTAACTCCTCAACAATAAATACTATAAATCTTTGGTTTCATTTAGTCATTTGATTACAAAAAGGTTTCGCTTATACCGCCGTCGGGAGGAGTCGGCGCGAACTGGCGCACCGCGTCGGTACGATAAATGTACGAAAGCGTCATACATTCGGCGTACCAAAGTCGGCTGGTCTGGAGTTTGCGCTCACTCCTCGGCGCTGAGACTAATCGTTTCTAGTCATAAGAACGACACCTATCAAACGTAGCTCACAATATTCATAAAATCAGTGCATATCATGAAAAACCGTGAAAAATAGCGGTCGATGTAGAAAACGCTCAAAATTTGGCACCGGAGTGTGACGCGAGCTCGGGGCGAGCCATTCGTCTACGGAGAGGTCCTAACGGGGCTACGCGCGCTACTGGGCCGCCCCGCAGCTCGCGCCCACGGACAATATATTGCACGCCAATATACGCTTTATGACGACGCGTTAATATGTGTTATTGCGCCGCATTTGTGCGTATTATGGCGTGCATACACTGTAACTTTACTACTGTAGATGCGCCAATTTAGGTAGAGCGGCAACGACTCTAACCCTATCGCTGAATTGTGGGGGCGGGGCCAGCACGGGTGCCGTAGGGTCTGCCGGGCCGGCAGGTTCCTCTGGAGGTGGAGGTAATTCAGCGAGTAGAACCGCAGCACGAGCGCGTCTCCCTGGCGCTTTGTCGATGTCCACGCCCAATCTTTCAGCAGCAGACCTGCCTCTAGCACTACCCACCGTGCCTCGAAGTAGTGCGGCAGTGGCTCGTTTCCTCGTTAACGAATTATGCCTCTGCATAGGCGGTGGGGGGGTGGCGAGACTCTCTGATGAACTGTGCACGGGTTCAGTGCTGATAACGTCATTCGAGGACTTAACCGTGACGGAGCTGCAGAAGGACACTTTGTCTCGTCGGGGGGGTCGCGCTTGTGCCTCCTGGTCAGAGGAAACACCAGAGGACGAGTTATCTCCGTCGTCCCGTTCAGCTATACCCAACTCGTCTCCGCATGATTTAGAAGACTTGAGGCGCGTCCGGATCTTCTGAATCTCGTCCACGGAGAAGGAGTGCTGCATGGAACTCGAACCAGTACTGCTGCCGCTGAAAGACAAACTGCTATATAGAAAATATATTTGCATCAAAATTAAATCCCATTTACATTCCAAAAGCTCTGCTGACATAACGGAATGAATATTCGTGTGTTTAACGTATCCGTTTTCATTTCTACATTTTAGTTGCTTGATACAAAGGTATGTGATAGTACAATGGTAAATAGAAAAGAAGAACATACAATGTAATGTAAGACAAGGACAGTGCGACACAAAGCGCTCCCGAAATAAAAGAGATAGAGATACCTTCAGAGTAAAACAAGAACTAAATGTAACTAAGAGTAACGATATATGTCCACGTGATTTTCGTGAATAACTGTCGAGGGTATAGGTAGCCTGCAAGGAGAAATTCAAATTACTGATCTAACTTTACCAATTGTGTTAAATTAAATAATATATAATTCTGAATAAATACGTACTTTAAATAAAACACTAACGGTTTAAAACGCTAAATATATTACTTAAAATTATTTGAATATTATTTTAACTACGGCCCGACGTTTCGGATGCTTACGTGTTTATTATAGTACAGTATTTAAATAAGTTTTTTTCTTACTTGTGTATAGGATTATAATTAAAAGTAAGATTCTAAACAAAGAACAACTTATACCTGGTATTGCTGTTAGCGCTGGTCTCGGCAACAGCGGCAGGTTCTGCTTTTTGTTTATGCTCATCCTCATCCGATTCTGACATACTGTAATCTGGCTCTGGGATAGGGGGCGCTGGTGTCGAATTCTGCAAAATAATAAGATTCGGAATGAGATGGGATTACGTACGAGTCAGTAGTTATTATATCAAATACACTGGAAATGATTTTTTCTCAAAGTGCGTAAATACGACAAACAAACTAGACGTTAGGGATATTTTTGTAATATAGTGCTAAGTACTAATATGTATAGAAAATAGTCCTAATAAATAAATGTGGATTAATTATTTTAAATAAATAAGTAGAAAAAAATATATTTCTAATCTTTCTGGACAAACTGGATAACTTCTGGAAAAATACATTTAGTCCTTATGTACTTTAACAATACGTAATACAATACCATTAGAGGAAATCAATTATCTGGTTTTGCTACAATAGTGTTCTCTTAGTCACCCACTTCCATGACGTTGAGCAAAACGTGCACAGCTTTGTGTAAAACTTAAAAAAAAAACGATAAGCCTGAACAATTAAAACACACGTGGTCACGGGGAGACCCCCCCACCCCGTGACCGACGTTGGGTCAAAGTTAAAGATCATTTTCAAATAAGTTTAACTAATATATCGCGTTTTAAACCGTTAAAGTGTTTTATTTAAATATGTACTACTCGCGTAAACTATAGACAGTATTTAATAACAACTTTATATTTATTGTTATAGTGATAACTACATTACAATACTATCTACTCTAGGTTTTCTCAACTATTATTCATGTTATTATAGAACTTGAGCAAATGACAACGATCAATAGAGCTAAATAATAAATACCTGTCTAGCGAAGGTCTTGTGTAGGGCGATAGGTTGCGCGTATTGATGTGAACTTTCCTCTGCAGACATCGTTCTTGACCACCCGCGTACCGCCTTCCGTGGTTGCTGCAAATGCGATCAATAGTGTGTTGAGTCTCATCTATAGCTGTTAGTCACAGATTATAGAGAGAATAGCTTGACGGGTACGTTGATGTATTAGGGGAAATGTATGGCACCAATTTTAATAAATTTTAATTGATTAAAATAATCAATGATAATTCTAAAACAAGTTGGACTTCGTCTCGAAATCTTAAAATTGAATGTATAGCAGGAATATCGAAAATTTCGTTTGTGGGTCACGAATTACCGTTCACAGATGAAAAGTCCTTTCGGTGTCAGTCTGTGACTTCTGAATATCCAAAGGCAAAATATGTGAACAGTGCAACTTCTATTGTTCTTAGCTGAGGTATTTAAACTTCCATCAAGTGGACCCAGTGCTTATCTACCCTTCTCTGTCACAAAAAAAGATTATTTACCTCTGTGTGGGGTCTATAGGCTACTGGCGCGAGGTCCTTAGGCGCAGCGTAGAGCTTGGCGGGTGCAGCAGGACGGAAGGAAGATGACACTGCACCGGGGGGAGGTGGTGCGGGCGCAGAGGGGGGCGGCGGAGCGCGGGCTAGTTCTGAAGATACAAAAATATATGGTTAAACTTTTTGACATTTAAGGACCATGTTAAAAAAGTGATAGCTTAGAAAAACATCAAGTTGAACTGTTAAACTGATACTAAATGTGTGAGCCGTACTGGTCTTTCAAAGTTGGTTCCCGGTCGTTGCCCAGTGGCTACTTAGTATACTTCTATCTCTATATTACTATATAGTCTTAGTCTTAGCAGGTTGTACTGGGGAGTTTACATAATATATTTGAGTATAAAATTGTTTAATAATTGTATAATGTTGTCAGGCATTATTGGATTGACCGCTGTATTTGCATGAATGAAACTAAACTCGTTGTATATTTGTTAGTCAATAACACGTACCATTATGTACGTCCTCGCTAGATCTCGTACGAGTGGGCCGCGACGCTAGCGCCGCCGCCAAGTCCGGAGTGGAGTGGAATTCACGTCGCAGAGTCGCACTTCCACCACTACTTATGCTGGCTGACTTGCTCCACAACTGGAAAACACAATGTTAAACATATCTATCTGTTGTCTAAGTGACTTTATAGATTCCATAGTACTTTTTTACGGAGCATTATAGACTTAATTTTAAAAATAAGCAGAAATAAATGAAAATAAAATTAGATTTGAAATGGACGAAGAAGAAGACAGGAAATCCAGAGGTTCATTTGATGGTAGGTGAAATAACCCTTTATAAAATCTCATCAAGGTGCTTAGATTCACTCACTGAGAACGAAACGCGATTAAGGCTTTTTTATCCGTGGACTGTGTGGTTGTGTTCGTGACTTGGTCGGAATTTCTTACGATATTCCTACCCCCAATTTTATATTCAGATTTTCGTATGAAGTCAAAGATGTCTTGGGAAAATTGGAAATTTATTAGAAACACGTTTGACCCGATCGGCAAAACATTTGTATAAAATAAATAAAATTGTAATCTTAAAAAAGCTACAAAACTTTTTATTAACTTAATCATAATAAAATCTTCTAATTGAGAAGCATGTTACTGTAATGTAAGAAGAGACACTCACCTTTCCCTTCGCTCTCTTCATATCAGCCACAGATGCATAAACCCTAGAAGGCACTCGAGCTGGTGAACCACTTGGCGATGCGCTTCCATCTTGAAATGCTGATCGGGTCATCATTCCACCGCTGCCTCCACTGAAAGCATATAAATGCCCTCGTTAAAGATTTAGAATTAAAGTTATTTTTTGGCCTCAATTTTAGTATGTGAAATTACTTACAATTCTAAACAAAACTACATCAGCACATGAATGATAAAATAGGCTTTTCTTTCCTTATTCGTTTAGCAAATCACTTTTCATTGCTTAAAACGTGATATATACAATATAAATACTTTTTTTAAATTTAGGCCCGACATTTCGGATGCTTATAGCCGTGTCATTGGTGATTTTTATTACGTATACGTCCTACTCTCGTAATTAAAGTAGGCTTATTTAACTTATTCGACTTACGTGGCATCAGCACCAGCCTGACGCTGGAACAGTTCCTCTAGTTCTGAAGCAGTGATGCGAGAGGAGGCTGGTCGCTGCCTGATGCTAGCGGTGCGAGGTGCTACAGGGGTACCCATGCAGGGTGTACCATCTGGAAAGAGACCATAACGTATGTAAGATGTGAATTTCTATTTGTGTAATAAATGTCTATACCGAATCGTTGATTACGTACTGTTACTACCAGGGTGTAACTGTACAGACTCCGCTGATGAAGATTTCCCTGCTACGCTCAAAGGCTCACATGTCTCCTCCTTCTCACCGCCGTTTTCTGGAAAATTTTATGTTAATTCTAATTTAGAAAAGATTTGTAGGCTTTTTGTTGACATATTGCTATTGTGCATAGAGTGTTTTATTATTATTATTTAAAGTAATTATTACGTTTTTTTCTTTCATCTTATTATTGTGTGTTAAAAGTATAGTATTGCTTAAACTTGAAAAGTTCCAAACTACACGCGACACATAACTTAGTTAGATAATAACTGGCTCTAGTCTAGTTTATGGAAAACCATATACTTGTATGCAATTTATTTACAGTTTATTTGTCTGCCATGCAGCGAAACATAACTTACCGAGTCCAGCGACCATAGATTTAGCTCGCGCTCGTCCCACACTTAGCGTTGTACGAGGATCCCGACGCGGCGGCGCCGGCGCAGGACTGCGACCTAATTTTTAATATAGTTGTAGTAATAAAACAATGTTAAAGAGACCAGTAAACCCATTGCGAAATAGTTAGAAATATTTCTTATTCGTCATAGAAGTTGATTAAGTATAACTTTACAAAACTTACCACCAGCACCCTTTCTGGGTAAAGTAGCGGCGTAAGGTCTGCCATTAGTAGACAGTTGTCCTTGACTCTTGCTAGCTGGCACGGTACATGTGTTTTCGTTGATAACTGAGCTCAGAGAGACAACAGTCATGGAAACAAGGGCACCAGAACTCCTGATCAATTCCACCACGTGTTCGTGAGATGCTCCTGATACATCCTCGCCATTTATCTGCAATGTAAGACATTGCTATGTTAGAGTAGAAAAATTAAATATTTAAAAGTCTAAATAAAACACTTTAACTAATATATCGGTTTTAAACTGTTAAAGTGTTGTATAATATTTCACGTGACACAAAATGTTCCTTATTCATCGGGTTGACATCATACGTCACTTGCTTATAAACCGTACTATGAAGCATCTTCCTCCCTAGTGTTAAAATTGTACTATTCTCTGCGCTAATAAATAAATTAATCACTCCTTTCATTACTCTAATCACTGCTAAAATGTTAGGTACAAATGCACGTAGGGTGTAGATCATTGGGTCGACATACAGCAATGGTCAATAAGATCGTGACGTCATTAGCCGTAATGCAGCGTTATTTCGCAAAAAAATGCGTTTAGGCGCGCATTTTAAATGTTGGATTTTAAATTTGATATATTTCTACAAATATATTTTAGAATTCAAACATACTTTTCTGGGGTTTATTTAATTCAAAATCAGTCAGTAAGAATCATTACCGCAATTAGAAAGTCTCCTTTCTTCAACCCCGCCCTATCTGCTACTCCTCCGGCATCTACATCATCCAGGTATTGTAAGCCTGGACACCGTTCTGATGGACGAAGCTCCATCAATGGAGAAGAGGCTTTGGCTCCACGCAGCACGAAACCAAATCCTCGACGAGCACGATGTAGAACTACTGTACGGGTTTCCATGTTTCCGTATCTGGAATAAATAAAGTTAGTAAGATAGATATGAACTTCAAGCTTCATCTTGTTATAAGTTCCTAACAACTACTACCTCTCTACAAAATATTTCTGTATACCAAATAAACATTTCCAATGTATTCCAAATGAACTGTTATTGAAAACACGCCTAAAATGGAAGTTTGATGTAAGGCACATCTGGCCTACACTATCCCATCGACTGTACTGGTAGTTATTTGACAAAGATTGTTTATCAATAAACACTGTTATATTTGTTTATTTATTGATTCTCTTTAACCTATGATTTCATCGTAACCTTTGACTAAATATAAAATCATAAACATGCATATGTTTATCTCTCTATCAATATTTTAATCCTTCGAGCCGGATAAATTATTTCCCATAAGTAGATAATTCTAGGTAAGTTTTAGCAGTACTTACGACTTTTTAACTCTCGGAGCAGTCGCACTGTATGTCTTACTTAGGCCAACTTCTCTGCGTCCACTTACTCTAGAATGATGGACAGTTCCAGATGAGATGACCTGCAAAATCATTTTCGTAGTAAGTTTGGGATATAGCACCATACACGAAAGACAAAAGCGGTATCACAGACTTTCTAATTTGGAAGTAATACTTGATAAATGGGATCTGGAAACTGTATACAATCCCTAGAAAATAGCAGTTTACATTAGCCTTGTTACTGTAGCCAAGTGCCAGACATGTTACATGTCTAATGGTATCAATGTGTAGCTAAAAATGATCGGGTTCTCGGTTCAATCCCCAATAGGTCCGCACTATAATCTGAAATATGTTGGACTACGTCTGGATATTTAAAAGCCGTGAAATTTTATCGCGCTTTAAGTTCCAGTTTGTGGATTTCCGATTATTCAAAGCCAAAATAGCTCGACAGCATATCTCGTTTGGATGTTCTATAGCTAGGGTATTTCACCTTCCATCAAGTGAACCTTCACAGGCTCTCTCCATCTTCTTCTATTATATAAAAAATACATGGTTATGTTACCTGATGTATATGTGCATTTTGTCGCAACCGCACTTCCTGAACACAGTGTGTGGGGAACAGACCGGTTAAGCCAGAACCCCGTACCCTGCCCTCTAAGAAACCGTCGTCTGTTGAACCAGTCACTGAAAATGTTAAGAATACTGTATAGTAAAGGATTGTACTCACAAATTACTTACTCATATAATACTAAGAATGCTATGTTATGCTACGTTAGATTAGTCTCTTTATCGATTGTTAATTGATGTCGATGTAACCACTCCTTTTGTTACTCAAAATAACATTTTGATGATAAATGAAAACGTTGGATTAAATAAACGTCGAAGGAATTAATAATGAATCCTTATTTCTCACGAAATGATATTAATCACAGTGCTTTTTAGTCTAATACACATATTGAAGCAATAAAAAACGCGATGCAAATTTGTTTATTTATTTTTAACTATGACCCGACGTTTCGAGAGCTTTCCAGAAGCTAAGCGACCACGGGTGCCGGAAAGCCTCCAATATGTCGGGGTCTTGAATAAACATAACTGGAGTACCGTTTAAACTGCAGAATACAGCTTAAAGTACAAATATGTATATAGATACTTGATTTATAGTTATAGCAAATTGTGATTGGTCTCGGCGCGTCACTCATCTATAGTTCTATTTTAAAACGTACCTTCAATAATATCCCCCTGATTGAGCCTTATATGACCTGCCCCAGTGGGTTCGTAGGGCTGCAGACACACCAGCGTCGCGCCCGGCGGCTGAAGCGAGCAAGTCGTGGTATCGGAATTGCTAGTACCCACACCGCTTGAATCCGAAATGATGTCGCTAGTGTCGCCCAGGCTCTTATCTGTCAACATGTGCCGCCCTGACGGATAAATTCAGCGGAAAACATGGCTTTGGCTCGCTCATGCTTCAACATTTGTGCACGATGCTCCCTCCTTTTCCCTTCTAATATCAGTGATTCCCGTGCACGCATTGTGCGTAGCGTGTACATTATGCTATCGAATCAACCACCATCACACATTTTACTATGGAATTCGTTACACACATCGTTGGACACACACGTGAGTTATACTAAAGGGTGTACACGTCAAGGAAGAAGCGAGAAGCGGACGGTGATAACATCTAACAGAACATGCGATGATCTGTGCATGGTGATGGTTGTTAGACCTCCATGTTTACCTGTGATGATACTCGCGTCGTCTTCGTGGCTCGGGTGGCTCGCGTCGCTGATGCTGGACGACGCAGATGAAAAAGGGCGTTCGAGGCTGCACGGAGAGTTCGTCGAACCTTGGGGCCGTCGCAGTATCGCGTCTAGTTCGGCCGGAATCCTGGTCGAGGAAGCGAGCGAGGACCTGTCTCCCGCGCTCCACCAGCCGCCCCACGCAGCCGACCTCCGCTTCGGATTATATCGAGGTGGACCGCGGAACGGAACTGAAATGATTCCGTTGAAAACCGAACGAAATAATAATGTGCACAAATCAATTGAACGAAACGAAATAAACGTGCTCCAAATAAAATATAATATAATACCTGTGTCGTATATATAGCGCGTACGGTATAGTACAACATATCTGGGAATATATTACAACCATCACCATAATGAGAAGCAATGATGTAATAGATGAATGATGGCATGCAGTTAGTATCTAATAAATAAACTAATTTATATATTTAATATTCATAGAAGCTCGTTATAGATAATATACTAAATTCTATATCTATTCCATTAAATGTTAGTATTTATATTCTCTTAATATCTAAGACTTACTTATGAAGCACCAGTGAAAGCCATGCAATAATATTAAAAGTTGTCTAACTCACCGACTTCGTCCGTTTTGTAATTCTTAATAACCTCAGCTAATTCTAAGTTTCCAGCTATAACGGCTACCTGGAAAGCGTTATAATTATATGTTCATTTGTACATACAAGTGTAATTTTGTATATAAATATAAAAAAATGTAACAATATTATCTGCTAGCTGTGCCACCGACTTGGTTTTTTGGGCATCAAAAATTGTTTTTGCAAATCTTTTTAATTCATCATTTATTTTTTTAATTTATAGCTGTTACCCACAACGTGGGTCGCGTCCCGTCGTTCTTTCAAGTTCATCTTAAAAGATCATTTAAAGAGTATCTTGTAGTGGTTTCGCAGAGTACGCAACGGACACTCTCAAAGATAGTAATTTTCCCTCCTTTTTTATATTTCCCAATGCTTCTTCGCTCCTATTTGTCGCAGCATAATGTTTTATATAATTAAGTACATACTTATAATGTTCGTTTTTCAAATTACCTGATAAGGAGTCTGGTTAGCGTAGTTCAACGACTCTTTATCGCAGCCCCTGAAGAGCAGCTGCCGTGCGCAGGAGTCTTGCGCGTTTACAGCGCACACGTGTAGCGGAGTATTTCCCGATGCGTTCCTGCTGTTCATATCAGCACCGTAGAACAGCAAGTGGTCCAGGTGTTGGACGAGGCCGTTTCGACAAGCCTGAAAGAGTAGAAGAGGAGTTTAGATTTATTTATTCTCAAAGGCTTATCAACTTATATAAACAAACTAGCAAATAAGAATTTAACTTACAGACAAGTACAGTATTGCTTATTTATAACATAGGGGGATAAATACATAAATAAATTACAACTATCTATATATATACATGTGTAACATAAAAAAAGAATAAATTAAAAGAGGGTAATTTAGAGAATATATTTTCCCTTGATTTTATTTTAGCTTACTACACCATTTTCAATTACCAAATACAATATTATAAAAAATCCTATATTATGTATGCATTGTATAGCAATTACTTCAGCGGTTTACATATTATAATATAACATTATACAAAATTGCCTTTATCTACCCAGTTGATCATTGGTGGTATATGCCCGTGGTAGTATATTTGCTATCTAAAACTCACCTGATGAACTTCCTGCCACCCTTGCAAATCAGTAGCCCCAATAGTCGCATGATCGTGCAATAACGTTTCACACAATAATGGATCAGTTTTGTTCGTAACGGAGAGGTATAAGGGCGTTAATCCCTTCCCATCCTTGTAGTTGGGTGATGCGCCGAGTTCTAGAAGGGTTTTGACAGCTTCCAGAGAATTCTTCTCCACGGCTCTATGCATTGCAGTGCTTCCATCTTTGGTCCTGTAGTCGAGGAGAGCTCCGCCGTTGACCAGGGCGATGAGGACCTTAGCTGGCGTCTTTTGGCTGGCAGCTATGGATAATGGTGTTTCTGGAATGAGGAAGGATAAATTCAATACTTTGTATAATATTGACATTATATATGTATGACGCGAAACTAAGGATGCTATAATGCTGTGAGTGGCTTCCGCAGGAGAACAAGAAATCCGGTAGTTTTTTTTTTCATTGATAAAGGAGGGCAAGCACTTTAGTTGACTTTTTACTTGATGGTAGATGAAATACCCCAGCCTATAGCATCTAAACCAGGTGCGCTGTCGACCTATTTTTGGCTTTTGATAGTAGTTTACGTGAGAACTTCACATTTAAATATCGTCGTCAGTTCGTGAGTCAGTTTTGTAAAGATATAGCCCGTTTCTCTAAATAGCAACTACGACGAAACAGATGGCGCTAGCGTAGCTAATTTGACTTTGACATGAGTGACACACTTCAACTTCAGTCCCCGCGTGACCACTGGTGCAAAGCATCCGAAACATCAGGACGTAGTTAAAAATAAAATAAACAATATATTTCGCATTAGAAACTGCTAAAATGTTTTCATGCTGTAGTTTTTGCAAAATAATTTCACATTACTGCAGTCACAGCGTAAGACCTAATTATGCACGACCAGTTAAGGAGGACAGGAACACAGCAATCTTGCAAAACGCTCAACATAAGCTGCCATAAATCAAAAGTGAACAATAACAGAGGCATACGTAACAATTATATACACGTTAGTGTTTGCAGTCCACTTCAAGGCCACTTGCATCAATCTCGGATTATAAACGGTTTAATTGATACGATTCACAATAATTTAAATCCTATACGTACATGCTAAAATAGCCCTTGTTACGTTAATACAAGATTTAAATTAAAACCGATAGAACTTTGATAGAGTAACAATGATGTATAAGTTATTAGATGACTACCGTTTTGCTTTGCTTCAAGTAGGTAATGTTTAGCATTGAAATGCGACTATTTCCTTATTTGCTTTTAATTTGACATTTTTCTAGGACTACATGTTTTTTATGTCAATTGTGTTTATTCTTAACTCAAGCCAATTAAAATCGCAAATAATGACAGTTTTGTTTAAACTATAAAGTCGATAGGATAGATGTATACTCTCTACTAGCTGCGCCCGCGACATCATGTGGAATAGTTAGTTGGGTATCAAAGTTTATAAGTATAAGTTTATTATTGCAAGAAACCTTCTCAACTTTATTGATTGTAACAGTTACCCACGTCCGCGTGGGCAAAAAAGTCTATCTATCTAAAGAGGAATCATTCTTTTAAACATATTTTTTCGTTTCCTGAATAATATTCCACATTTATCACTGTTTCTTCGCTCTTGTTGGCCGCAGCGTGATGTTGTATTATTATTTTTTTCTAAATGCACGTGTAATGTGTATGTATAGTCCTATAAGCTTGTTATAACAGTCAATTTAATAAAATTTAAAAACATAACATTCCTTAAATTCTTAAGGACCATATAGAGAACGAAGTAGGTAAAAGAGGTGTCGCTTAAAATGCTTGTCTTCTTCGTCGAGAGACAAGGAAACAATTTCTCGTTCCAGACCACTGTAACAGGTCAGTGTGCCGCAGCACAATCGAGTGAGAATAATCACAATATCTACTTATTAACTTGCAATGAGGCTACGTTAATTGGACCACATTGTATATCTTTACATAATGCCCATAGTAGGTATTAATTATGAGAAATGTTGCGTCAACTGCGCTGTTGTAATCGGCATTGTCTTTTCGTATATACGTTAGGCCTACTTGTTTTACTGTGTTAGGCTTTCGTCGAGATACAGGCAAATCGTCGAACATTTTATATATAAATAGCGGTGTTCTCGGTGTATTAATGGATAATTTCATATTATCACTAATTTTAAATTACTATTATGTCAGAGAAAGTGCAAAATCGTATAGCAGTTTTAGAGATTATGAAAGACAAACAGACACAAAAAACAATAGAATCACATGAAACGTTTGAAAACTTTAATAATTTCACATGTTATTGCACACGATGGTACTATATCGATTAAAACACATAAAACATTAAAATGTCCATATATTTCCTTGATATACCCTCAACTTTCAATAAGTGATACGTAATACTATTTCTACTATTTACTTACCACCAGTCTCCTGACAATGAAAGTTGGGGTCCAGTCCTTTAGCGCACGCTTTGGTGACCTTGTCTATCTGCGCGTGTTGTACATTTTCCAAAAATCGACGCAAGTTTGCGCGAGAGTGGAGCGCCTTTAGTGTTTTCTCGTCCAACTTCAACATCTTGTACACCCGACGTTTGTATTTTAACTGAAAATATAAGTAGTTCTATTAAGGATCTTAATAACGCGTGAGAACTTTAAACTAAATTAATTATAAATTGAAAATTAAAATCTATATTTAGACCTTTTTATGATAGAAGCTGTGATATTTCACCAGTAAGAGAACATCGTGTCTAAATACTGTTTATAGTTTACGCGACTAGTACACATTTAAATAAAACACTTTAACGGTTTAAAACGCGATATATTAGTTAAACTTATTTGTTGTTGTTAGTTGATCAGTCTCCCCGTGACCACGGCTGCTGCAAAGCATCCGAAACGTCGGGCCGAAGTTAAAAATCATTTTCAAATAAGTTTAACTAATATATCGCGTTTTAAACCGTTAAAGTGTTTTATTTAAACACATAACTATGCAAAAATAGGCCAGCCATATAATATCTCAACAAGACGCGCTGTCGACCTATTTCGGCTTTGGATATTCGTTTGGATATAATTAAATTTAAAAAATGGATCGATGGTCCGACTAAAGAAATTATTATATATTTTTATAATTAAAAATAAGTTTTACAGTCTCCATATAGAAATTTTTTAATCTCTTTATTTTTGATTACAATTCGGTTGAAATGTCCCATTTAAATTACAAAAAATCACTTACATGAGAAACTTATTACTAAAATATACTAGTTATCACGCGGGTAGTTTTTAATAAAGTCTTATGATTAAGAGTTATTTAACAAATATGGAGCTTGCAAAAGTCATCACGAGATATTTACCTCAAGGTATCCTACGGGACCATTGAAGGGGTAGTCTCCAAGTCGTCGTTCTTCATCCAGGAATTTGCCGGCCTTGCCGTTGACCGGTGGGCAGAATAGACCATAGTTAAAACTCTCCTTTAACTCCTGAAACAATCGAAATATTTTTAATCTATGCTTCACTTAAACTGTGTTCGTCAATAAGGTAACACTAAGTACCTATGAGGTAATGTAATGTTTAAAAAAAGTGAGGACACAGGCTAGTTTTGAACCCACGACAGTCAGTTGTTCGTTTAGTTTATTTAATACTTGTATTTAAATAAAACACTTCAACAGCTTACAATATATAATAGTTAAACTTATTTTCGCTACGGCCCAACGTTTCGGAGCTTTGCAACAGCCGTGGTCAAGGGGAGACTAAAGATCTGTTCGTAGTTGGTATTTGGCGAAACTGGCCAGGCCTTAATTGAGAAACGATAAAATAAATTTAGCTAATATATATTGAGTTTTAAACCGTTAAAGTGTTTTATTTGAATATGAGCTACTCACGTAGGCTACAGGCAGTATATTATCAGTAATATTTAAATTCTCAACCACTAAATCAATACTATACTATTTAACCGCTATTAATAACTAATTATTATTTTTTAATTCTTCGTTTCTTTAAGTTGTGAATTCGACGTACATTTGCACTGATATGTCGTTATTTGGAATGATCGATAAAGTATGATTGATTATGGTTGATGAAATAATCAAAAATGATACAATAACTAACGACATCGAAATTAATTATACTAATTATTTAAACTTGGCAAATCAATCAGAAAGATGAACAAGTTACCTTTTATTTGCACTCTTGCGCATAAATATATGATAGATAATATTTTAGGATGACTATAGTTAAGCAAGACCCTTAATTTCGTTTCTAGTAACCCCCTTGGGCTTCTAATCCGACATTCTTATTAAACGGATATTAACCTTTTAAGTTGTGCAAACATTATCTAGTACACAATTTATTTAATTGTTAAGATCATCAATCACCAGCTAGACTCTGCTTAAGATATTACTTTAACTCGCATTACATAAATCTACGCAATTAAAAGTAGGTACACTTAGAAAAGCAAAAAGTTAACTTGAGCATCGCTTTAATTGCTGGTAAATGTTTTGCCGTTTAGCTGTAATTTATTTGTTGCGTCAACGAGTTTGTTGCTTTGATGAGAAAAATATAGTGTACCTACTAGAATATAAGAGTTCTAAGAGTAAGAGAAGAAAGTGTATCTATCTATAGTTCTATAGTATCTATATAACGCTGAAGAGTTTGTTTGTTTGTATGTTTGAACGCGCTAATCTCAGGAACTAGGGGTTCGAATTGATTTTTTTTTTTGTTTTTGTGTTGATTAGAGCATTTATCGAGGAGGGCTATAAAACCTCGCCCTGTGACTAATACAAGCGAAGATATAGCGAGAAATGTGAAAAAACTGGGAAATTATTCATCATTATGGATTTCCGAGGCGTACACTGCAAAAAGGTTCACGATACCAAAAAAATATGTATGAAAGAAGAAGAAATAGTTTATCTTTTAAGATTAACTTGGAAGAACGGCTGGAAGGGACGCCACCAACAGGTTAAGTTTATAAAGATAGAGATTCCGATTAAAGAGATTCGATTTTTGGATTGGAACTAATTTGAATGCCCAAACGATTCTCGCGGACGAGGTAGCTAACAAAGCTCGTATAATAAAAGTGTAGACTTTAAATATTATTTCGAGTGTTATCATTTAAAAGGAAATAATTAAAATTTTCAAAATAATAACGTCGATGGAAGGAAACATAATATATATGTATATACGTTATAATTATTCATGTTAACTACCATGATTTTGTATTTTAAATGTAATTTTGTGATTAAATAGCCATTAGGATGTTGGATATTTCTTACTACAAGAGTAAGATAGTAGCGTAGGGTAGTAGGGTGGGGTAGTGGGTACAGGTTTTCGAGTATATACCGCTGAGTTTTTTTTTAAATAGCCTAAGTAAGCAATTTTTGCGTAAAATGACTAACAAACATTTGACCATTTGCCTAAATTCATTATCGTATTAAGCTGGATATACGTGTATGTTTAGATTTTATGATATTTAAACATCAAAATGAGTAACTAAACTATCATATTAAAATCTATCAACGAGAAGGCAAAATAGATTAGCATTCCGAGCGCCTTCGCATAACTTTAGATAGTAACAAAGGTACAAACGATTAATTTATGTAAGTACAAGGATAGCAAATAGCAGTATAAACAACAATAATGAATCATGAAGCCTCAGTAACGAACAACGATTTTGCGATTGATGGAAGCAGCGAAGTCAGAACGCAGCCTCCAAATACGACAGGGCTATCCCCATACGTTATTTTTCCTATTCACTGAATAGAATTTTAATATATACTGTCTATAGTTTACGCGAGTAGTACACATTTAAATAAAACACTTTAACGGTTTAAAACGCGATATTTTAGTTAAACTTTCTGTCTCCCCGTGACCACGGCTGCTGCAAAGCATCCGAAACGTCGGGCCGAAGTTAAAAATCATTTTCGAATATGTTTAACTAATATATCGCGTTTTAAACCGTTAAAGTGTTTTATTTAAAATAATTTTAATATATATCACGTGCGAAAACATGTGAAATGTAATAACAATTTTTGTGCAATTTCATAATCAATGCAAAGCATAAGACATTCGATACGTTGTGTTGAAGGTTGAAATAACGTTATGGGAGAGGTGCATGTATGTATAAGTTGAAAAAATTCGCCGACGTGTGATATACGGTAGCTTTATTGGTTAGCACCGACGCCGGTTCGAGTCCCGCTCGTGGCGTCAAACATTTTCAGTGTAAATAGATTTTTAATTCCATAATACTATCATGTGCAAAAACATGTGAACAATAATAATGTTTTCCAAGCGTTAAACTGTGTAATTTCATATTTATCCTCATATAACCTCAATAAGTGCTAAGGTTGAAACTACATTTACACAATCACAATATATCGACGTGTGAGATATGATAGGTCAATTGGTTAGGTAGCAGCACAATACTACATAGCTGGGCTGCTTAACTATGTTTTTATAAATAAAAAAATGATTATAGATATACGAAAAAAAATTACGACACACGCAAGACTCGAACTGGCGACCACAGCGTTCCTTTCTGTTACTATAACCAATTGAGCTAACGCGATAATATTATTTTATATAATCTATAACAATGGTGAATAATAAAAATTATTAAGCTTCTTATATTAGTGAAGTTTGTATTTGAATGCTAACCCTAGACGCAACGCGCTGTCCGTTCAGCTTAGAAATGATTCCCTTTATAAATGACCACACGCGGTTTATTTATGACGCAGTGGATTGTAGTCCACGCGCCCGCGACGGATCTCTATCTCTTAAACATTTAAGATCGCTATTGTACTTATTTACGCTCCTATTGAGAACAAAGAACTCGTAATTCGAGTAAAAAACGAAAGAATTATCAGAGAGACTATTAAAATGTAATATGCAAAAAAACGAAGATATTGCAAGAAAAAATTTTAATCTAAGAGCTGGTGTTAAATTAAATTAAGTTAACTTTAAGGATCATGCTATTGAACTATCTAGTATGTCCCACAATGTATTTGAGAAAAGGGAAATGAAATATGACGATGACTAAAATGATTTGAATGTTATAACATTTAATATATTGCAATCGACTCCTATACTAAAAAGGTCTTCAAAGTGTAATGTAAGTATGTTTAAGTGCATAAGTAATTAAGTTACATGCACGCAATATATATCCCACAACAGCACGCTTAAATAGATTTTGAAATGTACCAATTTCGTAAAAATTTATTTATTGTTCCGAATGTACTCATAAATAGCGAATAATTAGTCCAACGTTTTGTCTGCGTCCAATCGGGCTTTTATGTCGCAATGTTTAAATAATTATGCAGATAAATACTTTACTTGAGACACGAGTCTTGCACACGTTACTAGTTACGGTTCGGTTTTCCATACTAAATTATCATAAGTGATACGAAGTAGCAAAGTGTATTTACGCACACGTTTCGCTATCAAACTAATTTCCTTTTTTAAATTAATTAAAACTGCAAAGCTATATTTGTAAGTATTCATTTGACATATGGAAAAATAAAGTGTACTTATGGTATAAGTAATGTATACTTTGTATACAAACTTAAAATTGGTTTAGTAGAAAAAGTAATATGTATATGAGTAACGAGAATAAAAAGTCAAAGAAACAATCTTAGTCTCGAAGTGAAAGTTTAATTCACCTATAAAGTTTGTATTTTCGTGGTAAGAGAAAACAACTATCAAAAAATTACGATTTTGAACAGTGAAAATAATTTTATATTGTGGCTGGTTTACAGGAGTAGTACACACTTAAATAATGACTTTTTAGGTTT